TAACATGTGTGATGTTTGAGAGCAAAAATGAAATAAATCCAAAGTTTTACTAACATTTCTTGTTTTTTCAATTCATAAAACAAAACACAACGCCAAACATGTTTAATGTTTTATCGTGAATATTAAGAGAAAGCTCAAGGCGCGTAGATAAAATAATAAAAAGGCCGTAAAAGTGGTTTCCACAAAAGGCTGCGACAAAGCTTCCGTCAAGTGGTTCTCACGGCGATACCATCACTCATTCAAATGATATTGTTTTGCAAAATTGTTGCAAGCAATTGAAATGTCATAACTGATAACGGTCGCATTTTCACCTCGGGAACGCGGAAAATTTTAATTAAAATTTACCACTGTCACAATTATTTTATTAAAAACGAGTTTATAAAAAAAAACACAGACTACATACAATATTTTCATGACAGTTTGTTATGAACTGCTTTTTATTTTTTTTACCTATGTATTAGCGGCGGCTAAACACAACTCATGATTTGGCCTAAAGGTAAGAAAATAAACACAACTCACTATAATTATTGTATGTATTATTATCAAATTCAATTTACTTACTGTTTTAACTGAAGTACCTATTTTTATATATTTTTCAGCAAACGTTGTTTCTCGCTGAAAAGTCCTTGAAATAATGTAATAAAGTCGCTATATCTATTGAAGAACTACTATTTAATTGTGAAGTTTAAGATTGTGTTTATGCTAACAGTTAAAAATTTAAAAGTTTATATGCTAATACAGTTTGTCTTACACAAATTTTGTATCTTCTCTCTAGCTTGTCAATGGTCTACGATATAACCATAGTATAGGTATCTAAAACTAACTAATTTATACTCTATGGACGCTGATAAACAACATCCAATCGATAATTTCGTCAAGCCGATAAAGATCATTGGATAATGACATGCGCGCGAGTGGTGCTTCAAACAATAACGCGATAAAGGGCAGGTGACACGTGCGCTGTTGTAGCCCACCCTTGAGATAGCTTTTTATTATAAAGCTCATCATGCAGATTATATACTTCAGTAATTAGAAAGTGCAAAGAACTTTCCTTAAGCGCGTAAAAACTAAAAAAACTAACCCCTTGTATGGCATTTAAAATATGAAAAATCTGACAACTCAAGTGCCACATACCAACTATATAAAAACAACGATAAGAATTAATAATAATAATAATAATATAGCCTTTAAATTCCGAAACTCTGTCATTTTATATATCTGAACTTTAATACATTTTCACTCCAGTATATCTCGGAGTTCGGTTTGCCTCTTGGCAAAGGCCTCCTCTAACCCTTTCCACTGTTCTCTATCTTTTGCGACTCTTCTCCAGTTGTAGCCTGCTGTTAGTTTCAGTTCGTCCTCCCATCTCTTGCGTGGTCGACCTCTTCTTCGTTTTCCGTCTCTAGGGTACCATTCCGTCACAATTTTGCTCCATTTTTCACGAGGGCTCCGTAGCATATGACCCGTCCATCTCGTCATCAACGATAAGAATTAATGAAACATAAACTAGCTACTTAATTTTACGTGAATTATCTAGTAAAGACAACTAAAATTAATAAATTTATATACATACTAGTGGAGCCCACAGACGTTGTCCTGCATGATATTTAAAGCGATTAGGATATTAAGCAAAGTATGAAAGTACCGACTGCAGTGCCATCTGCCGGGCTGATTTGTGAATCTAAACCATTCCCAGATCCCCTTGAACACACACAAAAAATTTCATCAAAATCGGTCCAGTCGTTTGAGAGAAGTTCAGTCACATACACACGCACACAAGAAATATATATATTAAGATTTATAAAAGCTTGCCAACGCTCGGCACCCTGATATTGGTACACTTACAGGCAAACATTACAAACATTAAGAAAACAAATAAATTAAACCAAAAATTTTAATTATAAAAACTAAAGGACAGTCAATTTTAAAATGTTAGGGACAACTATGAATATCTAGCTCGTTTATAAGAATGCTCAATCTGTATATCCGCGAGTTGTGGCCAAAACGCATTCATCTGAAAGGAGGAACAAATGGGATGATGGGATGGGATGTATCTAAAGGGTACACGAAATTTAAATTTAGTTGAAAGGTTGGGTCAATCAACTTGATTCTTAAATATCTTAAATGCAAACGATATATCAATTAGTTTAAAGTCAGTCAGTTTTTTTTATGGCTCTGGCACGGTTTGTGCATTAGCCAGCGTCAAGTATAAGATTTTTTATAATTCGTGCTTGCCTTAGAACTTCGACCATGTCCTCCATGTACGGTTTAGGCACTCGCCCGGTACCGCACAACCCTCCCAAAGGCCGAGAACAAATTTAAATTAAATTAAAACTTGCCCTCGAACCGGGAATCGAACCCGGTACCCCTCACCTAGCTGCCACTTAATAAGACCGCTAGGCTGTGAGGCCCCCATTTCAGTCAGTTTATAAAAAATATTTTAAAGTCTTCGTTTTCTAAATATACCTACTTCTTTCGCTGCGCTGTCGGACTGTGCATATACTTATATGTAAAAATTGACTAATAATAATACTACATGAAATTTCGTGCCTCTTCATTACGTGAAGTATGTTGTATATTGTCAGTTAGTAAATAATAATTTTTTGGAATTAAAGTAATTTTTATATAACTTTATAAGTCTATTGTTCGGGTGATACGCTTAATATTGGACAAGTGTATATTATGAAGTATGCGCTCGCGCACGTGCCGCCATCTGTCGCAGGAAGCGGCACTCGAGCAGAAGATGGGCTTCACCATCATGTCAGATATGTGACATGCCGCGTCTGTCGTCACGCACGCCGCACAGGTGCTTTAAATATGCATTGAATATTTGGAGGCTAATTAGATGTAAAGTGGTTTATTAACGCTGCGTATAAACTATAAAGAGAGCAACACTTGGCCTAGTAATTTTAGCGTGCCAATCTTATCCCTGAGGTCGTGGGTTCGATCCCGAGCTGTTTACCAATGGACTTTCCTTCTACGTATGTGATTAGCATTCGCTCGAACGGTGTCAAGCACAGGAGGCAATGATCATGAAACAGATACAAATATCTGGGGTCCAGACCTAAAAAGGTTGTAGCGCCACTCATTTATTTTATTTTATGAATTATAAAGAATTATCTAAATGAAGATTTTTAATTAAAGAACGAGTGTGTGTTACGGTTTCGTTAGTTTGTTATTGGTCAACAGTATCTCTCGTCCAATCATAGACACGCGAAACGATTTTTGTTTTCATTTGACCAATCACAGTCAGACGAAAGGCGCCATCCGCTATCCGCATCCGCATATGTTTCGTCATATTTTAAATGAGACAGAAATTTATTAGTCACTATAGGTACAATAAACAATAATTATTTAAGGTAAAAATCTGATTTAAAGAAAAATGAGCGTGCGTACAACCTACACAATATGTCAGAAGTGAAACTTCTTTGGCAAACTAATTTTTAAGTCTTGTTCATGTTTATACAAATCTAAAACATTAGCTTTCCGAGACTTAGAGGGAGGGAAAAAGGAAGATATGTTAGGAATTAATTGAATTTAATTGTCATTAAAATATCAAAAGTGTCGAAAATTAACAAATTTTATATTAATTTTTTAAATTTATTTCTTCGATAATAAAAACACGTGGCACTTTCATTTACAATTCGTCATTTGTGATTTCAATAAATTATTTTGCATAAAATATAAAATACTAATATTTCATAAATTCTCTTTAAGAAATTTTAATTTTAAAAATAGAATTTCTATAAGGTAACTCTCACTCTCTCTCAATCGCTCTCTCCCTTTTCTTCGACAAAAATTTTCGTGACGTTTTCTTAAAAATTTACCACAATATAATATACAACTTCGAAACAGAAGTAAACTATAGGTACAATGTTCTACGCTAGACCCAGAGGAAGACAGTCCCTATTAATGCTAAATGATTGCAGGGGAATTGATAAAAAATATATTATACAATACACCGACATGTCTTATCGATCGCAATTCAATGTTATTTTAAGCTAACCCAGCCGCACCTGCTGCACCCCACCAATAATGAATCTTTACAGCAACATTACAAGCTTTTTATTCAGCAACAAACGGGTTTCAGACGATGCAACGATAGTTAACTAGTTTTAAATGTTAACATCCTGATTCCTAAGCTCAGATATAACGACGGAATTTCTTTTTATGACATAGTTGTTCAAGGAAAAGGTGATCAGTTAATACATCCCCATTCATAATCAAATTAATTATATTGTAGGCGACTTTATTGTACATATAAATTTATTATTTTAAAATTCTCAATATCATACTCAATTCTCAAAGCCAGAATTGTATATATTTTCAACGGTTCGTTCCACATTCTAATAAATATTATCAATTTTTTTGTAATAAAATATACTTTAAAATCGTCCCCTGTACTTTAAGCGATGTAATGCAATTGTTTCGTTTTGAACTACGATCTATGGCAGTGTTGGGAACAACGTAACAAAAATAAATTTGAATTGCTTGAGTTTTTCATTAAGTTTTTAACAATTTCCTAGTAATTTCTTCCTAAAAGCTATCATTTGAGGTTCTTCAGTGAACAATTCCATTTTTTAATATGAAATTATGTTAGATTTCGGGGGCATAAGAATTTAATATATGCTAAGGTGGGGCATGGCACAAAAAGGTTGGAAATCACTGATCTGAGGTATTATAGGAACTATCTTTAAGTTACTAGACAACCTGGATACAGCATAAGTTATAAATTCATTTTCAGACGATGCACCAGTATTTCGTCGTCTAATTAGTTTCATTATTACAACAGTACTGTTAATTTAAGTAACAGTCGAATCACAAAATTGTAGAAATGTTGCAATCAAATCACAACGTCTTATAGAAACTTCCTTCCCTAAACCTCTTCCTTCTAAATGGTTATATTATTCATTATAAATACAATGATACCCGATAACGCATTAGTTTGCCCGCTGTATTTTGTAATAATCTTTCGGTAGTATGAAGATTTTTGCGGAACTTCATAATGATAAAGTGGGCCGGTCACGTAGGCATGTTAATTGGTCGCAATGACCACTGCTCGGTGACCATAAAGAGTGCAGCGTGGGTAGCCCGACGCTCCGTCTAAAACTACGACCAAAACCTAGACCCCTACCTGTTCCAAGCATATCGTCCGTTTCACCTTCACCTCGCCGTAGACGACGAGGGGAAGCAGGTCGTGTTACACTGGTGCATACTGTTGATGAATGCCTCTTAATATTGTCTCGTTTTCCTTTGATGTGTTCATTCACAAATGCGGCCGCAGCGGTAATATGAATATTGAAAGTTTTATTAATATTTGAGATTAGTTTTGTTAAGTATGCCATCATTCAATATTATAAAAATAAATGAATCTCGTTGTTTGTTGTTGTCTAAAGCCCGATTCATTCAAGGTATTAAACGCCGGAACACAAATTACTTTGGAGCAAGAAGGCTTAGCTGTGTTAACTTACTACTGGTCTACTATGGAATCCAAGTTATTAAGGAATATCGAAACTATACAATAAAATAAAATTTTATTGCCATACTTAATCCTAACCCAATAAATGAGCATGTCAGCAATTAAACATATTGAATTATACAAAGAAGTCGCTTGAGGGAATATGAAGGGTTTCTTGTGAATGAAGTAGCAAATACAATTATTTTTGAATTTTATTTATGTGACGTTCATAAGAATTATCTGTTTATCAGTGGCTAAACATCTGATTTAAAAAAGAATTAACTAGGTTCTTATCTGAGGTTTACATTGTTATACTACGTATTGACATATTGACTCATCGTACCTAATCATAACTCATTACCAAATATTGTGTAATAAGTACCTGCTGGCATGCCTAATAACAAATCAAGCAGAACGCTTACCACACAGTGATAATCACCTTATGGAATAACATTGTACTACGAATAAAAGGAGTTTCAATATGAAATAACTATTTAGAACATCCTGCCGATTCCTAATTCTAACAAAACAGTTATCTCCAAAGCTTTTTTCATTAAAGCGCCGTCTATTTTGGTCGTTGTCCATCGGGAACTAGTGATACGCGGCTATTCCGAGCAGGGCAGGTTTTCGGGGAATGTCAACAAACCAACGGGCTCTCATTCAATGAACTCTGCAGAGCGCTGTTCAACGCCGGTGGCGGACCGGTCCACATAGCTATTCATAAAAATATGCTCCCAGACATTCAATGGACTCGACGACTGTCGGTTTTTCTAACTTCTAATGCCGTAAAGGATCACGTACTCAGATCACACTACTAAAGATTATTGAATGAAAACTCAAACGATTGACGCCTTTACAACAAGAATTGCCTGTTTTTTTTAGTAATATTTAGTTGAAAAGGTAATTCAATTGATTTTCTTAGCCGCATTCAAACAGGTAGGTATTTTTTATTCATTTGCTAAAATTTCCAGCGTTTCTTACGATTTCATTATATATAAGAGAAAACACTTGGTGTGTAAGTTGAACCCGATACACGTATTAATTTAAATGGCCAATTAATCAATTTCACAGCCCATGAGCGTAATCTTAGAATTGATTTTATTCAATCACATTAAACGATACAAATTGCGCAAATAAGTGGCGCCAGAGTTACCTGATATATTATGTTTGGTTCAAACTAATATTGTAAAGAATAAAGATTCTTTTAGCAACATTGCATGTACCAAAAGGCGTTGTTTAGGAAGTTAAATCTGACATGTCGAAAATCAATTAGCAAGTGTTATCTTACAAATCTTAAAAGCAGGTCAAGTTTGTGAGAACCAATCTTAAGTTCTAAAGTATATTTGTAAAAGACTGTTAACCTTTTTGTTTTAATGCCAGAGGATCGGGAATAAAAAACATGTATAAAGATTTAGTTTCGTATAATTTTCTTTTAACAAATGATCAATAGAAAACTGTATAATTAACAATGTAGCATCTTAACAGATATTTCAAAATTATTAGCGATGTAGGTAATATTTTACATATACTTTGGAATGTTTATATAAACAATCTCTTAGGAATTGACAATACAGCATGGTACACAAGACAATTTTTTATACAGACTCTGATAGATTGGTCCTATAATTTGTCAACACATGAAAGCCATACAATGGTAGAGTGGTCTAGAATAAAATACACCAATTTATCAGACCCTGTACTGCTGTCACAGCCCATTAACAAATTTACTATATTTTTGTGTCATCCCCTCAGTCAAGCCACCATTATACAAAGACAATAAATACAATTAAGAAATTTTACAATAGAATATTATTGACAATAAATGATTACTTCAAATTCTATATTTCATTTATAATAAATTACTATACAATATACAGATAGTGAATTTTTAGTTGTTGCGGTTTAAAATTAGCTAGAAGCAAAAGGGACAGACTGGCAATTGACAGTGAGGAGTGACATTTAAGACACCATCCAATGTTATACAATTTTTACAATTATTATTATTGAGATTCACAATGAGATTACATAGGACATATGATTGCGAGGCCGTGCTTAGCAAGGTTTAATGGATGTAACCGTTAACATGGCAAATCCGTGCGGCTGATCAATGAATTTTAACTAAATAAAGCAGTCAATAAATAAATGTTTATAAATATCTAATAAATACCTACAGGGGCTATATTTACAAGAAGCCTTCTCACAAGGGCTGGTCTCCATCATTAAACGAATATAATACAGCTCTATCCCAGTGGGATATCAGGTATAAATTAAAAAATAAAGTAAAGCTGCCGGCTTAACATGTATTACAAAATAATACTGACACCAGTAATATACTCTAACCGTGCGATGGAATGTGCTACAGCAATAGGAACTGAGCTACTCGCTGCCTCACAAGTATCCAACTTCATCACAACACAACAAGTAATAAATACAATATTGATTTACCAATATAAGTGGCCCAGAGACTCATACAAATGATCACCTTTGCAATATACAAAGGTGTTTTTATACTGGGACATAGATTTATCTATTTGAGTATAAATGCTCTGCAGACTTTACAATAAGGCCCATTTACTAAACATTTACTACAATACAAAACAATAACATGCAGTGGAATCAGGTAGCAAGTGTTATCACTCTGCTCAAACAATCATTACTATGATGGACATATTAAACTGAATTCTTATAAGAAACAATATATTACTACATGGAATGAGATTTGTTATCTTGTTTCAGCAGAGTGAGTACCCTCTAACCTGTTATACAACCCAACAATACAACATAACAACTTCTAATACGAGCGAGTAGCATATAGGGACATGGTCATTGCCCATCTCACTAGTCCAACATACAACATTAAACAGAACCATGTACACATTATTCACAAACACAGCTGAAGGAACTGAAATTTGACAACTCTCAACTTCAGTTTCGGTATATACAAAAGAAATTCCTCAGAAATAAATTATATGCTTCGTAAATTAATTATCACATAAATTTTCTTACTCCCGTTCGATCCACATAACTTAACACATAATCTAACTATATGTACATGTATGAACAGAATGTCTATAGAGTTGGGGCAGTGCAGACCGGCAGCTGACCCCGGGGCGTCGCTACAGCCACCAGGTGCACCAGGCCACGCTCAGCCGACGGAGGCGCTTTGCCCCGCCGGTGCAGCCGCACCCACGCCCCGAAGCAGACTAGAATCGCAAGGAACACGGCCACAGTGGCCCCGCCGGCGATCGACGCCGTCTCCATCATGAGCTGCCGGCTCGTCAACACATATGAGTTATCCAAGTCCTTGAACTCGCACCGCTGACCCACGTAACCGTTTCGGCACTCACAATTATAGATAGGACTGTCCGAGATCACTACAGTAAAGCACACTCCACCGTTGAGGCAATAGTACTCCGAGTAGTCGGGCTCGCACTTGAAGATGGGGAAGGTGACGTTGAGACGCGGCTGCGGTTGCGGCTGCGGCGGCGGGCGCTGCGGTCTCGCAGGCCTCGCGGGCCGCTTCGAGATGGAGCTCGAGCAGGCGCCCGCCAGCGCCCAAGCTGCAGACACCACCGCCCACCATACTACCAAAGACTGCATTGTCCGCTCGCTCCGGACGCTCGGCGCTCGCGGTAAATACACGATTTTGACATTGGACGGTGACTTATACGAAATCCGAGAGGCGATGACATGACCGCTTTCGAATTTCGAACTCGAACCCTTCGCTCGCATCCGCGTCGGCGGTCCGCCCAGACATGTTTCCTGTGTCAACTTTTTTTAACGTCGACGATCACTCGCTCATGACGGAGGCGCGGTTTCTAGCGCCCGAGATATCGCCTTGATTCCACCGTGGGCATGTCGAAAGTGAAACACGATTCAATTATTGTACACTGAGTTCGTAGTTAAAAATTATTCACGGAGCACATACACACAATGTCCCGTTCGAAAGTTTACACACAAAATGGTGCTTAGCGGAACGAAATCGCACTGCGCTCAACGAGTTGTCTGTGCACGACTGATGGAAGGCGTCTACTGCATCCGCCATCTGCCGACGAGAATGAATGCGGTGAACTCAGACGCGAGTCGTTTGTGTGCGCAACCTGTCCGTGTATAGATTAGTTGTCGGTGTGTGTACGCACTGCGTCAATGTGTGAATATATTTTTTTCTTTTACGAGACAAAGAGATAAAAAAAAGTCCCATTGGTATAGCTCTTACAAGCATTACCTACCTAGTTTTTCGTTGCGATTTTAAGCTTTATTGCTTTAACCTTTTTTGAGAAACCTTGATCAGGTTCTGGAGCATATTGTTTGTGTTTTAAACTTGTTTTATATTATAGCTGCACAATGAATAAGAAACCTACAACAAGACCCAGTCCTAAGTACCAATTAATTATCGTATTAACTAGTAAGAAATTAGTACTAAGGTACTGTTAGGAATGATTAGGTAAGTTTATATCTGAAGGTGTTTTTGAATAAGCCAAGAGATACTCTCACAAAATCTTAAACAATTACTCTAATTAGACGGCTTTTTTAATTTAATATGAACGAGATTATGGACATTTTTCGCTTTGATTTTGCATAGGTATATTTAAACATTATTACATGTACTCAGTTGCAGATTTAAATCGTAACATTAATAAAAGTCACTATCGCCATAATAGATAACAAATAACAATGTAATGACATCAATAGCATATCTAGTTTTGAAAATTAAAAAGTGGATACTACATAAACTTTTGTCAAAGTTTATGAATTTAGAAAGACCAAACATAGATTGATTGTCCCTATTGTCATTATCGATATACTTATAATATTTGATGCAATTAATAATATAAAAATAAGGTCCTCTTAAATTTGAGATTGTAAATGCTCATAAATTGCAGGAGGGAAAACAATATTATAAGCAGACATTTTATTTCATTTTTCTTGTGTAATAATTAGTACTTATTATTTTGAGATGTATTTATCATTTTTCAAGTATAACATTCAATACATCTAATATTGAAAACATCTTAGCATATTCTATCAATATTTTATGCCGTAAGATAGCAAATTTAAGTACTAAATTTATAAATGAATTAACTTTTGGATTATTTTTCCCATTAGATATCAACAAAACATGTTTGTCTCTTTCGTCATACTATTACTATTGTATTCGTTGATAAGTTTCTCAATAGATTATCTTTCTCTATGGTCAAGCTATCGGATATGACATCTGCTACTGTCAATTATGACAGTTAACAGTTGCCAATAATAAAGACAATACACTATAGTGTCAATTTGCAAGATAAGTGTTTAAAAGTTTATCTCACAATAATCATCAACATTTTTTATACATATAAAATTATAAAAATACATTGAATATTTTGAATGTAACTCCAACACAAATTCCTTTAAAAATGTCTGAATCCTCAAAATCGAAATCTTCTAACTTAAATGCTACACCTAGCTTACAATGTAAAGATCTACACGAGTATCTTAAAAGTCGGTCTTCTCAGTTTTTGGAGACTCTCTACAATTACCCTACAATTTGTTTAGCAGTGTATAGGTAAGTACAATACAATGATGTATAGATTGATAATATTGTAATTATTTTTTATTTCGATTTTTTAAGATAATATTTATCTTTACAGAGAATTACCAGAACTGGCTCGACACTTTATAATTCGCCTTCTTTTTGTCGAACAGCCAGTCCCACAGGCAGTTGTAGCATCATGGGTCACACAAACACATGCTAAGTATGTGCAAAAGTATTCGAATTTCAAACTCATGAACCCTTTACAGGTTTACTGTTTACATTGTGTAAAAGGAATTTATACTTATTTCCTTCAATTAGAGGTACATGTTTTAATGGTAAAACAGTTTTGGTTGATGTTACTTGCTTTATTTTTTGTCATAAATACAAACATAAAATCTATAACTATATCTATATATATATACTCTTTAAATGATTACCTAATATGTTATTAATTGAATAAAAAAAACAATGATTGTTTTTGTTATATTAAACAGTATAATATTAGTTTTGTTGCAATAGATATAGTAAGAAACTATTTCTCCATAACAATATTTACAATTATGTTTCACACAGATGACTCTCATTTACACTTTATTTTTACCACTTGATAAGAAAATAATGTAATACATATTTCTATCCATTAAATAAGCTTTATTAAAATATGTTTTTAATTTAGGGAACAAAGCAAAGCTTCTGAGGCATTAACAGAACTATCAGTATGGCATGAGGCACCTATACCTGGAGGCTTACCGGGATGGTTGTTATCACAGTCATTTAAGAAAAATTTAAAAATTGCTCTTTTGGGTGGGTAAGTTATTTTTTAAAAATTACTTACTATGCCATTACAGTGCCATGCAATAAGCATTTTGTTAGCGACACATTTGCCAGGTCGAATCAGTACAAGTTAAGACAGAATGGTTATCTTATATACAAGAAAATGAGCAGAGGGGTCACTTTGAATAATGTGAATACAGCCGCCCATGGAATAAGCACCTGTTAATAAAATACTTCCATGTTATCTGTTTTTTTTTTAATTAATTTAATTCAATCACATTCAATACATGTGACTTAGTCTGAAGATTTTCAAGTGGAAGATTTGTGTAAAACTAACTATCCAATAAACCTTTTCTATGAATTGTATCCAAAATATATTTTTGTTATTATTATTATAAAAGTACAAAGTACTAAAATGTATAATATTGTCTTTCAGTGGCCGCCCATGGAGTATGTCACAAACCTTGGAACCAGATGGCAAAGCAAGGGATGTAGCATTCTTAGATGCATATGCACTTGAGCGATGGGAATGTGTTCTTCATTACATGGTTGGCAGTCAGCAAACAGAAGGAATTAGTGCTGATGCTGTAAGGATATTGCTTCATGCTGGACTCATGACTAGGTACAATATATTTGACTCAATATTTTTATAAAAATAATCGTAATAACAGCCAAATCAATTTTTACACCTTTATTTGTGCTTATTATACAAGCTATATTTTCTGTTAAATTTTTTATATTTCACCATAAGTGTCAAATGCTCGTGAATGTCAAATAGAAATATATTTTTGTACAATTTATTGAATTTAAGTACGTTATTCCTTTGTTGAAGAAGTTGATAACTAGGTGTTTATTGTGTATTAACTGTATATATGTGATATTCTTGACATTGAATAATATTTGATTATGATGATATATGTTTCCGAGCTTTTTTGATAAATATAGCAAGCATTATGTTTGTCCACAATTATTTTTTCAGCGGAAACTAAAAGTCGTGGGTTTTTAATCAGTTGTATTCGCTCTAGTAGTTTTTGGGGATGGGTATATTTCGAAGAAACATGTATAATATTAAATTTTCAAAATGACATATATTGCAACTTAAAATTATTTCGAATTTAAATGTAGACTCGTCGTCAACCTTGTCTCAAATTCTTTGCTGTTCCTACAATTAATATTATAAATCTGTTCAGACACTTTGCATGCTTTATCAGATCATAACAGACTTTGCCTTTGGTTGTCATAAATAAAAAATAATAAGTGTTAGTTTTTGGTTATTTTTAATAATGTATTTATTTATTGTCACTTTATAAGCAAATAAATAAATAAGTATCTTAAATGTAGCACAAATTTTTAGAGATGCGGAGGATGGCTCAGCGGTAATAACTAAAGCTGGCTTTCAGTTCCTTTTGCTCAGTACGGCTAAACAGGTAAGTTAAATACAATTACAATTTTAAAATAATACTGATTTATTTTTATAACAAATATAAGTACTTAATCATATATAATATTTGGGGAAATAATAAGGCACATCCACAGATTATAAAATTGCATGTTATAGACTATAGGAATGGTGTGACTTCGAGCAATAAAGAATGAAAACTCCTTGGTGATACTTTGTTCAAATGACTTCTGACCTGAATTAAACCATTATAAAGATTTTATATTAACAACATCTTTTATCGAAGTATGTAAATAAATTGGCATTTATATTAAAGAATATACCAACAAACAATAAATATTAATTCGACTTACGGTCCTTCAAGAAAAGAGCGTAGCAATTCTTAAAAAGCCGGCAACGTACCCGTGAGTATCCATTGGCAAATAATATCACTAAATATCAGATGAGCCTGCCAGATTTCTCTGTGCTATAAAAAAAAAAGTTCCTTCAGTGAATGCGCATGGTGTATGGGAATATATTTAATATAATATGAGTCAATAAAACTTATTTATCTAAATTTAAGTACTAGGATTAATTTAAATATTTTCAGGTATGGTTATTCCTTCAACATTATCTACACACTGCGGAGAAGAGGAATCTGAGTTCAGCGGAATGTTTAGCTTATTTATATCAACTCAGCTTTAGTACACTTGGAAAGGTGAGTTATTATTCGCGAGCCCTCTGGCATTGAGAGTGTCCATGGGTGGCGGTATCACTTCAGATGAGCCTCATGCCGGTTTGCCCCCTGGTCTATAAAAAAAAATTAAAAGTCAAGCAAGGCAGAATACAAAATACCATCCGTATCACCTCGACGTCCGTTCCACAACTGAGCGTTTTTCAAGACAGTTTTTGCCTCGCACCACCGCTATGTGGAACCAGCTGCTCACTGAAGTATTTCCGACCCGATCCGACTTAGGCCTGGCGCTATTATCGGCATCGGTACGACTGAGGATTTTAGGTGGCAAATAGCAATATACTATAACATAATGGCAATAAAGTAGAAATTTCCGTGATATGTGGTCGTAATAACAAAAATACCACTTCGGTATGCTTGAGGCTGGTGTATCGGCAACCTTCGATACGCCGCCGGCGCCGAGGCAACACTCGGGGGATAGTTTGCCCTGCGGGGCGAGGGGAGGCATCCGCCATTTGCATCATTTGACTCACACAACTCAATCGAGGTAATCGCTGTGTAGCAAGCTACAGGACGGTGCGGCATCCCTAAGAACGTTGCAGCATGCCAAAGCATAATTGCCGATAGTGTGCGCTTGCATGTAGGATGCCGAAGGATCCTTTTCCTTGCCGATGCCGATAATGGGCGCCGGGCCTTAGGGTTCTTCAAGAAAAGGGCGTACCAATTCTTAAAAAACCGGCAACTCACTTGCGAGCCTTCTGGCAATGTAAGTGTCCATGGGCGGCCGTATCACTAAACATCAGGTGAGCCTTCTGCCCGTTTGCTTTTTATTACATAATTAAAAATATAATAATAGCGCTATTTATAGGTACACATATAAACGGCCTTATATATCAAATGACTAATTTAGTTCATTTTTATTAAAAATATTAACTATTTCAACTGAATTGTCCCTTTCTGTCACGTCATAAACAGAATTTGATAGAAAGAGAGAGTATTACTATTAAATCTTATTGAACTACACTTACAAGCACCAAAAAACTGTCTTTGACTTGCCTGGTGACTCTGGGGCCTCTGTGGAGCCCCACTTCATATATAAATAAAACTAGTGTTTTATTAAAAAAAAAAAGGGTTCGTGTACTTATGTACGCGCGTAAGAAGTTATACTTCTTTGGCAATATTAAAAATAGTTTGGCTTTGTTCCACCTCCAGTTTTTGATGTTTCACAGCGATAAGATGAAAACTCTTTTTTTGTATTCAATTTAGTGCAGTTACACTGATTCATCAATTGTTTTTTGTCTCTTTTCCTTATATTTGCTAGATAAAATCAGAAAAATTACATGTTTTGATTAAACAATGTGGTTAATTTTTTAATCAAAAGATTACTCGATAATAATAATAATACATACGGATAGTTAACCTCAATTGTATTGAAGCACTTAGGAAGGTTGATGAGCACAGTTTTTTCACAAATATTAATTAGTATTGGTTTAAATATTCAATTTAAATCACTTCTGATTATAATTCAAAAAGCATCGCTAAATTTCTTTGAAAAAATAATTAAAACTCCTTTATTTGTTTAAAAGGTAAATGACAAATGTCATTATGGTCATTCAAAATTGTTGGCATACGAACTTCAGGCATATTCTATTTCTTTTTACTTGTAGATTGTCTTATTCCTATCTCGCTCGCGCACGCTATAATCACACTCCTAATTTTGTATCACGGGTGCGCGCGCATTGTAAAATTTCACTCTCATAAATTTTTCATAACGCGCCTAAAGAAGTATAACTTCAAAAACGGATTTTAATTTAATTTAATTTAATTAGCCTTTATTGCTGACACCCATACAATTATTTAAGTTACATAAAAAAACACTTAATTCTAACACATAAATAAAATAAAACTTAATCTAATGCATCATATGACCCGTTTTTGGTAATCAGCGTGTCCTGTGACACGTAGGCCTCTTCCAGCTGTTTCCATTCTTTTCTGTTATTAGCTCTTCTTGTCCAAGTTGTGCCTCCTATTATCTTAATATCGTCTGCCCATCTCTTGGTCGGTCTTCCTCTTTTCCTTTTTCCATCACGTGGTTGCCATTCTGTAATTATTTTTGTCCATTTCAACCTGCTATCTCTCGTCATGTGCCCAGTCCAGCGCCATTTCAACTGCCTTATTTTCTTTATAATGTCTTCTACTTTGGTCGTTGATCTGATCTCTTCTGCTCTTTTTCGATGTCTCAGTGTTACACCCACCCAAAAACGGATTAAATAAATTAAAATAAAAACGTTTCCTCCCAGATAAATATCTTAATTTCTTAATTATTCATAGAAAATAAACCACGAAATATAGAAACCTGAGGCCCAGACCTAAAAGGGTGTAGCGCCAATGTTTTTAGACGCATTTATTTGTTGTATATAACAACAAACTATATTTTGTTTTTATAATTTCAGGATTACAGTACAGAAGGCATGAGCAACAATATGCTGATGTTTCTACAGCATTTGAGGGAGTTTGGACTCGTCTATCAGAGAAAGGTATTTTTAATGTTTCTTTACTATACAGTGAATTTTAACCTTTAATTTAAAATTAGTACAAAATGCATATGCTTTTAGCATTTTTGTATATGGTATAGCGACTGTTTTGATAAATAATTTGTAATTCCTATTTTAATTGTAATGTAGAGGGAGGGTAAAACTTGCTGAGTTTCTTACCCGTTCTTTTCAGAACAAGGCCTCCTGGTAGTTTTGCGAACGGATGGCGTAGTCTTGCTCTTTCGCGAATTTTGTAAACGTTTTTCACATAAGCATGCCCTAAGACGCATCTAGACTGAATAAACGTATTTTGATTGATTTTGGTTTAGAAGTCGGTCACCAAAGAGGTTTCTTATCTTTACAATCACACAGATGGAAAATGGAGATCTGTACCTGTACAGTTTGTACAGCCAGTGGACTGTGAAATGTGTGTTTAAATTTATATGTATTAACTGTCAGAAGTGTCTGTATAATATATGTAGTGTATGTATGAGCGAGCTGCACTGGATAACTGAGATGTAAGAACCTAACAACCCTACGGACCCCTAAGCCCTACAGACGAACCCTAACACCTAAATAAGTACGGGATATCTGGACCAAGGGACCTAAGGTAACAGACGGAGCCCTACGGGTAGGATCAAAGGATTGAGGTTGTGGGATCACCTCAAAGCTATCAGGCTCACCCTGATAATAAGGAGATTGTAGTAGTTTTCACTATTTCTCCATTATTAAGGTATAAAGGTGTGAGGTCACGCGCTCGCGAGAGTTTCTAGCGTCAATGCGCGGAGCCGCGCGTTCAAGTCGAAAAAATCAACTTTTTATTTTTATTATGCCCTAGGTTGTACACATTTGGCGATTATTATAAAGTAAAATAGATCCTGGGTCCGGGGGATGTTAGAGTATGATTCAAAAACGTAATATTACGTTAAGTGTATTTGACATACGCGAGTAATAGTTCGGGTTAAGTCTGCTTAACAGATTGGTTAACCAATGAACGCGATAAAATGCTATACATTATAATATTATTAAAATCTTGTACGCTGCTTTTTGCACAGACTCCCAACAAATTTTCATCGCCTTATAAATGTCAAATTTTTTGATCCCTTTCAGCGCAAAGCGGGTCGCTTTTACCCCACGCGTCTGGCGCTGAATATAACCTGTGTTCGAGATGGTATAGCGCCGTTGGAAGCCAAAAGATCGCAAGGGTATATAGTCGTTGAGAGCAATTATCGCCTCTACGGGTATACGCAGAGCACATTGCAAGTCGCTCTTTTGGGCCTCTTCACCGAGTTAATGTATAGGTAAGAGCTTAGCTATTCACAAATGCCGAAAAATAAATTATATAAAAAACGTTCCTAGTGTTTGACTTCAGTATATTATCAATATTGCGGTCGTGTCCAATGGAAGTGTACTTAACTCTCACTTGCGTACAACGCGTACGAAATGAGGCAGTGGGCATGGACAAAAACCGATGGTCTAGGTGGACTGACGACATCGACATCAAGGCGCAGTACACTCCCAGTGCACGCAGAGCTGGGCGTACTGGAGAAAACGGAGGATGCATACCTCCAGAAATGGACAAAAAAAGAAACTGAACATAATGCGTACAATGATATTCTATATATATTTTCGTACGTGGCCAGTCTGCTCAATAGAGAAGCTGAGTCAGTCTTGAATTTTATTTAGTTTCGGTCGTTGGAATCGTTTAAAATCACAAAACCTTCGGGTTAAATATTGATTTTTATAATAATATATAAATAAGAAATTTGGTAATGTTCTCCCTTGTGAATAGATTTTTGTTTTTTACATTTTTGAACTTTTTCTATTAATGTGCACTAAAGAAAAAAGCGCATCGATTCTTAAAAGGCCCCTAACGCACGCGAGGCCTTTGGCATTATGTGTCCATGGGCGGCGGTATAACTTAACATCAGGTGAACCCGTTTGCCCTTCTGTATAAAAAAATATATTTTAAAAAGTAATTTTGTATTTTACTAACAATTTTCACTCCACTCGACTGTCACATTGTTCTCTTGGAAGTATGCTTTTGTTTGTAAAAAAAAAAATTTTTTTCCAAATATCAAAATTTTTTAATTAACAAAGAAAGTAAATGCCCTTTACTTTTTTGCTTACACTTGTCTATGGTTTTGAATTAATTTTACCTATGGTTTTGTCTATTTCTAGTAATTTTTTAATGCCATACAGTAAATTTTTACAGGTTCCCGAACTTAGTGGTCGGGGTGATAACTCGTGAATCAGTGCGTCAGGCGTTTCGAGGTGGAATCTCTGCGCAACAGATCATCAAGTTTCTGGAGCAGCATTCACATCCACAGGTATTTTGAACATAAAAAAATTGTGTTTTCCATGTCCGTTACGTTTGTTAATCAAAAACAATGGATTTAAGTACAGCTTTTGACACAAATATTATGTCGAAAAGCTTTGATGTCCTCCAAATCACATAGAATTCCCATAATTCTAAAACAACCAACCAGAATTTGATGAAACTTTGACAATTACCTACCGTTGAATATATGTATTATTATCGTGTTTTATATCTGTATATCTATCTTGCCTATCAGTTTTTACGGACATCAAAAATTAACAGTGATCTGTTTCTGTATTTGGGAGCGTTCAAGTATTACCCCCCTCCCCCACGTATCTCACCGTAACGTTTTTCGGTACCCTAGTACAGTACTGTAATCAAGTATAGTAAAACGTTTCGTGACCACCTTGTGTCTCTTTAGTTACTATTATGTGGTGTAAGTCGAAAATAATATTAACAATAACGCGTAATTCAATCCCCGCCCCGCATCGTAACGTTTTACAAAAGGACCCCCCACTCCCAAAACGCGTTACGTAATACTTGAACACTCCCTTTGATAGTGTTGGAATGGTATATTTAAATGTTTACCTTGCCGAGCACACGTGCAAATTTACGTCGACAATTTTTAGTAAACTTAAAATAGGTATATCCCAAATTACGGAGTTTTAAGTTTCATCAAAATCGGTTTAGTCGTTTTAGAGATATAAGTATCCACGCGTTTCTGGACGGGACATTTATTATTTAGGTAATACATAACTAGCTAGAACCTAGAAAATTTCATCAACATCACCTTGATGGCTGGAAGTCTTCCACAGTCTGTTTCACAAAGCGCTTTCTTTGGCGAACTAGCGAACCGTGGAATCGACTCCCGGTAGGGGTCTTCCCTGAGAGATACGACCTCCAACTATTCAAATTTAGAATGTTCTCCTCCTTCAAAGGCCGGCAACGGATCCACTAAAAATGGGTTTTCCCTCCTATTAATTAAAAAAGATTTTTTTTACAAGCATTTGAGAGTCGGTTTATTCAATTATTTTTTTCTTACCCCTGAATTTTATTAAACAGAATAATATAGTTATTTATTTTATATGAATTATTATTGAAGTGAAACTTCTTTATCGAGGTTGGAAAAAAATTTAGTGTAACATTTTTTCGTTACGCGTCACATTTTTCGGTTACGCGCCATGTTGCTTTTTGAAGTCAAACTTCTTTATCGGCGTTGGAATGAAACTTCTTTATCGACGTATGGGAGAAATTTTGTAGCAAATCGTCACGTTTTTCAATGATAGTAATAATTCTATTACAATTAATGAAATTCTATAATAATCTTCGTAGTAATAAGATAAAATGAAATATTTGTATTCATGTCTATGATAATAAAAGCCTTTTGTTAAACTTTATCTAATTTAACGAATTTCTGTAAAGTTGCATATAGTAGATCATTTTTCGAAAAATAAGATCATAAAGAAGTTTCACTTCTTACGTGTGTACACCTAGTACACGCACAATTTATTATAATATTTCACGACTTTTTCTCGAAGGGGTAGTTATTAGTTAATATACATTATAATAAAGTAAATTTTTGATATTTACAGATGTTGTGCGCTGAATCTGGTGGTATAAAGACATCATCACTTCTCCCGCCGACAGTCGTGGATCAGATCAGACTCTGGGAGAGTGAGAGGAACCGATTCACGTACACCGAAGGAGTGGTCTACAACCAGTTCCTATCACAGGTTAGTTGTAATATATACATTAAGCGGTCTTTTAAAGATTATTATTATTAAAGCTTTAGAGCAGTGTTGCCCTAGTGGCTTCAGCGTGCGACTCTCATACCTGAGGTCGTAGGTTCGATCCCCGGCTGTACACCAATAGACTTTCTTTCTATGTGCGCATTTAACATTTGCTCGAACGGTGAAGGAAAACATCGTGAGGAAACCGACATGTCTTAGACCTAAAAAGTCGACGGCGTGTGTGACTGAAGGCTGATCATCTACTTGCCTATTAGATTTAAAAAAAAACGTGTGGCACTCGGGGACTCCCGCGGAATTTTTTTATCAACTTATGCAGTTATAATTATTTATTTATGTAGTATTTGTTTTTCTTTGATATTCATTCAAGTTTTTTATTTGATATTATTTCAATCTACCACTCTACTAGACTCAGACTAAAACGCCTATATAGTCTGTCTCACTCTAACGCGTACCGGCTGCACCGGCCCCGCTCACGCTACGTCACCGAACTCGTCAGAGTGATGGGAATGCGCAGTATGCGTTCTGTCCCACTCTAACGCGTATTTGCCGCACCTATATTACGTTATCGTGTGTTAGGTATTTTTCGTTACGGAATTTCTTGATTCGGTCGCCGCGCTCAAAGCCCGCGATAAAATCTATGAAATAGCTTAAAATTTTCATGAAACGAAATCTGAGGCCAAGACCTAAAAAGGTTGTAGCGCCACTGATTTATTTATGTATTTTTTTATTAATGATACAACAATTGGTTAGTTATCATTTCTTATTATAAGTTGTAAAAATTTGTTACTTTATTTGTGGTATTTTAGGGTAAAAGCCTCAACCATATTTTCCATTTCTCTTTGTCTTGAGCAACATTCATCCAGTTTTTCCCCGCTCGATCTATTATGTCATCTGTCCATCTTTTCTTTTGTCGTTCTATACATCTCTTTCCAGTAGGTCTGGTCCATATTATTGTTTCGTGTCCATCTTTTAGACCGCGCTCTAAATATATGACCTGCCCTTTTCCATTTATGCCTTAGAGCGTGTACATGTGCATTTATAAGTTTTGTTCTGTTACGAATGTCAGGCAGATCTCTTTAAGATATCTTTCATTAATTTGATTTTTATTAAAAAAAAGTATAATATGTTTATTATGGAACATAAGATACAGGTATCACTTATTCCACGTCATTAAATTATTAATCCCTACTCATCGGCAAAGAAGACAGAGGGTGTAGGCCGAGAAAAAGCCGGCGTAAAAACCTCTCGGTACTCTTTTAAAATAGCAAATCATCAAACAACACTTATTTTAAAACAAATATCGCAAATTAATTAGAAGTAGCCTGTCTAGCACTCGTCCCAGGCCCTTTTATCAACTAGATAATAATCGTTAACTTAAATTATTATAATTATTGTTTTACCTGGCTTCTAAAAATTATTTATTTATAATAGTATATAACTGTCACTTGCTTATGTCCTAAGTTTTTGTGAGAAATAAATAAAGATTATATTATTTAAAAAAAAACTGACTGGGCTGATGTGACCCAGTAGTGTAGAAAGACCTGCTTCATTTTTTTTGTGATAATGAGAGAATTTTTCCTCAGGCTGACTTCGTAGTATTACGAGATTATGCGCGTGCGCAGAGCGTACTAAGTTGGCAGAACGAGCGCACTCGTACTATGGTTGTGACAAGACCGGGACACGATGACGTCAAGAAGTTCTGGAAACGCTACTCAAAGTCTTCGTAGAACACAAATATGACATAATATGGAGGAAAATAAAAGAAAACTGAATGTCTAGTTATATAATGCCTAGATTAAGTTGTATATTGTAAATAAATTTTTATATTATCTTTTTTTTAACTTTCTAAAAATTTCCTTCTTAACTTATTTTTTCGTCTCTTTTTGTCAGATTGTGTTTAGGCTATTAAAAAGAGACAAGTTATTATCGAACGCGCGTAAAGCTTAGGTTTACTAGAAAACAGGTGTCGATAACTAACGGCCGTAATTTTGCGGTTGTTAATAACGCACTTACTTTTGCAAAATAACATAATGCAAAAACATCTTTTTCGCTCGTCCACTCATTGTATTAATTAAATATGGGCACCGCTTTACGCGAAACACGTTGAACTAATGTTTATCACCGCTATGACGACCGTCATGCAAATTACAGCACCGCTATTTGACGTTACGGTGACACTCGACGTTCTCTAGGAAACCTACTCCGATGTTATTTATAGACAACGTATGGGTGACGTCTACCAACGTTACACTACGGCCGTTAGATTGTATTTCAATAGACAACTAAAAAAATACTTTTACACTTATTTTGAGAAAAAATATCATCAAATGAGGCATACACCTAGGCCACTGATATTCGGAAAGCAAACCAGAGCCAAAACGCGTGGCACGCAAAATTATTAATTCATCTGGTAAAATTTCAGGGAATTGTAGTGAAATAAAATTAACGTCGAGCCTTTGGATTTTAATAATACAAAATATTGTTATATTTTTTTAAACTTGGCTAAATATCAGCAAGTAGGCGGTGGGGGTGGTTTAACGGGTGCCAACGCTGCGTACAATTTGGAAATGGCCGACTGAACCATTCGTTGCAAAGCTTCATCATTGCTTGTTACATCCTGAAATATAAATATTTTTATATTAAGTGTTGGTTATAAACATACTATAATCCAATATATATATAATACTAGCGGATCCCACAGACGTTGTCCTGCATGATATTTCAAGCAATTAGGATATTAAACAAAGTATGAAAGTATCGACTGCAGCGCCATCTGTCGGGCTGATTTGTGAATCTAAACCATCCAGGGCTCCACCTAAACGCAAACAAAAATAATCATTCATCGGTCCAGCCGTTTAAGAGGAGTTCAGTAACATATACACGTAAAAATATATATCTAGATATAGGGAGTCCATAGCGGACAAACAACGTGACTTGTCATTTATATATATTAAGATAATAAAACTAATTATTTAAATAATTGGTAGGTAGTAGTTTAAATAATTAGGAAATAGGACAAAAAATCTATAGAAAATAAAAATAACAAAAAATTATGGAAAGAAAAAAAAAGAATGAGGTACATTTTAAGTGTGTAATGTGTGTGTAACGTGTTCCAGAGCGCTGATCATTCTACCAGAGACCACAACCAACAACAACAATTAGGATTCAGAGACAATTCTAAGTTCCGAACTCTGGATCTTAATTACCCTCTGATGTATGTTATAACTTACCAAGGCTAGAAGATCAATATCCGCTCTTCTGCCGTTCACCTCCACGTGTAACTTCTCGCCTTTAAACATCTTCGGGACTGAGTCCTCTCCGAACATTTCTTGAAGCATCTCTATGACGCACTCCTGTGAAAATATATTTTACGGTTGGTGCCCACCAATAGACTATGTGCGCATTTAATACACGCTCGTACGGGAAAGGCGACCATCGTGAGCAAATTGTATGCCTTTGAAATATTGTAAGTAATCCTACTTGCCTTTAAAAAAATTACGAAACATATACTGATTTTTTTATTTCGTACACTGCAATTTCTAGAATTTTTAAACTAACTTCTTAGGGAGCATTCAAGTATTACGTAACGAATTTTGGCGGGGGTGGGGTCCTTTTGTAAAACGTTACGATGCGGGGCGGGGATTGAATTACGCGTTATTGTTAATATTATTTTCGACTTACACCACATAATAGTAACTAAAGAGACACAAGTCACGAAACGTTTTACTAGACTTGGGAACAGTACTGCACTTGGGTACTGAAAAACGTTACGGCGAGATACAGGGGGGGTCAATAATCTCAAAAAATTGCGTTACGTAATACTTAAACGCTCCCTTATAAGGAAGTGCGTTTTCAAAGATTTATACAGTGTACGTTTTATACAGTCAATTAGTAAATTTGATGTGTCAGTCTCGCTATTTGATAGATTACGTATATAAAATTTCGTTTATACATTAAATAAATTTCCATTTAATGTTAATTCAAACTCAAAATATATTTAAGATCATCTAAATCAAATTTGATGTCAATAAACTCCCCACCCCTTTTGAAACATTAATGAAATAAAATTATGACGAAACATTCATAGCGTAAACCAAACACAATTTTTTAAATCGACAGTTAAATACACTTATTTCTGAAAACTGTTAGGCTTATTACTATTCATTCTCAAGTTTATATTAATAAATAAAACAGTGACAAAATATTAGTTTGTGTGTATTACCTTAAAGTGCATCCGGTCCAATTTGGGCGCGAGCGGCAGATGCGTGGGTTGGGGCATGGAGGCTGCGGCTAGTAAGGCCGCTACCACCGCATCCGCGTACATGTCTGACACCGGCTGCGCCTGCCACTGTTAACGGCGTAAAAACGAGATGTTAATAACACTACATACGCAGTTTTGCCATAGAAATTGGGAATTGGGAAATATATAGATAGCAAATAGGGAGGAAATGTAATCAAAATGTAGATCAAATCTAATCAGAAAAACTAAAACTGCAATCAATAAATAATAAAAGTTTGCGTTGTTCGTTTAATTGGCGCATTTTGCGAATTAATTAGTACGTACGCTATGAATGTGCATCACGATTGTGACGTAACAAGACCAAATTCGTAAAACGGAAATATTGTTTATAAAAATATTGAAAAATTATTGTAACCACGATTAACGGTTCATTTGTTTAGGTACCAAGGTTTAAGCCCTTAGTGTTTTTGTACTTTATTTATTTATAATATTTAAGCAAACATTTTTTTTTAAACTCATTAATCAATTAAAAAAACAAATTATTTATTAATATCAATAGACTTGTCTGTGCTCAATGTACAGATTATTACTATTGAATGCTATAATGTGTACATTATATTACCAAAGCCATAGAATTTCAAAGCCTTAACTTATTAAGGGGTAAGTTAAGGATTTCTATATTTTTTTTGTTTTTCCACAAGTTTGTACATTATTAATATAAACTGTATGGGCATATTCCTTTATGGGGTACATTGGTACATTGGAAGAAAATAAATATCAATTTCTGCCAAACAGCTTATAACATCGTCCCAATTAACAACTTCTCCATTGAAGAACAGATTACATTGAAACAGTAATTTGGACCATAGAATAAATTAGTACCTCTAGCGTGATAACAGGCGGTTCTATAATCATATCGAGACACCCATAGAGCCTCCACTTGGTCTCGCTAAGGAACTCCACGGTCCCGGCCAAACGAAGCACGGCGTGACGTAGAACGGCATTGGATCCCGTGTACTGGATGGATTGCCGTTGGACAACCTCTGACTGACTTAATTCTGTGTATTCTGGAATATTCATTTATTTATTAATATTCCTACGTAAATAAAACTGCTTCTACCCTTGGTCTTGGTCTTAAATTTCTGTATCTGTTTTTGAAGTGAAATCTTCTTTAGCATCGTTGTGAATTGAAAGTCGATGAAACGAAAAAGCGACAGTAAGAGACAGACACATAAATTCATAAGATTTAACGCGGGAGAAAATGAGATAGGAAGCATTATACAGTGTAGAAACTTTGAATTCGTGTGTATTTGATCATTTTCTGAATTAAAGAAACATAGATGTGCAAAAAAATTAAATGGTAGATTAATTTAAGTCAATTATAAAATTAGATGAAATTTATCAATTTTTCTTACATATCAACAAAAACCTTTTTGAAGTGAAAACTTCTTACTACACTATTTAATAAAGAGTAAAACTGAAATCCTCTATTATTTAATTGAATAAATATTATACATTTAGATACTCACTATTAAGATCTGAAGGTGCTAAAATATGGTAATTAAAGTTCCGTTTAACGAGAACACCCTGCAATGTATCCCCGGGCTGTGGAGGCTCTACTGCTAGCGAACCCATCACCTGAAATATTTATGGCGTTTTTAAATAATTTATATTGTTTTTTTTTTACTCGTCAGTCACGTGACACAAACAGACGAAGGTTAATTTCGACTTGTTTTTAATCTAAATATTTGTGTAATTTAAGAATTATTAACACGTAGAATACTTGACGTTTGTTTAGAAGTATGGCGTCATAAAGACGGGCGACGTCTTGCCTAAAGAAGCGTGCCACCAAGAAACCAAAGATAACAGAGTCCCTACAGATAGAACCAGAGGTCCAAAGTAGGATTTTCTCCAAGCTGTCCGGCAGGCTCAACATGATAATTAAGGGCGATTTAAAGCGGATCATTTATTTTTTTATTTATTTCTGTAATACATACATTATCCTTACAGACTAAGCCAATATGATAATGTCGAGAAACATTTAATAAAATATAATAAAGAACATAAATCATATTAAACACATAATATACACAATATCGCTACTATGAATTCACTCTGCCAACATATAAATATGTCGATAGTCATAGCTAAGCAGAAAATCATAATGTCTATATACCTTTGCAGTTTTATCCCCTCTGAAAGTGAGTGCCAGTAGTTGTGTGTTCCTCGGCGTATGAACGGCCAGCCTCGATCTATGTTCCCGCTGCAGCGCTGCCTTCAGACGAGACATCTCATTCTGTTCTCCGTGCACCAACACCTTGAAAACGAGGACTATATAAGGGCATCTAACGCCTGCAAAAAGTCACAAACTCATATTCGTCTTTGAGTCTTTTATACGAAAACAGCTTTTAAAAACATGCAACAAGTGATGTCATAAAAATTTTCAAGGGAAAAAAATTAACGCCCTAAAACCTATAGACCTGACTTCTGTATCTGGTTTGGTATTTTCTTAATAGGCATTAGGTGTTACGTCACGCAATTTTTAGAGATTATTGACCCCACCCCCCATGTAACGCGCCGTAACGTTTTCCTGTACCCAATAGTAAAACGTTTTGTGACCACCCAGTGACTCTTTATACCTAAAAGTTACTATTATGTGGTGTAAAGTATTGGAAAGTCGAAAATAATATTAACAATAACCCGTAATTCAATACCCGCCCCGCATCGTAACGTTTTACAAAAGGACCCCCCCTCCCAAAATTCGTTACGTAATACTTGAACGCTCCCTTATAGGCAAGTAGATAAACCTTCTGTGCGTGACAAGGTCATGTATAAATGTTTTTTTCTTAATAGGCAAGTAGGTGATCCTTCTGCGTCTGACACGCACTGACGTATAAATAAAACACACAGCAATTAACCTAAAATAAATTTCGGAAACAACGAAAACCTACTAAATCTGAATAATTGTTTATTTTAAACTTATGTATTTTGGTATGTTACACTACGTAGTATTGTCTTTGATTAACATAACCTTTACACATTTAAAGAAAAAACTGTTTAACCGGATTGAAGTTATGTATTATTATAAATTTACAACTATTTAACATAATTTTAAATTTATCCGACGTTTCGCGTGCTTTACAGCGTGCGTGGTCACGGTGACTGAAGACAAAAGGTGTTGGATGTCAAAAAGTATCACAGCTGTAGAGAAAGTTGCATTATCTGTATTTATTTCCCCGGAGTTGATATCGACTAAAAGATGGAGGGTTTTGGCAAAAATGGCTAACGGTGTCCTCTATTTTCGCGGATTGTATTTCTTGAGATTTTAATTTGGACATTATTGGATCCCAGGTGTTTGACAATGTTAGGCCGTCTTCTCTATTGAAATTGGGGTGTTTTTTGATTTCAATGGCTTCGCGTACCAATCTTGGGAAGAATCTTTTTCTTTCGCAAGTACTTTCGGTTGGTCAAAGCGTATGTAGTGATTAGGCCTATCTAGTATGTGTTCACAGACTGCTGATTTTGTGTGTCCTCTATGTTAAATAATTGTAAATTTATAATAATACATAACTTTAATCCGGTTAAAACGTTTTTCTTTAAATGTTACACTACGATCCTATACTTGTAAGAATAAATATTATATAAAGACACTACACTCACCACATGCGGTGGTTTCAATATATTGATGAATTCTGACGTTTGCTGGTAGTCAGTGTGCGCTGAGAAAGAGATGTAATCCACGGACATCTTCAAAGGCAGCTTTTGGCCTGACATTGTCGTGATCTCTTCTGGCTCCGATAGAATTGTCTTAGCCAAAGTCCCTTCCACGCAGTAACCTATGGACATCGGATATATATACTGTTTTAAATTATCGATATTACCTACCAATATAATACGGAACATTTTGATATACTAACAATCCCTAATACAAACTTCCTCAGAAGGAAGGAATTTAATTACTCGAATTGGTCCAGCCATCTTCGAGTTTTGCGTGTAGCAACATATTTTGCGATTAATTTTTTTTATATAGATAGATTTTTCCAGCTGTTATAACCACTTACCAGCTATAATAACACCGTTCTTAGGATCCGTACACCACGACTCAAACAGTTCCCGGGAGAGTCCAGACTGCATCATTCCCGGAGACGCCATTATCACACAGGGCCCTATATCCTCGAAATGGTCTATTCCCTGAAATGTATTTTTTACTTATAAAAGATTTGGTAACAGACAATTATTACAGTAAGCTTACGTATAGGAACATACAAAAATAACAATAAAACCTGATTATACACACATTAACAGGCAAACACAGCATGCTTTATACTTAATAAATATTGCTTCTTAAACTTCTGACGGAAATAGTAATTTGTACATGTACGTACATGTATAACATATATGTATAGCAAAATTAATTTTGCTTTTACGACTTTGTTCCCCGGGGCAAGGGATATATAGATTCTTTAAGCTTAGGTTTCCTATAAAAGCGGTGCCGTTATCCAACGGCCGTAATGTAACGTTGGGTGAGTGTCACCGTAACGTCAAATAGTGGTGGTGTCATTTGCATGACGGCCGTCATAGCGGTGATAAACATTAGTTTAACGTTTTTCACCTGTAGCGGTGCCCATATTTAATTAATACCATTAGTGGAAACGTGACTAGGACGAGAAAAAATTATGTTTTTTTTTTCATTATGTTAAAAAGTAATGACGGCCGTTAGTTAACGGCACCGCTTTTCTAGGAACCCTAAGCTTTAGCGGTCGGAATAACATGTAAGCGCGATTCATATGACATCATTGAAGTGTTTGTAGTAGCATATTGTAGATGTCGCTAAAGTGAAAAAGATTATACCTACCAAGTCAACTGATAAAAATTCAAAGCCCGCGATTACAAGTTCTCGGTCAATGCTATCAATTTTTTTCATATAAAGTGACCTTAAGATAAATTCATAAGACAAAGATGATTAAGTTTCATTCGAACTAGTACTTTGTGTCACCTGATTGATTTTTAATATCATTTTATTAATAATTAAGGTAAGCTTACTACAATTTCATTCAGTTGGTACTTTTGCACCTTTTGTGACCTCTGACTAAGGTCCAAATACGACTATGGGTGAGACACATTTGTGATTTAGTTTTTCATCATAGATGAACTTCCCATGATATGCGTCGAATTTAGATATTTCGTGATTTTTGTAGTTTTCCTAGGATATTTTAATGCGGTTATATTAAGTTGCGTTGCGAAAACTGCTTTCTTTTTACATATACAGTCGGATACTATCATTTGAAATAGGAGTTTAGGAATAAAAAATAATAAATCTGCACCTCATTGCGACTATTGGCAAGAATGTACTAAAACCGATAAATTTATGCGTTTATAACAAACTCAGTATACAGAAAATGTAATTTTATACAATTATTAATGTATTTTATTTAACAATCAGAAAATATTGTTCAGTAACAAAAGATTTTCAGCATGTTACCGGATTTCGTTAAGGAGCGACTGATAAAATGGCTAGAGGATCACCGCGAGTTAGTTGTCTGCGCGTTCTGCTTGCCGGCCAGCTTCATATTCACATTGGTTCTGCGCATACGCAACGCTGTACGGCGTTTCATTAATAGCTCACAAAGACACGATGGTGCGGTTAAAGAGATACAGTCTAGGGTAAGTTATTAAATAACTCATATTCCTAGACGTAAATTAATGAATGTCATATTTATTGCAATTTTTTAATTTTGGACAAAATTTAGCTTGTTTTTAGAAAAATTAATCGTTCAAGAATTTTGAAATCGGTCCAGTAGTTTTTCAATTTATTCGTTACAAATAGGGGTCTTTGATTTTCTTATTTGGTGATTACAGTAATTATTTCCTTTTTACACATATTACCCACACATTGTCTATGCTTGAAAAACGAAATGCATTTTCGAGGATCCCCAAAAAAATTAATACGTTTAGGTATCAACTATTATTTTTGAGTGCTTTTCTTACTATTGCTGACAAGTGAGGGGGGATAAATTGCAGTAAATCTGCGTGATACTTGAACGGCCCCACATACAGAAATACTAATCTCTCTACTTACTATAAAATTAGTATACGAGTATACAATAGGTAAATTATGCTGAGACAGCACGGTAGCGTGTAAATTTCAGCAACGGAGCATTCTTTAATCCGTGGGAGCAAAACCGAACCAAAACGCTATCAAAGTAAAGCTGAGAGAAAGCGAAATATTTTAAATCGTGTCCGAGTCATTCATAAAATTGTGTTTTGCAGGTGCAGCAATGGAGCAAGCAGCCCAGAGGTCTGCTATGCACATCTCGGCCCAATTGGTTATCGCTATCTACAACGTTCTTTCAAAAGCACCACCACCATCGTGTTCCCATTCCATTATACGATATTTTGGAGTTAAACGAAGAGGCGATGACTGTTCGAGTGGAACCGATGTGTACTATTGGAGATATTACAGAATATCTTATACCTAAAGGATATTCGCTTGCTGTGACCATTGAGTTAGTTGACGCTACTTTAGGAGGTAAGAAACGTGGGGTGCTGTGACGTTTCGGCTTTCGCAGGTACTGGGCTTGGATGCTTTGGGCGGTATCTGCATAAGGTGCGTAAAAGGGAGTTGCATCCGTTGAGCCACAACTGTGGAGCTCCAAATGACACGGCGGAGCATACTGTGAGTGTGTTACCTAGACAAGGGACCTGATAACCTGGTATCGGTCTAAGGGGCGGACCTCACTTTACCGGGTATTATATTAGGTATGCTAGGAAGTGACGAGACCTGGAGTGCAATGGTCTCCTTATGTGACCATGTTATGCTGCTGAGCGATTGAGTTAGAGGTCTGGTGACCGTAGACTGGCCGGTGAGTCAAGGCTGGGGTCTCGATCTCTAGCTCTCTATGTCGGATATAAGCCCGGGACCCTTGGGTAGAATGCTTGGCAAACCCGGAGGGCCCATCTTTAGGGCGTGTGAAGGGCTGAGGGGTTTTTAGTAGGTGGGGTCTCGCTACCCCTCTGAATAGCATAGGGATTTGAGTGTAGACCCAGCCCCACAGTCCCCGCGTCAAGCTCGGCACGGGAACGCGCAGTCGCATTTTCACCTCATTAAAAATAGATGGAGGTAACGTGTTTAAGGTAAAGGCAGATCCAGGATCCCCATGCCCCTAGAGGCTGGGCAGAGTCCGGCTTCAATATTAGTATATTATAAACACAGAGAAAAATTAGGAATACCACTTTCGTAAATACTAATTGAAATTATTTATTAAAAAAGCTTTAACCAAACTTTTTGTAGGTCTCGCTTTCGGTACGGGAATGTCGACTCACTCTCACAAAGCTGGCCTCTACCACGAAACAATTACGAGCTATGAAGTCGTTTTGGGTGATGGATCCTTGGTAACCGCCACCGCGAACAATGAGTACTCAGACCTATACAAAGCTTTGCCCTGGTCTCATGGCAGTTTAGGATTTCTAGTCGCGTTGACACTTAAAATAGTCAAGGTAAAGCCTTACATAAAAATAAAATACATGCCAGTTAGTGGACAGAAGAATTATTGTGATACGTTAAGGGATTATTCGGGTGCGAATGAAGCAAAACCCAAGTACTACCCTGATTATATCGAAGGTACTATATTCAGCAAGGACGAAGCCGTCATTATGACAGGTGATTATTCCGACTACGACCCATTAATTCCTGTCAATCACTGTTCTAAATGGTACAAGCCATGGTTTTATAAACATGTCGAATCATTTTTAAAGAAAGGCGAAGCGGAGGAGTTGATACCTCTAAGGGATTACCTGCTTCGGCATAATAGACCTATTTTCTGGGTAGTCGAAGACATGGTATCGTTTGGCAATCACCCCCTATTCAGAATTCTATTTGGCTGGTTGTTACCCCCGAAACCAGCGTTCTTGAAGTTCACTACCACCCCTGGAGTACGGGCCTACACGTTTACAAAACAGGTATTCCAAGATATCGTGTTACCTATACACGAACTGGAGAAGCAGATCGACTTAAGCACGGAGTTATTTGACAAATTTCCATTGCTCGTTTATCCGTGTAAAGTATTTGATCACGGTCCATCGTCTGGTCAGCTTCGTCGGCCGCCATCTATATATATGGTACCGGGTACTAATTACGCAATGTACAACGATTTAGGGGTGTACGGAGTACCAGGAAAGGTGAAGGATAAGGAACCTTACAACCCAGTAGAAGCGATGAGAAAAATGGAGAAATTCACACGAGACGTTGGAGGTTTCTCCTTTCTTTACGCTGACATTTTTATGACGAGGAAAGAGTTTGAGGTTATGTTTGATCTGTCATTGTACGAGTACATCAGAAAGAAGTATAAAGCGGAAGGTGCGTTCCCAGACTTGTACGATAAGGTTAAACCGGAAATTGATGTATTCGCAATTGGCGAAAAAAATGCAATATCTAGTCAATAGGTGGATTTAGACTTTTGTATACAATAAATTCTCATGGTAAAACCGTTTGTTTTATTATTTAAGTAGCTTGTGTGTCTTAGATACAAAAATTTGCGACATGTGTGATTCCGAGGCCATGACATATTTGTGGCGCCACTTGATTACTATTTTATTCGATTATCTAGTTGATAAAAGGGCCTGCAACTAGTGCTAGACAGGCTAATTCTAATTAATTTGCGATATTTGTTTTAAAATAAGTGTTGTTTGATGATTCGCTATTTTAAAAGAGTACCGAGAGTTTTTTTACGCCGGCTTTGTCTTTCAGCCTACACCCTCTGTCTTCTTTGCCGATGAATAAAGATGTATACCGATTCAAATTTAATGACGTGGAATAAGTGATACCTGTATCTTATGTTCCATAATAAACATATTATTAATTATATTATTTTAATTCAGTTATATATTGTCCAAAATGGCAGAAGATTTTGTGTATTTATTAACTTGTCATCCTAAGCTTTTCACATTCCAATTTTCACATAAATTAATATTAGTTTTATAAAAAGGTTGTTTTAAATATTAACATAACTGACCTTCAAATTAGAGATATGTCTGAAGATAAACGGATTGTTAACCGCGATCTGTCTTCGAATGCGGTCGTTCATAGCGTTGATGTAAGTCTGGTACACGGCCATACATTTCTTCGCTAGTGACGAAGCGTAGTATATAGGGATGTCTTGCAGCTCGGGATGAAGAGACCAGTATTCATCTATAACATATAGAATCTTCTTAATGGACTTGTAAATAAGCAGTGTTGGATTAGTGGCTTCAGCGTGCGACTCTCATCCCTGAGGTCGTAGGTTAGATCCCGGCTGTGCACCAATTGACTATGTGCACATTTAACATCGATCAATCGATGAAGGAAAACATCGTGAGGAAACCGGCTTGCCTTAGACTCAAAAAGTCGTCGGCGTGTGTCAGGCACAGGAGGATGATCACCTACTTGATTAACAGATGATCATGAAATGGATACATATTATATATGTATGCCACTATATGCCACTGATCTAAAGAAAAGGCTGCACCGCCACTGTTTTTTTTTATAAGATAAGCAAATACATAGAAATACAGAAATGCCTACTGACGATAAAGTACAAGCAGTGCTTGAATAATTAACAAAAAAAAACATAAAATTACATACTAGAATCTAAACTAAAATAAAAAAAAAGTAAAAGCTAATCTTAGAGTCATAATAATTAATATATATAAGTAGCTAATTACGAGGCAGAAGAGAAAGCTCATAAAGATGATGCTTAAAAAAATTTAAAGACAGCTTGTCTGAAATCAAGAGGAACTCTTTATCCAAAGCAGGATACTTTGCACAGTAAAGTGCTAGAATTCAGTGTTATGAGTAGGAGTTTCAAGAATTAGATTGTCAAGAGAACGCAAATCAAAACTACCGCCAGAAAGAAACATACAATTTTGATTTAAATACTGAGTTTTAAGATCAAAAAGAACATACAGAGAAGTTGTAAATGCTTAATATGCGTTGCTGCAATAATATGCTTTTGTTATATAAATTAGTAAATTTTTTTGCGACTGAGGCGCAACCTAGCTGCTGTGGTCTCTGGCAGAATGACCAGCGCTGTGGAACGTTCTGCTCCTCAGCATAATGCTGAGCCAGGGCCAATTACAACCACAGCACACACACATTGCACACTTGAAGCGAACCGAATGGGAAAAGGGAATTTTTTATTTTTATTTTTATTGTTTTTGATATGTCTTAATTTATTTTTTCTTTGAGTATTTTTATTTTGTGTGTTTATTTGTGTGTGTTTTCGTATGTAATAAATGTTATGCCTATATATGTCTAAATTATATGGCACTGTCTTACCCAATATAAGTAATAACTCCTGTGCGCGTCCCAAAGCAAAGACTGGTATGAGGCAGCGACCACCACGCATCACAATATCACTCACAAGACTTGTGAAACGACTCTCTCGCTCCTCGCGTTTTTCGTGTATGTGTGTGCCGTATGTCGATTCCTTAAACGATACTTCATTCAAAAATGTACTCAAAATACATGACATTGTATGATTAAGTTCAAGTATTACGTAACGAATTGGGGGGGGGGGTTCCTTTTGTACAACGTTACGATGCGGGGCGGGGATTGAAATACGCGTCATTGTAAATATTATTTACGACTTTCCAGCACTTTACACCACATACTGGTATGTTTTAGGTATAGTCACTGGGTGGTCACGAAACGTTACGGCGCGTTACATGGGGGGGGGATCAATAATCTCCAAAAAATGTGTGACGTAATACTTGAACGCTCCCTTAGATAATACCACACATTTATAAGTAACATTAATTACAATTTTTCAGTGCATTCAAGCCAACTTTCCAACTAGCCTTTTTGAAATAGCTCTATTTTTATTAGTATCCTTTAATAGAATAACAAAAAAACTAACCGTTATCAATACATCAGGATGTACGGTGGGTATTTCGGCTGCCATTAAATGTCTGTCTTCTTGTCTTGAAAAATCTCCTGTATATAAAACCTGAAAATGGTTTTTACTTCTATAATTTGACATTCAGAAAACATTGATAATTAAAATCAATGGTATTGTCGAAACACGTGAATTAAATGCAGTGAAGTGTTATTCCAATTTCCAATCAAAATCTACTATTATTCAGTAGCAGTTGGCTACAGACCTCTTAGGCCCTCTCTCCACTGCTCCGGTCCGGCGTCGGATACCGGAATGAGTCATGAGAAAAATATCGGAAGGCCGGATTGCGCTTCTCCACTATATCTGATCCGACAATAATCGATACTTGTATATATTTATCATGCAACACCTATATTAACTAAAACCCATATACTTTATTTTATTCATAAAACGTTCTAAATTCTGAATATTTTATTGCCCTGGCAAGTATATTACTTTTTTATATTGTCTATCTTAAAATATTATAATCTACTTAATAAATAGTTCACTAATACTATGGTATAAAAATATAAATAAATAGCAACATAATTTGATTTGGTCCAGGTTATCCAGATTCTTTCAAATTAAACAAACTATAAAAATAAACCTGTGAATAATAATTTATAACCTCTTGGATACTTGGATAAACTTGGACCGATAAAACGTCGCGTTCCGATCTAGCAAGGTATCGGATCGTTAAAAACCGGATGCCGGAGTAGTGGAGAAACACGTAAGTACTGTTGTGAGTTTCTAAATCGGATCGGTAATTAACGTTTGCCGGACCGGAGCAGTGGAGACACGGGCTTAAGGTCTTAAAGAATATATAATAAACACAACAAATATATCTGTATGGAATGCATCTGTAGGGCACCACAATTTTTTTTTAATTTGTTAATAACAATGTGGTAGTAACGGCAACACATCTTGTATTTTTGCAATTCTTACAACCAGTACCATGGATATAGAACCAAGACATATATATTTTAAGCTATTCCTACCTTAACACCAGCAATCTCAATCATAAACATTGCAGCTCCAAGCACATGCCCAGCATTGTATGCCCAGAACCGCACTCCTCGCACATCTTTTTCCTCGTGAAAGTTTATTGTTTCTATACGATCCATGGATCCTTCTAAATCCGACTCTGTATACAACATCTGCTCTGTTGATATGTTACTGAAAATTAAAACGCAAAAAGTACTAAACATATACCAGGTCATTCAATGTAAAAATCACTTTGAAAAATTAATTATATCATCTCAAACAGAATATTAAAAAAAAATTGTCAGCATAATTTTATAATACAACTAGCAGACCGGTTAAGCGTTGCTGTGGCTATGGTTTTTGTTATATAACATAGTAGTAAACTATTCAAGGGAACGGTAGGAGAACACCAGTCATGGGGACCACCGTGCTTTATTGGTGGTTATGCCATTAAATTGTAGCTTATGTGAAACGTTGGTACTTTCAACACAGCGCCATCTGTTAGAATTGTGACTATTAAATAATAAACAAATATTTTGCAACAAAATAATATTGCGGGTATAAATTGAGATGTAAGCTCGATTGTTTTGATTGATATTGGTTCGGTAGTTTAGGAGTCCATAGCGGACAAACAACGTGACACATAATTTATATATATTAAAATAAAGTTTTAATTTAAAAACTGTTTTAGGTGTAACTCCAAATCTTAACCAACACATACCTAACTTTAATGTAATCTGATACAAGCCACCTGTAAATGGCTTTAGTTGCATGTGTCATAAAAACTCTTCCTTTAAATGATGTTTTTGTCAGAAACCAAGGTAGTGCTCCACTATGGTCCAGATGAAAGCTGTAAATAATAATTGTAATCCAAATATTAATACAAGTTAACAAAACAAGAGTTCCTTCTTTATATGAATATATTAAAAATTACATTAACAATTTCCTTATAATTCCAAAGTTGGGTATATATGTACTTACTGAGATATAAGCAGTAAATCCACTTCATCGGCTTCAATAAGATCTACAAATGGCAATGCATCCATTCCTGATAAGCCTGGGTGAATGCCGCAGTCCAGCTAAAACAAGAATTTAAACTTTCTTAAGCACAACCTACAATTAAACTAACTTTTGATTAGTAATAAATTTATGTGTGTATTCTTACCATTATTTTCTTCCCTTTAAATTCAAGCATTATACATGATCGCCCCACTTCTTGCCCAGCACCTCTAAAAAAAACTTATAAATTAGTAATTCCACCTGCAAGATGATGTATGTATGTTTGTTCGAAATCGTTAATTACTTGATCTTGATCTTGAAAAATTATGTTTAAAATATACACTAAACTCTTGTTTGCATAACTAAGAAATAGAAGATAACAAAATGATAATTATTTTTGCTAACTACAACCTTGTAGATTAAGGCAAGAGATCCCGATTTTTCAATCGTTAATAAGTGATAGATAAATCTGATGCAGAAAAATTAAGAAAAAAATATTAAAAAATTAAATATTTACAAGGGTCGAATAGTTAGTTGATCACTTTCTTCATATGGAACAGCATCGACGCCTTTCCGTGGATTAGTTGTCATTTTTATATAAATTTTGTATTTATCAATACAGTTTCATTTATAGTACTAATAAAATGTATGTATTAGTTATTTGTAACATACACCCGGTAATCGACATAAACAATGAAATAGGTTAAAATTATATTTAAGAACTGTCATCTGTCAACAGTCGAATCTCTTTTTTTTTTTAAATCTCTAGTATCAGTTAAAAAATTATAAAAACATGGATGTTAGGATTACATTGCACTTGACTGCGTCTGAGCCTGTGGTTTTTGCTTAGTAATAAATGTTAAAAAAATAAATATAATCTGTGCACTGAAAATAAGCAACAGTCAACACATTACACACGTGTGAACTGTGAAACAAATTATTTTAAAATTAATTTTCTGAGCTGGGTAGGTAGGTATGACTAAAAAGAAATTATTTGACGAAGATTCAGAGGAAGATGAGGCTGATTTGAAAACAGAGAATACCTATGCAAAGAATTATGATAGATGGCGGGAGAAGGAAGAACTTCATAAATGTAATTTACTATCTCAATTTCTGTAGATCTCTCATTTATTTTTATATTTTTCTTATATATAACCTGAATGTATGACACAAGACAACAAGCCTAAGTTTTTTTTAATTTCATGTAAGAAGTCTTAATAACAGTTATGTTTAAAAAATATCAATATTGGTTAAATCTTTTCAACTATTGAAGTTAAATATTACTTGCATTATAATAGTAAAATTAATATTAGGGTAAGTTATTAGATATTAATAAAGTTATAAATATACAGCTACTTATAGTTCTTATATGTTATAGTGGAACAGAAGTATGGTCAGAAACCCAGTTCAGATGTATCTGGGTCGGACAGCGAGGATGAAAGTGATGAGCCTCCAGAAATTTCAGAAGAAATTGAAACACAATTCCTTAAAACCTTGTCCTTATTAAAAACTAAGGATCCTAGAGTATATGATCCAAATTATAAATTCTTCAATGAAAAGGTGGAAAAGGAAAAAGGTATGTATTTCAAATAAGTTAAGTTTAAGTTAAATTTGTAATCAACTTATGCAATAAACTTCTAACACTATTTTTACAACAAAAGTTTCTTATGAATTGGGAAATTTCACTATAATACATAATTTATAGAGACCAATAAACTAATAAAATAATTTTACATATTTTAATTAATAATATTGTTATCAGAAATAACTGAGGATGTGAAGAAAGTGACTTTTGCTGACAGTGACGAAGAAGATGATGATAATCCAAATATATTTAATATTGAGAAAAAAGCTGTGATAGAGGACCCTGCTAAAACTGAGGTATCTATTAATCACATGATAACAAACATATTTCTTGACTGCACTGCATTTGAGAAAGAACCATCCGAAACACATCTTATGCTGGATGGCATATTAAAAAAAAAAAAATTTATTTTGACATTTGATTTTGCATGTTTTACTGTTCATTCATTTTGATATAAATATACACCGTATACAATATAATACAATATACTATATAAATACAATATTGTACATTACATTCATTCATTGTACATTCATTCATTTTGACATATACACTGTATACATTCATTCATGAAGTCATTAGCATTGTGCATTTAGAAAATATTCAATCATATCATTTATAGATTTACATATTATCTCATGATTATGAAAAAATAGCAAAAATCCATTCTTGCACATTTTGGTGATAGGCTTAAGCAAGTTTTTATTGGGTTTCTATAAAATTTAAATAAAAATTCTAGGATGAAAAATTAAAAAAATATTTAACTGGTAAAGCTGATCACATCAATGAAGAAATTGAAAAGGATTTGGAACCATTGAAAGCTTTGTGGTCTGATCCAAAACTGAATGATGGTGAAGCTTTTCTTAGAGACTACATCCTGAATAAGAGGTACATTAAATAGTTAATAAGACTAGGGTTATTTTGTCTTTCCTACCCATAAGCAATATGGACTAATCAAGGGAATAAAGCAAATATACTAAGCTCCCTTTTTAGGTCATGGAAAGGTTGCTTGTTAGAGGTCAGGGGGCAGTTCAAGTATTACGTAAGCACTATATGGGGGGAGCGGAGGTCTTTGATTTTCTTATTTGCTGATTAGATCAACAGCAATTATTAACTTTTTTACACATATTACCCACACATTATCTATGCTTGAAAACGAAATGCATTTTCGAGAATGCCTACAAAAAATTAATATGTTTATGTAGTAATATTTTTAAGAGCTTTGTTTACTTTTGATGACAAGAGGAGGGGGGGAGGGAGATAAATGAAAATGAAAATGAAAAAATATTTATTCAATCACTTACAATGGTAACAACATGTGGCTGGAGCCTCCATTTAAGTATGTATAATATACTTGTGTTTGGAGTATCCGCTCTTCCTAGGTACACTTAATTAGGTATGTAAGTTTAGACAAAAGGGAATAATATTACAAAAACAAAACAATATTTATACAAGTTAAAAGATGCATCGTGTATGAGTGATAAATTGAGGGGTGTTCGTTGTATTCAGTTAAGTGTATGTTGATGTGTGAGAGTGTAAGTGTGTGTGAGTGAGTGTGTATGAGGTATGTGTGTATATGTCTGTATCATATGTTTGAGTGTGTGTGTTCTTTTAGAGTGTAAGATAAAGATAAAAGTAGACTTTAGAATAGTAATTCTTAGATAATAGATTCAACTTCTTCATAGGTTAGAGTTTTTAACCAACAATTTATAGTTATTTTACATTTATATTTATTCATATTATATAGATTTAATTCCTTGTTTAATTTATTATATAAGTTAGCAGACTGGTAGCAGTACTGTCTATGAGCATATTTAGTTTTAAAAGTTGGTAAAGGTGCCACATTATGCCTTCTACGTCTGTTCAAAATACTAGGATCATATCCAATATGTCGATGGGTTCTAAGAGTAGTTTGCAGTACATACAACTTACGTACTGACAGAAGATCGCTAACCGCATATAACATTTCCGTAGGGAATCTGTATGGCTTAAAATGGATAACTTTGAGTAGTGACCTTTGTGCTCTCTCCAGTTCCAGGAATTTTGTTTTAATGGCACCACCCCAGGCCGGAATGCAGTATATTAATATTGACTGCGCAAGAGCAGTATAAATTTGTTTTAGGAGGGCCGAGTCAGCTACGTGTCTTAGATTTTTAAATAACCATATGAGTTTTCTTACTCTAGCCATAACTAGCTCTATATGATCGCGCCATGATAGGCGTTGGTCTACCATAGTACCCAGGTATCTTACGCAGTTTTGCCGCTTAATAAAATCGCATGAGCATATTATAGAATGAGGTGAGCCACAAGTATGTATTTGAATAGCAAACGTCGGAGGTGGTTGAGAGGAGTTATAATTGGAGAAGCATACATAGTTAGTTTTAGAGGTATTGAGGGTCAAAAGGTTATCGCTGAGCCACTTAGCTATTCTTGCAAGGCCCTTTTGGGAATTATTTTTAACAGCCACCCAGGTGTCAGCTACAAAAACGACAGCAGTGTCGTCAGCATAAGTGAACATTGTTCCCTCTTCTATATCCATGTTACATAAATTATTAATATATACAAGGAATAGAGTGGGCCCCAATACACTTCCTTGCGGAACTCCGAAGGTGATTTCACATTGTTCACTTTGGTGTTTTCCTATTTTTACACTCTGTTTTCGATTGCATAAATAGTCTTTGAATAATTTCAAGGGAATTCCTCTTATGCCTATTTTCTCCAACTTGTCGATAAGGTCTGTAATTGATACTGAGTCAAATGCCTTTTTCATATCCAAAAACACTGCAGCACATTTTTTGTTTTTATCCACAGCATTAGTAATAAGCGATGTGAGATCCAACACGGCATCTTCTGTCGATAAATCCCGTCTAAAGCCATATTGACTTGGGGAGAGGATATTAAATGTATTAAGGTAGTTCATTAAACGTTTATTAATTATTTTCTCCAGTATTTTGGCAATAGGTGGTAAAACAGAAATAGGCCTGTAATTGCTTATATCCGTTTTATCATCTCCTTTGTACACTGGGGTAACTACAGCGATTTTCAGTGCATCTGGAAAGACACCTAGAGCAAAGCATAGATTGATCAAATGAACAATAATAGGGACAATTATATCAGCAGTTAGCTTTAAGAATTGGGTAGGAATGCCATCCCAGCCTGGAGCACTATTTGATTTTAACCCCATCAGGACATTAAGAACCTCATCATTGTCAGTATCTCTTAATACAAATGAAGTTAAGTGAGGATAATTCGAAGTAGTTTTGTCAGAACAATTGTATGCGGGTTGTTGTGCAAGGATACCTTCTGCTAGTGATTTGCCAACTTGGGTAAAATATTGATTACAATGATCTATAGACTCTTGTGCTGTTTCTTTACAGTGGAGCAGTTCGTAATTGTCGCTTTTATTTTTATTCCGATTTGTAATATTGTTGACAGTTTGCCATAATTTTTTTTGAGTTGTTTTTATTTAGAATTAGTTGCTGTTTATTATAATTTCTTTTTAGGTTTCTGATTAATTTATTACAATAATTTCGATATCTACGGTAAGTTATTTTTAAAATTTCATTATCAGGGTCTAATTTTAGCTTTTTCTGCATGTTATTCCTATTTCTGACACATCGTAGAATGCCCAAAGTCATCCATGGCTTAACTACACGATATTTGCATGTAATGATCTTAGTGACTGTATGTAAATCTAAGGTTTGTCTTATTTTACTTAGTAAGAGCTCTATAATCATGTTGGGGTTGTTTAATGAAGTTAAGTCAGCCACCAATGTGCTATCTCTTAGAGTAGCTATCGCCTTATCGTAATCAATGAATGTTTTTGTCTTAGTGGAAGCACCTGACTTTGGTATATTGGAGAGCCTTAAGAATATGGTGGAGTGATCAGTGACAGAAGTATTTATTACATTTATATTTGCGGAATGTTTATTTTTGTCTAGTCTCAGCATAAAGTGATCCAGACAATTACCATACCGTGTAGGTAGTACATGGCCAGGTAGCAAGCCGTGCATAGCCAGCATGTTTAAATAGTAAAGCCGGTTATTACGCTCCTGCTGCGGAGCATCATTTCTGTCAATCAGGTTAATGTTAATATCCCCGGTTATAATTAAATTAATACAATTTTTCAAAGATGTTAAATGTCGGTCTAATGAGTCCGTGAAGGGCTCGGAATTAGTATGTGAAGGGGACCGGTATATTCCTAGCACGGTAACTCCACAAAATAAAATTTGGAGGCAGGATGCATGTGTTAGAATAATTTCTTTGACATTGACACTGTGTTTTCTAGAAACATAGATAACAACACCATCACATTGGTTTATATGGTTTGTAGTCGAATAAGAAGTGTAGTTCTCCATTTGGGGTATTGGTTTATCACTATCTATTCTACATTCAGTTAAAATTATCAAATCTGCTTCAAAATTAAGCTGGGCAAGGGTGAGTTGGAAATCATCTAACTTGCTGTATACCGACACAATATTCTGAGAAATTATTTTTAAATCATTTTTATGAAATTTAGGGGATTGGTTACATATGTCATGAACATCACATAAGCTAGAATTAGCCACCTCACTATTGTCAATTTCTGTTATCAATGAGATTACGTTATCCATAATTGGATGGAATTTTAAATAAACCATTCATTTTATTAGCTTGTTGGTTATGAAGTGTGTTAAATAGTCTACTTATTATGAAAGTATCGCGTACTGATAATGTGTGAATATGTTTGGAGAAGGTGTGTGTGTAGTAGTGTAGGGCCGAATCCAAGCCTTTGTTAATAAAGTATTTATGTGTCTTGGTAGTAGTAATGAGTAATGTGTGTACAATCGGGAACAAAATTTGATAAAAGAATAACATAAGATATTTTACTATGTAGTTAAAAAGATGTGGTTTGGGTGTTATTGGGGCAATATGTAAAACTAGTATGAAATAACATAATATGGTAAAACAAAAATACAAAATGGGCCGAGCAAGCAAAGACAGAGAGAGATAACAAGGTTCAAGAATTAAGTCTAGTCATTGCTCTCCTAGTAGTTTTTGGACGATTGCTTCATTATTTATAGTGATAATGGGTGAATTTTCAGATTTTCTGACGTAGACACGGCCATAGGAAGTCCAGCAAAACTTATAAGATTTTGATCTCATTAGATCTCTAGCAAGGAAGTACAGCCGAGCCCTGGAGGCGGTCAGCTGTTCTGCTACGTAGACAGGGATATTTTCTTGACCTAGTGATTTTAATCCTAGGTGTTTAGCTCGTAATTTATCCTTGTTCTTCAAGTTGTATGTTTTACAGGCCTGTAGAAACTTCATTTTTAATAAGGTAGTGCTTAATTCAACTATTATAGGGGAACTAGCATTTCCCTCCCTCTTAAATCTTATCCTGTAAATATCATTAATGTCTTTTTCACTCAACTGACAGTTGACTGATTTAGCCAACTCTAAGGTCATAATTATAAGGTCTTCTTTTGTTTCCTTATCAGCCTTGGGTGCATTTTTTATTTCAATGTTATTCTTCAATCTATCTCTTTTTAAGTCTTCTAGCTGTCCCTCCAAAATAGAAATATGTTCCTTGTCCTTTTTCCTTTCTATTTCGAGAAGTTCTAACTTCTTTTTAAGTTCTACATTCTGTTCAGCGAGGAAGGACATAGTTGTCTGGATATTTGTGTTTGTCTTACTTATTTCGGTAAGAGTGGATTCAAGCTTTTTGGAGCCACTTTCTTGCGATTTAAACATTGTTAAAATGAGTGTTTTTATCTCTTCTCTAAAAACGTCAAATCGGTCCACATTCGTATCATCTTCTCTTCTTCTCTTGTTTCTCAAGGCCACATAGTTGGGAGGAGTGATTTGTTCCATTTCCATACCAATTTGATCAATGGCAGATTCAGATAGTGACTTATCTCCAATAGGATTCATCCTTTATTATAATGAGTTTAACAGTTGTCTATTCGATAGTACAAGCAGATGTTTGCAAAAAATATGAATGCACTAAACAATGGAATGTCCGATAAGAAGTTCCCGATGGCTCAAGGTAAATAGGCCAATAGATAATTAGTGGGCGTGGCCACAATCACCTGTTGCAATCAGCGCGGGCGCAGGACGCAGGTAGTGGTGGTAAGCGGGGCACGAGTGTGACGCTGGTAGGGATGTGGGCGTGGCGTAAATTCACAGCTTTAGGGGATTCGATAAGATTAATATTGAGTGGGATCAATACCTTCGATAGTGGGGTGATCGGGCGCAGTACCAGGAGCGCACGTAGTAATTAGATGGTTGCTTGACTACACTTCACTTTGTTTATGTTCTCCTAGTAGACAGTTATATTTATTTTTCGATTTGAATTTATTAAAATTAAAATACAAATAAAAATAAAGCACTCAGCACGTCTACACCTTATGGCGATCCGGGGGGGAGGGAGATAAATAGCAGTAAATCTGCTTACTTAATACTGGAATGGCCCCAAGTACAAATTTTATATTTTCTTATTTATCAGTACAAAACAGTATTTATAGATAAGTTATATTTTTGATTAAGAAAATACATATTAGCTGATTACAATTCATGACAATCATAGAACGTGTATTTTTTGTCAAATGCAGCATATTGTTTGGTAGCCATTGTCCAATTTATAAAGTGATGACAAATATAATATTGAATTGGCTTCTATAAACTTTCAGATATCTAGACTCGGAAGAAGTGGAAACAACCGATCAGAAAGTCCGTGACGATGAAGACCTTGAGGCCGATGAAAAGACTGTTGAGGAGCAGGGCAAGTTTGAGAGAGCATACAATTTCAGATTTGAGGAGCCTGATGAAGAATATGTAAGACAATCTTTCATATAAAGACATGTAAACTAAGATACATCCACATCTTATGTATATAGAAATTCTGTACTTCAAATTTTTTCATTTAAGAATTTATAGCAAAATTGCTAAATGAAATTAGGTAATGAATTATACTTTAGTAATATATTAATGTAAGTATGCGTCATTTGGAAAATACTGTAATAATAAATTAATATGGCCTGTGTGTCAAACACAGGATTTGCACATACCTTTTTAGTCTACCACAGAATTTTGCCTAGTTCTAATTCTAAAAAAAAGCAAATTTCTAAAAAGTCGCAAAGAACTATTTGTTTTTAATTTCTATTATTTCAGTTAAAACGTTATCCCAGAACTATGAACTTCATTCGTCCCAAAGACGATCGTAGATCTCGAAAGCGAGCGGAAATAGCGCAAAGGAAAGAAGAGGAGAAGAAAAAGAAGATGGAGGAGATTGGCCGAATGAAAGCTCTTAAACTGAAAGAGATTCAGGAGAAGATCGCCAAGATCAAAGAAGTCACCGGGAATGAAGAACTACCTTTTGAGGTTTGTTTAATTTATTTTAAAAGTGAAGCGGTAAGAATATTGAAAATATGTATATGTTCCTGTTAATATGTCCATAAGAAATATTTATAATTTTGTATGAATAATAATATATATTGAAATTTATACACAGGAAGCAGATATAGAAGGAGACTTTGATCCAGCTGAGCATGATAGACGGATGAAAGCAATATTTGATGAACAGTTTTACGGAGAAGCTGATGATGAGAAACCGGTGTTCCCAGATCTTGATGAGGAGCTAGAGATTGGTATGTAAAAACTAGAACATGACTTGAATTTAAAATCACTTTCAAAAGCTGCCAAACTGTTTCTTCATTAATTTCATCACATGTATTGATGCTATAGGTGACATTGTGACTATACAAATTGGAATAGATAGACAGTCTCGTATTCCAAAACACATATTAGGCAATAATGTCGGATAATATTATTTTAGGAGCTGTCAAAAATGTCATATATCTTAGTTTAGGTTTTCTTTAAGCTTGACAGTTCTCGAAACTTAATAATAAGTATCAATACAGGTTTCAAGTTTATATGTATAAAAGGTTCCACAGTGCTCAACACTAATAACTTGGCCATATAATACTCATTCTCGTATATATTTCAGAAAATTGGGACAAATTTAATGTGCAACAAGACAATAGGCAGGATGAAGATGAACTTCATTGCGAAGATGATGATTTTAATGTAAGTTTAGAAAATAATAAATATTATTTGTCCATATTTATAAGAACTAATGGTGTCTAGTACGCTATTTGAGAGTATGGAAAAATAAAATGTTATTATGAGTAAACAGTAAACTTGGGCTTAAGACAAAATTATTGGCATTTGCTTCACAATTAATTTTTTTTTTTGTTGACAATTGAATGATGCAACGGGCGGCCTTAGCGATCCTTTCCAAGCTTCCATAAAAGAAAAGAAAATACATTAATTAATCATAATTAAAATTATTAATTTTTATATGCCAGTCACGTGGATACATTTTCAGATGGATGCTGACTACGATCCAAAAGTAGCAAAGAAGAATCTTATAGAAGAATTGAAAAGGGATCAGAACAAGAAGCGCAGAAATAGGAAACGGAAATCGAAACTGGCCGAAATACTTGCACAGGAAAAGCCAAAGGTATAATTTTTAAAATGTAATAAAATATTTGAACATTTTCATATTTATAATCTTAATATATATAAATTACGTGTCACGTTGTTTGTCCGCTATGGACTCCTAAACTACTGAACCGATTTCAAATTTGCACACCGTGTGCAGTTTTATCTAACTTAAAAGAAAGGATAGCTTACATCTCAATTTATACCCGCAATATTATTTTGTTGCAAAATATTTGTTTATTATTTGATAGTCACAATTCTAACAGATGGCGCTGTGTTGAAAGTACCAACGTTTCACATAAGCTACAATTTAATTGCATAACCACCAAAAAAAGCATGGTGGTCCCCATGACTGGTGTTCTCCTACCGTTCCCTTGAATAGTTTACTACTATGTTATATAACAAAAACCATAGCCACAGCAACGCTTGGCCGGTCTGCTAGTAATATATAAATCAGAGGGCAGGGACTTTCTATGATAAATAATATCGACGCCCATACCAAATACTAATAGTATTCACTAGTCGTAGATGTAAGGTTCGTAGCCCAATAGTTGATTTGTCATATTACTAAGCATTTAAAGGAACTGTGAAATGGTAGACAGTATTGAACACCACCTCATTACAAGGAGCTATTCGCACATACCAATAAAAAAGGGTGCGTGTACTTATGTACGCGCGTAAGAAGTTATACTTCTTTGGCATTATTAAAAATAGTTTTTGATTGCATGCAAATAATTAATTACAATTAAATAATCAAAGACTGGAAAAGGAGTCATTATAGTCTATAAAGTTCAGTTTACATTTGAAAAATTAAATAAATAAATATTTATTGGAGTTTACTCCTTAAGAAACGATTTGAGTTATATAAGGCCCGGTACGGAAATTTTATGAGGAGTAAAATCAAGTGTAACACGAAAAGTTGAGGCGTTATGTAGAAAGAGACAAATGGATTGAACGTGTAAAAGAATGAGATGGAATACATTACACAGACTTTTCTATTTTGAATTCACGTTTTGACAGCCACGTTACAACATTGTCAGTGTTGACAGGTGTAAAAAATAAAAGTAGATTGTCTAGCGTGCCATAGAGTTTTGTCAATAGTAATGGTCAGTGAAATTAAAACTAAAAAGATTGTTCATTCTTATTCTTCTCTTACTATAAAGGTAACTTTGGTCACAGAAAGAAAATCCTATTTGGGCATAGATGATGTAGGTACGTTATATTACTACTACAAACATTTATATTATAAAAATATATATTCTTATCACCTTTAGTATGAAAATATGGTCGACAGCCACAGAACATTATCGCCATTTTATCGTTCGTAAGGAGTAAACTCCAATCGTGCGTCGTAGCTGACACACATGATATGGATTTTTTAATATTTTTAATTGAGGAGCGTCCCGTCTTTTGGGACACAAGTGATGAACATTATAAAAATAAATTTATTAAGCAAGAGCGTCTGTGAAAGTTTGCATCAGAGTTCATAATCGTAATAAATGGATGAACCCAGAATCTTCTTTTTCTTTTATATCTATTTAACAATAACAGAAGTGCAATTATCTTTTTGCGATCCATCTTACGCGTCCTAAAAACACGTCCAGTACGGCTGACTACGAAGGAATGGTCGCCCTACCAAACGGTTTGCCGCACTAAATCGTATCGCAGAAATTCGCATCGCATCGCAGTTTTGTGTGGGAGTCCTAAATTAACTTTTTTATGTCTTCAGTTCGCTCCACAAGTGGAAAAGAGTTATGCGGAATATATGGAAGAATACTATAAAATGGACTGTGAGGATGTTATTGGGGATCTGCCAACAAGATTCAAGTACAGAGATGTAGTACCAAATGACTTTGGACTCACTATTGAAGAGGTATTTATTGTAACAGAGATATCAGCTAAGTTTCACATGTCACATGTTTTCATTATATTTTTTTGAATATAGCAGCCTTGCTTGCAACATTTATGAAAGACTCATACATTTTGTAAAATGCACTGTACACAATATATGTAGTCAATCAAAAGTATTACTTAGATACTTACTTAGAAAACCTAACTTGATGTTGCATTGATGCCAGTTGCGTCTTATTAAAATTATATTTTTATTAAATTTTAATTAAGAGTTACTTAACATAATTTAACTTTTTTTAAATGAAATTCTAAACTTCAACATGAAATAAACTCTGAAATAAAATAAGTGTATAATAAGTTCATAATTAATATTTTCCCCAATATATTAATAAACCCATATTTAATGATTATTAGATTCTGCTGGCAGATGACAAAGAATTGACGCAGTGGGTCCCACTAAAAAAACTTGTGAAATATCGTCCAGAGAATATTGAGAAGAGTGAAGTTAACACATACAGACTGAAAGCAGCAGATGAAAGATTAAAAAAGAAGATACTACCCAGTCTGTTTAAGGATCTACCCGAGTAAGTTCAATATATGTTTTATTAAAATACTAGCAGTTGTGGCTTAAATGTACAGAGATTTTTATAATATAATTTTAGTAATTAAAAATGCACACAAAGCCACTTAGTATTGCAAATATTACATATTTGAAATGCAAAACTTTATCATTTTTCAGAGAGCCTGAAATAGTAGTACCTGTTGAAGAAACCATTTTGAATAAAAAGAAAAAGAAGAAGAAAAATAAAAATAAAAGTAAATCTGAAGACGCTACTGTTACCAATGATACTATTTTAGAGAATCAAGAAATCAATTCACAAGCGACTAACGTGGCTGAACCTGATAAAAAATCTAAAAAGAAAAAGAATCGTGAGAGTACACATGAAGGTAGCATTGTAACTAATGAACTGTCAAATGTAGTGATTGAAGATAATTTAATAAGTCAAGAAATAGATTCTAAAAACCATGTTCAGTCAAAAAAGAAAAAGAATCATCAGAGTACAAAAGAAGTTAACATTTTAGCTAATGAACTGTCAAATCTAGGAAATGAAGATAATTTAATTAGTCAAGAAATAAATTCTAAAAATCATGTTCAGTCTAAGAAGAAAAAGAATACAATAGATAATGTGAAGGATAATTCAGAACATATTGAGATTTCCATAGATGATAAAACGAAAGTAGAGAAAATAACTACAGACAAGAAAAGTAAGAAAAAACATAAAAAAGTTTTGAATAATGAAACTGCTTTAAGTGTAACAAGCAGAGGAGAAATAAACGAAAATAAAAGCCAACTGAATGGCAATCTCGATAATGTTAATACAAAAAATAAAACTAAGAAAACGAAACATAACCATTTCATAGTAGAGGATGTTACGGAAGAGTCTAATAAGGCAAGTACTCACGCGAGAACTAAAAATACGCAAAAACGTAAAGCCAACCATGATAATAGCAATATCCCAAGGAAAAAGAATAAGAATAAAAAACAGTGGAAGTCTCACAATAAGAATGAAAATACTAATCCCCTAGCAAAGTTATCAGATGAACGTTTGAAGGCTTACGGGTTAAATCCCAAAAAGTATAGAAGTTTCTTGAAATATAAAAAGTTTTAAATTTTATTTGTGTTATTGTTATGGATACTATTAAAATACATTTATATTTATTGTGTACTTTAAATATGTAAAATTATTATGGGATTTTCTTAATTTTCCATTGGCCTTGTTTTTTTAGATAATATGTAGTGTATGAGACTACATAACCAGGTATTAAATGACACATTTAATTATATTAAATGTTGGTTATTTTTAAAAAATAGCATATTTTTACATAATATGCTGTGTTGTGTAGTAATGGATGGCTATTATAGTCTTAATGCAAGTATATGTACCTAATAAAAACAAAATAATATTATTGGTATGATTTCGTAAATTTTGAAAATCACTATCAAAATAGAATAAAGCAATTAACTGCCTCGTGCCACATGCGGTATAGTGGGTCTCAGGGCCTCAGGCTAATCGCAAAATAATTTACATAATTGTCTATGGCTTTTACATGTTACAGTTCTTGTATAAAAATCGAAACAACCAGTCATAATTGATATTTATCGACTCCAAGTCGATGATTTAAATTAAGACAGGACTAATAGATCAGATAGCCAGCGTTCTACGTGTATAGGCCTTTACAACAGACGTGGGACCTCACTGCCCGAACGTAAAAAGGACTAATGTGTTTTTTGTTTCTCTTTAAGAGAACATTCATCATTAAAAACATTTGGTAAATCAGGCGGAGTCTATTGCGAAAAGATCGCATATGAAAGAAAGCCAGTCTTTTTTCATTCTTACATTTATAGCTAATGTTATTACTTAAACGGTATAGATGTTTGTACTTTGGAGAAATTGCAGTTAATTCGTTCGATTCTGTCAACATGGACAGAATATTGAGGGTTCCAGACAACACTACCATGTTCCAAAAATCTACGGACAAGAGAATTGAATGATATGATTTTAAGTATACCCACGACATCGCTTTGCAATAACTCCACATCTCGAATGCTATTTATAACTTTAAAATTTTTCATATTATATAAAGAAAAATTTATACGTTTGACAAACGAACCTACATCATTTTACAAAAAAAAGTAAATTGGACTGAACCAAGATGAGAACCTTGTGGAACACATGAGGTGGACCGTGGAAGTGTATGATCGCGACTCTATACCACTAACTGCCACAAACTTAGTTCTGTCTGCCAAATTTGACGTAAAGCATTTAAGTTACCCCCTCCGATACCATATATATCCAATATTTTCAATAAAACTTTATGACTAACTTTGTCGAAAGCACTAGAAACATTTACTCTCTATTGAATTAGCCAAAATTTTACATACTCAAAGAGATTAGTATCAGTAGATCTTTTGGCACAGAAACTATGCTGATTGTAATTTGTAGTATTAGGCATAGAAGCGACTTAAAAATGTGTTTAAAATTAGAAATTGGTCTGTAGTTTGTAACAATATTTGTCGCACCCTTTTTAAATTCAAATTCAAAAATCATTTATTCACGTAGGTAACACAATGTACACTTGTGATTCGTCATTAAAGAAATAAATATTAATGCTTCTAATTTTACATTTACTTAAATATCGGTATGATTCTTGCTTTCTTCCACATTGTAGGAAAATAGCCTAGTTCTAGTGATTTATTGAAAATAAAGTTTAAATGTAACGTCAAGGAAGATAAACAACTTTTAATAAAAACAGGTGGAATGCCGTCTGGACCACATCCTTCACAAATATCTAAAGTTTGAATTTTATTTTCAATCTAACATTCTATAATGATAGGGTATTACATATTGTGGCATTTTGAAATTCATTTATTACACTATTATCATCGCTACTGGAAACTGACCTAAAGTGCTCCGCAAATAAATTAGCTATTTCACAAATTTGTGAGGCTTTTTCACTACCTTGATACATTTCTGGTGGTAGTCTTTTATTTTGTGATTGATGAAATTACAAAAATCTTTTATATTTTTTTTCAACATTACTAATATATGCTTTATGTTTATTGCTGATTAATTTATCAGAACGAGGACGGATCAATTTAAATTCATACTAATCGCGGGGCTTTCCAAATTTAGTGGTTAAAGTAATCTAATGGTAGCTTTATCAAACCACGGCGGGTACTTAGATTTTAAGATTTTCGTACGAGTCACGTGAACTGCAATGATACCATAAATTTTATTACAATTAGTTACAAAAGTATGCAACCGTGTTATGTATGTTACGACTTACATTTAGCGCTTCTATCCGATCAATGATAAGCAGGTGACTATTAATTGCAGAATAATCAGCCTTGTAAAAGTTTAATTTACTGGATGCCGTATTTTTACAGACCTACATGAAGTATGCATATCCATACATAATTTTAGTGTAAATCTTTTCTAAGTAGGTGATTATCTGCTTCCCGAAGAGTTAAAACAACATTAGAAAGAACTAAATCCAATATTCTCTTATCCCTATTAATAACATCATTGTATTGATTAAGACAGCCTACAGACATAAAATCCATTAAAATAACACCACGTGAATTATTGCTATCGTTGATGGGGCCAGGGTTTTAGGCACTTCACCGGGGCACCAAGACAAGAAACTGAGATTACCCCAAAATTAATACATCATCAAGGGAGGCAATTACATCAGTCGCTTTATTAAAATAGCACTGAGATTTTGTTTTGTCTACTGGAGAAGGAACGTAGACACACAAAGACCTAGTTTAACAGTTTAACGTCGATCATTCCTTTCCAAGGTCAAAGATATCCATAAGTCTTCATTGTCAGATTCTAGGTGCGTCAAACGTTTACTTTCAATTATTTTTAATTTCTATGAGGACTCTTAAATTAACTTATCCGATCTTTGCCATAGACAGTGTATCTAGAGTCAAAAAGTTCTCCGTTACCAATTTCAGGTAGCAACCAGGTCTCCGTAAACACATTCACGTCATTAATTACGCAACTGGCATAAAATCGTTGGTTTTTGTTCTCAAGCCATACACATTTTGTTAGTAGATATTAATAGAGGAAACCTGAGTGATTGTTGAGACTGGTGTGATTGCAGATTTAATAACCACATATACATTGATTTAATAACCGAAGGTTGTTAAAGTGGTTTACCGAGATGATACGTTTGGCTGGTTCGCCTTCACCCTTACGGATATAGATGTTTCTGTTTCTGACCCATGTGAACATGAAGCCTAATTCTCTGCCGGTAGTAGCTTGAAGACTTTTCCAATCAGGATTTAAATGTTCAGAAACATAATATATAGGTGCAACATTCCCTCAATCAGACTGGTATTTAATTTCCCATTAAGATTATTTTTGTTAAACCTAAAGATGGCTGCTAATAAAGTATGAACGACTACTACACAGTTCAACCACTACTGACCTTGGCCGTCCCTTATTATCATTGTCTTTGCCACTCTAAAGCATGACAATACATCACTGACTGGAGACTACTTCAGCAATTCCTTCGACTGTTTTGGCCAGATTTTCATTTTTAAATTATGGTAGGCCATAAATTCAACATCAACATTTGACTCCCTTGAGTGTTGTGTCAAGATTAGACCGCTTCACTAACAAGGCACTCACTTTTGCCTCGAGTGAAAAATTCTACACTAACAATTTCTTATCTCTGAGTTTCGCTTTTCAAGGCACTAGCGGCCTGGTCGCGCGGCAACCAGGACGCAAAGGGTCGCGGCCAAAACAGAAAGGGATTACAAAGGGATTATTTCATACATCTCTTAAGCAATATGATGTCAAGTTCTTTAATTATTTGTGGATGAGCAATTGAGCAAGTCTTCGTTTGAAGAACTGTCAAGAAATTGTTGTGAATAGCACAGCTTCATTGAGCGACGCAATTTCCTCGTTTAATTTTGATATTTCAGACTACGCAATATTGTAGGCATTTGCAATCAGGATTGCTCGAAGCACGCTTCTATTAATAAATGCTCTATCATCGTCCAGCACCGGCGAGTTGTGACGTTCTTTTTGTCATAACTGGTCTACAATAACACTTTTTTAAATTTTTTAATTATAATTATTTTTAAATTATATATTATATTATTTATATGAGATAGATAATCCTCTGATGTTGCCTAATTATTGCTTTTTATAGTATATTTTACTGTTAACTATATTTATTTGATTATTTTATGAGGACTCGATGTCAACGTTACGACTACCCGCACATATATTAGTAGTTTTATGTATAATGTACAAGAATTTATAGCGACACTAAAAATGGTCGGCCTGAAAGGATCTCCTTCTAGACAACCAAGTTCTGAATAGAGTTCATAACTTTTATATGTTAATTTAAGCTACGCTTTAGTTATTATCTATAGTTAGAACTTAGATTGACAGTGACAATTAACAACCTGTTTTTCATCCAAGCGACTGCCACTTGTGTTTTGAGTTTACTCTAACCTCTTTTCCGGCGGGCCGTAATCAACGAAGGTACGTTTACTGTTGTGCATCCATAATAAAGTGAAATTTATACAAATAATTAAAAAGTGTTAAAACAAATAAATAACTCGTGCTTTTTCCGTTTGTATAAGTGGTAATTGCAACATATTGACAAAGATTACGATGGATTACTTGCTATGCCTCCCCCGCCCCATTACTAGCTTACATAGCATGATAATGGCCGGGTTAAGTCCTGAGGCTAAATTAGTGCCATTAATACAGATTCCCAAAGAAAGTCCTATCCTTTCATCTCAAAATATCCTTTTTTTTAATTCATTTCTTTGCAACGTTTAGTGGCGACAAACCTCAAACACAAGCTTCAACGGTGCCCATTAAATGTATAAAATTGTAATTGATTTGTTTTTAATTTATAGCTCGCCATCATGGTGAACAACCGAGTGCCGTCGGTCTTTTCGAAGACATACGTAACCCCACGTCGTCCTTTTGAGAAGGCGCGTCTTGATCAGGAATTAAAGATCATCGGTGAATATGGTCTGAGGAACAAGCGCGAGGTATGGAGAGTAAAGTACACATTGGCTAGGATCCGTAAGGCTGCCCGTGAGCTTCTAACCTTGGAAGAGAAAGATCCCAAGAGATTGTTTGAAGGTAAATAAATGTGTAATTTATTAAAACTACTCGGTGCCTAATACAATTGCGTGATGAATGAACATGGCAACCTCTTGTCATAATATGAATTGATGACCCAACATTTACTGACCATGTTACGAATGCATGTTTTTAAAGTTTTAGGTTGTCTTAAACTAAGTAGCTGTATATTTTTAGGTAACGCGCTTCTTCGTCGTTTGGTACGTATTGGAGTGCTGGATGAGAAGCAAATGAAGCTTGATTACGTCTTGGGTTTAAAGATTGAAGATTTCTTGGAACGTCGTCTTCAAACGCAAGTTTTCAAAGCTGGACTGGCTAAATCTATTCATCATGCCAGGATCCTCATTAGGCAGAGACATATACGGTATGTTGCTCATTATAAGTAAAAAGTATATTTATCTTATACAGGAGTACCTCTAGAAGTTGAACCTCCAAAACTATAAAAGTTTTGTTGCCTTCACTTCCAGGTGACAAATCCTACTAAACATGTCAACTAATAGGTGTATAATTAAATTGGGTATCAAACTCAATGTTTTATTTAACTTGAAAATTAAAAAAAAATGGTTTTAAGGATTTCATGACTTATGTTAAACATTTATTTTTTTGAACTCAAGATAATAACTACTTAATTATTTTCGCATTTCCTTTGATGTTTGAGTTATGAAGGTTCTACTGTATTAGGGTTTCTTGGTATTTCTCCCAATGTCATTTAATTAACATAAATTACTATACTTTAATGCTGCTATAAAACTAATTGCATTGATAACCAAATCAAATGCAGGTGATGCGGAATAAACTCCGGATGAAGCCGGTTAGAAAATGATGATTTTTCTTATAGACCACTTGATTCTCACTTTGTGTGATATCAATGTCTTGAAATATGCTCATTTTGAGCCCTTATGAGGTAATGTATTATTTTTAAAATCAACTATTAATGTTTATTTGTTAATCTAGGTTAATTATAGTATACTAGTTATTTTTTCATTAATATCACTTGAAAATTTTACAGTGTTCGCAAGCAAGTTGTAAACATCCCATCATTCATTGTCCGTCTGGACTCTGGTAAACACATTGACTTCTCTCTCAAGTCACCATTTGGAGGTGGCAGACCTGGACGTGTTAAGAGGAAGAACCTCCGCAAGGGACAAGGTGGTGGTGCTGCTAATGATGAGGAGGAAGATTAAACAAATAAATAACTATTGTTATTATTTTCTTGTTTAATTTAAATAATGTCGTTATACATGCTTTAAACTAGTTACAGACAAAATACAAATACTTAAATTGATTTTAAATAATCATAGTTTACAATTTGTGTTAACTCTTAATAGATTTAACTTTGAATGGCTTCTGCATTCCTTTAAACTTATGTTGCATTAAATATTTACTTGACCTTGAGGAAAAATTATTATAGTACAGATGTAGGAAAATATTTAAAAAACAATTACTATCTCAAAAGATGCAAACATTACAGTTAAGTATTAAACATTATAGGATATAATTGATTAAAAATTTGATAATAACTATAATAAGTTCATAAAATACCTGAATTCTTCAGCTCAATGGAGTATTTGTGATAAAAGATAATTTCATAACAATATTTTATGAACAAACAACATGCATTAGCAGCTACATTACAAACATTGTATTTTCTTCTGTCAACAATAGTTGGAATGTCAATGGAAAGGAAAATCAATTCTTATAAAAAAAGTACAATGTCTTAAGGTGATATCAGACGGTTCATTTTCACCTTTCATTCGGTACATTTCACTCGAAATGAAATGTCTGAACAAAAAATTAAACACGAGTGCCGAATGAATTCATTAGTGAACCGATCCAACAGTGTTGGATATTGGCATCCGGTATCTTTCATTCCCACTCCGAATGAACGAGAAATGAACGGTCTGAACACTGAGAGAACGTTCATTCGGATTCGGCCATTTAGTTTCGAGTCCTGTAGCCGACGGACATCACGTTGTCGACGAAGTTATAACTTTTTTTTAACTTTTCTTCAAATTTACTTTCATCCATTCGAAGATGATTACAATATGAATCAGGATCTTCAACGGCTAGTTCTCTCAACAATGTATTGGAAGCTCCTAATAAATTTATTCTTTCAATCCATGGTCGCACCCACCACCGTCGACATTTTCTTTGCTTCTTTTTTGTCAACTCTTTGATTAAATGATCACAAATTAAACTAATTCCAAGACGTACGACTTCATTCGATGACATATTTAAAAGAAAGAACAATGAATGTTCATTTCTGTATCATTTCGTCTAAGCCGTGTGAACATAGAATGAAAAAAAATGAAGCATTCACTCGAGTGAACAATCATTCGAGTGAACCGTCTGATATCACCTTAACAGCTATTTAATTCTTTACAAACTACTTTTGGACATTTTTATATGAACCTGTTCTAAACATAGGTCTAAAATATGTTCAAGGGCACGTGCAGTCTGTTCAGGACTATAAATAGATAAATCAGGAACATGTACAAACAATGTGCGAGAATTGTCAATGCTGAGAGATGTGTAATAAATGTACTCGCAAATATATCTGAAAATTAGAAGTAGATAATTTTAAAAGAAACGGTTGCTCTTCTATCTGAAATCATTAATGGCAGTTGTTAATAAATTATATTATTTCATTTAAAAAAAATTAACTGTCTTCACAGTGACTCATAAACAAGTGGTATAACAGAATAGCTTATCTTATATGCGATACAAGTTATAAAAAGCTTTAGTAGATAGCATAACCATTACAAAAAAATCCTACAATGATACAATTTAAGTATAAGAGTAGCTTTAACAGCTAATTGTTTTAGTACTATAACATTTTACGCTTACCTTCCAGCATCTAATGATACTACAGCTTTAGAGCCATCTAGAGAGTTTCCATTAAAGTCTGAGCACAGTTTCTCTACATTAAGTTTAGTCTGAATTCTTATAGCCCCATCTGCACTGCATGTATTATTTGCTGGACATTTATCCAAGTAGTCTAGTCTTTGGTAGCCTTTACGGTGAGCTTGTTTCTCTAATGTTATATCTTTAGCTAATTTTGATACACCAACATGGATTGTGAGCTAAATAATAAACTAAGCATGAATTAATTACAAAGCATAAGAAACAGAAGGTCTTAAATGAGTAAAAAAAATAGTTATTATATGAAAAGTTAAAAAACAAATTTAAGCATTGATTTACAAAAAATTAGATTTTAGTAAGTCTTAATAATACCTTAGGCTCATGTGTCTCCCATAAAGCTGGAACAAACTCGTCCACATTTTCATAGGTGACAGGTAGTTCAAGTTGAACTAGCTCGATTTTATGCTTCTCTTCAATTTCATCCTTCTTTAAAAGTTTGACTGCTTCCCAACTTGCATTTATAGGATGGTTAATAAATGGACCAAATCCAGTCACAAGTACTATTGGTTTAAATAAATAATCCAAGTCGTTCATTTTGTCCCACGGTTACACTGTATCCTTCAAATATAGTTGTTACCGCTAGGTGTTCATCGCATTTTGTGTCCATGTTTTGTAATTGTTTTGATAAAGTCACAAGTGTTGTAATTCAAGTGACAAGAGTCAGCTGATTTTAATCAGAATGAATGCGTAATGTTGGTACACTGCTGCTGCTATGCAGATTTTAATCAGTGATGCCAACTTGGGGGTTTTCCTCCCAAATAACGGGGGTAATTTTTTTAAAAACGCACGTTACTATACAATTTATATTAATCCTCAAATCCAATCAACAAACTAATCCAAATGTTAACTGTAAGCGTGGCTAAACCTATCACCCCAAGATCTAAATACATATTGTGTAATTACAGCAGCAAACCTACTTTAGGCATGGCCTTAAAGGTAGGAGACTTAAACTGAGAAAAAGTAAAAATAAAAGTAGTAAATAAATAAATTTAACCTAAAAATTGTATATACGTTTATTTGTACCTTATTTTTATGTTTAATTTATTCTCTGTATAATATTCCAGCCAGCACCTGAGCAAATGGTTGGAAAGAAGAAGAGAAAGAAGCTTGATGAAATCACGTCAAATAGCTCGGTGGAGCCTCCCCGTACTAAGACTGCTACCATTGTACCTGAAGTAACTGTAACTCCCGCTGCCCCTCCCCCTACCTCTACGGCCCCACCACAGAAACCATTCTCTGTGACAGTCACAAATGTCCCATCACCTGACACCTCATCGAAGGAATTATCATCCTTTCTTCAGCAATCTTTGGAGCAAAGTAAAACTCCTAAAGCCACACAGTCAATACAAACAAAACCATTTTCTCACGAGGCTAAAGTAAACAAGTGGCTTGCAAAACAAGCCAACGTTGACAATAGACGAAGAGGTGTTGCTCCGTGTTTGTCGGCCGAAGAGCACGTCCCGGTAGTGTGACCAGATTTCATTTGACGAATCTACTGCTCGTGGAGGTTAAAAACTACTGAATTCTACCGAAAGGAACGAGAAAATACAAAAAATCTATTATATTTTTTTGCTGTTGGTTTACAACGTAAAACATGAATTTTCTTGATTAAACGATAAAATAATAAAAGTAGTAAAGATTAATTAAAGAAGCGAAGTTTTTTTTAATTTAATTCTTACTACAATTTTTTTTTTAAATTAATAATAATAAAATGAAACTTAAAGCTAAGATTTTTCGTCGTTATGTTGGATATTGTCATAAAGCTGTTTTGAGTCCATTAGCTTGATCATACTTTTGTCAGGATCAAATCTGCTACATCCTCCTTCCAACTGTCGTAGCCCCTCTTTTCCATGCATAATTGCAGCAACATTCTTGTTATTAAAACGATTTCTATCTTGACTTTTAATTCTATTAATATCGGAAAATATTCTTTCAACTTTGGCGTTAGACAGAGGTAGTATTGTCATTTGCTTCACAAACCGGGCCAAATTGCCATATTTTGGTTTGCTATTCGCATCGCAAATTTGGCTGACCTCACTCCAAAATTTATCCACCATAAAATTTTCAGAAGTTGAACTCGAAGTTGACAATAAATTAGACACGGAAACATCTAATTTTAATTCCCTATATTCGTTGTCAACAATTTGCATATTTTCTGTTGTAACTAAGTTAGGAAACCTTTGTAGTATTTTTATTAGAGTTCGAAATTCACCATACACTGCCTTTTGGGGATCGATAAACGACAAATCCTGCAAGAAATTATCTTGTACAGGCAGTCTTTGGAGAAATTGTTTACTTAGCTCGATCAAAAATGCTTGACATCTGTTAAGAAACTCTTCAATTTTAGATTTCATTCGAACATCATCTTTTAATAATTCCAATGTTATGGCTACGTTTGTGCCCAGGTACATGTTTTGTATAGGAAGGAAATGCATACTTGAACTGGGATCTATTGACTGAAGCGAAGTAGTTTTAATATAATTTATCTTCATAAAACAACTCAAAATGGAACTCATCATGTTTTGTATATCTGTGTCAATTTTATGAATGAGCGTCTGATCACTTTGAAAAATAACGTTAAATTTTGTAGTTATGGGTAATATAAAATCTAAAAAGGAAAGATAAAGTTTTGTTTCATCGCTGTTAAGGTGATCAAATATAAATTGACAAGTAGCATTTGCATTCTTATTTCCTAAAAACTCATTTTGAAAAAAAGTTTTAATGCTGACCACTGCTCTATAATTCGGTGAATGCATTGATGTAGAGAAAGCCACCTGATATCATAGTGACGAAGCATATGGTGAGTTGGAGTGTCAGTAAAATTTTGAAATTCGACAAACTCTCTTTGACGTTGGCTACTGTGAGAGAAGTATGAATAAACATCTTTGACAAACAACTCTATAGAACGAGGTAATTTTTTGCATGCATAACTTACTGAAAGATTTGTTGAGTGGCAAATACATTTAAAAAAAATACAGTTTGGGTTGACTTCCCTAATTTTAGATACCACGCTATTCCTTTCGCCAAACATAACATTCGTTGTATCAGCAGCGAACCCTATTAAATTTTCTATGTTAAGGTTTCTTTCAGATAAGGCACATGTTAAACTATCAAACAAATACTGCGCAGTTTCACCTTTTAAGTCCACCATACACAAAAATTTTGTTTGTGGAGATTGCAATTTTTCTGAGTAGTACTTTATTGCTGCTGCAAGTACCTTGGTAGTACTGACATCTGTGCTTTCGTCGATAATGAGCGAAAATACTGGGCTTCTCTCAGTTTCATTTTCCAGCCTTGGACGTAATTCTGCAAGCATTTTTTCTTCGAAGTTATTGCCTAAGACGTTGTAAGCAATTGCGGCAGATTTAGTTCTTCTACAGGAAAAACGTTTTGCGATTTCAGAGTCGTGAAATGCCCTTGAAATAACTTCGCTTACGTGATCCATTACGCGAAAAGGAATATTATGTTCCACTAATGCAGCTACAATGCTGATTTCTGCTTTTTTACTTCTTCCGAAATAGTTGATGTTTTAAAAATCGTATCAATCTGTAAACAAAAAAGTTAAAAATAAGTATGCAGGACAAAAAAAAAAAGTCAAAAACTAAGCAATCTTAATATATATAAATCTCGTATCACAATGTTTGTCCTCAATGGACTCCTAAACTACCGAACCGATATCAATCAAATTTGCACACCGTGTGTAGTTTGATCCAAATTAAAAGGTAGTTTAAATCTCAAATTATAGTCGCAATATTATTTTATTGCAAAATATTTGTTTATTATTTGATACAATTCTAACAGATGGCGCTGTGTTATAAGTATCAACGTTTCACATAAGCTTTCATCTACCTTTAAGATAAGTTCTCCTACCCCTAACAGATGGCGCTGTGTTAAAAGTATCAACGTTTCACATAAGCTACCTTTCACATACGTTCTCCTACCGTTTCCCTTGAATAGTTTACTACTATGTAATATAACAAAAACCTTAGCCACAGCAACGCTTGGCCGAGTCTGCTAGTTTTAATATATCATTTAAATAAATAAACATGCATAAACACACATAGTTGTATAATAATAATTGTTATGTAAATGTGTAGATAATAAACATACTTAAAACAGCGAAAGTTTGTTTTTGAATGGAAATCATAAGGTTTAGAACATAATACGGGTTCACGATGAAAGTATTAAATTTTTTTTAACAAAAATAATTAACTAAGACTTACATTCCACATATCAATGTAAGTACCTTACGTACCTTAGAAATGCCGGAATATCCTTTCATGTTTTTTATATGCTTTGATGTAGCCATATGTTCCTTTAAAGATGCCACTCTACTTAGTACTTCACAGTTGCATGCTTTACAATGAGCACTCGTAGTGTTTACTCTAGATTTAGACAACCAACTTTTAAATGAGGGATCTTGCTCCCATTCATCGCGATATATTTGTGTATATTTACGTTTCATTATATACTCGATTATATAAATTCTCAGTAAAGGTATTCCCACTAATCACAATATGCTCACGAGTCACGGAACGAATGGTTTATAGTAACGAAAATAACGAAAATTCAATAGAACTTACCACCCAATCGATGAAAGGGGAATACCCCGCATTTATTCGATGTGCCAAAAAAGTACCTACTAGAATAACTGATAAACGTGAATTCTACTAAAATATACCAAATAATTTTTACATACTAAATTCTGTTGCCAGTACCTCAAAATCTACCAAAAAAGTAGAAATCTACTAAATCTGGTCACACTGGTCCCGGTAGTCCATAGAGTGACCGGAGCAGAAATATAACAAGAAAAGTTAAGAAAAACTAAATTTAAATAATAAAAAATACTTAAAAAATATGATCATTTATATTTGAAATTACCTCTCAACCCGAGGGTATTTGAAGTTCTCCTGGGAAATATTTTATAGGAGTTGGCATCACTATTTTTCTTAAGGTAGATAAAACTAAAATTATCAATTTATTATTTCTTCTAGAAATTGCAAATTGAATTTATTGATAGTCTGGCTAATGAAAGAAGATAGTTGAATTATTTGAAAACTTTCGGATGGCAACACAGAATGTCATAGAATTTCTTAGGTTAGTATGATTTATTGTCTTGATACTTAATGCAATTACTCATTTATAATTCTATTTTATATTTTTTCCGAATAGTTAACAGGTATAATAGCTTAAATTTTGTTTTTAAAAAAAAAATTGTGTCTTTCGCAGGATTTGATTATTCCGAATAACGTTATGTTATATAATAAATATAGTCATTTTAAGTATCAACAGTACAAGACTAAATACGTATAGTATTTAATTTCATAGAAATACAGTTACTATCAATGTAAAAAATAATAAAATAAAATCAAGTATCAACTAAGTTTAATCCACAAAATATATCAAAGTTTTAGGGATACCATACTATTTTTTTTTAATTTGCCGCGCTTTTTCGTTATCTTCTTTCATTAGCCAGACTCTATTTTATTCTTATACAGGGTGTCCCAAAAGTCGACGTCAAGTCGAAATTTTCTCATAGGTAATGCCACACCAGTTATCAGAAAAATTAAAAAAAAAAATTAAGTCATGTATTTTTATAAGTTATGGAAATTTTCCTTTTATTCCAGAAAATGTACACCATGTGATAGTTTTTTCATTCCTGTTGTAACAAATATTTAATTTTTGCCAATTTTTTTTCTCTTACGTCATCCCGAATAGTGCTTTATGTAACCTATGATCCTAAACCCTGTGCCGATCACTCCAACTTGTAGGAAAATGTCATTTTATACCGTACCAAGTTTTCAAAATTAATTTTTCGCACTAGTTCAACTGATCGTCCTGAAAAAAAAATGTACTACTCCAGTTTGGCAAGCAGCTTTAAAAGTTCGCGCATTTAATAAGGATTCTAACGAGGTGTAACACTTACTTCATTATTTCTTAGATCGGCCATAAAAAGAATTTTTGTTAAACAAAGTCTGTTTTTAAAAATTTCTCTGGAATTACAAAAAACGATTCTAGTGTACCCAAAGCGTTCCTAATAACCACAGCGTGGTTTAAATAAGATGGCGTAAAGTGTGAGCGAGACAGATAGTAACGCTACTTATTGCTATTGACACACGCACTACAAGTCAGTACGCAACGCTCCTTCGTTTACTACGCATCTTTACGTATTCGCTGGTGTTATTTTGTGTTCTAACTACTTTGGCTTCGTTTACGGACTTGTTTGCTTGTGATTTGGATTTTACATTTGTGATCTACGACGACCTTTACTTTTCCCTGGACTTACGTGTTATTGTGTATTTGTACCATACCATGGCTACGTACACTACACAGGAATATGCTAACATGCACCTCATTTATGGGGAATGTTTATGTAATGCCAGTGAAGCCGCTAGACGGTATCGCGAGAGATACCCTAATGCAGATCGCTATCCGGATCACAGAGTTTTTACCAATGTGCACCGTCTACTGTTCTCTGAGGGCCGACTGCCAAACCAAGTGCACGGTGAAGGTAGAATTTCCCTACCCTACGAGGCAGTTGTCCTTCAAGCAGTTGATGAGGACCCAAGTTGTTCAGTACGTGGAATTGAGGCCAGCACAGGTGTGCCCAAAAGTACAGCTCACCGAATACTACAAAAAAATGAGTTCCATCCATTTCATGTACAGCGAGTACAATCCTTATTACCTCGAGATTATGAACCTCGGGTTGCTTTTTGCCAAACAATAATTCAAAAACACCGAGAAGACCCACAATTCTTAGAAAAATTTGTATGGTCGGATGAATCAACTTTAAAAAAAGATGGCTACATGAACCTACACAATCTGCACGAGTGGCACGTCGAAAATCCACGATTGATGAGACCAGACAGATCACAGTATTGTTTCAAAGTTAACATGTGGACTGGAATTTTGAACGGAAAAGTCATAGGGCCTTTTGAGTTACCAGAAGTTTTAAATGCTGAAATTTATTTAGATTTCTTACAAAATCATTTGCCCAATTTGCTGGAGGACGTGCCGCTTACTATTTTACGAGATATGTGGTTCCAGCAACATGGTTGTCCAGCGCATTACAGCCGCTTAGTTCGAAACCACCTTAACGAGGAGTATCCAGACAGATGGATAGGGCGGGGTGGTACAATCTCGTGGCCCGCCTGCTCACCCGGTTTAAATCCTCTTGATTTTTTTTACTGGGGAGCAGTAAAGGAAAAAGTCTATTCCAAATCGATGCAAAATGTAGAAGAGCTTAGACAGAGAATAGCGGAAGCAGTAGAATTTGTGAATAATGGACGATTTGCCCGCTTCATTTCACGATCTTTTTAAGGAGATGTCGAGCCTGTATTGCAGCTGAAGGACGGCAATTTGAACATCTTTTATAAAAAAAGTAATAAATCTAATCATAAAAAAGAAACTGTCTATTTTACTTATTTGCGTCGGTGATGCCCCGGCTGTCGTACGCATCGGACGTGTTTTTTCGTTGCGCGCATACGGACCCGTGTATTTCGTTTATACTAACTATCGCTACTTTTATACATAAAAGTTTGTCATAGTTGCCAGGAGGTGCTGTCACAATCATCTGATTCCACTCTCGGTGACGTACACTCGCCGCCTATCCCTAAGCCTTCGGGATTCGGGAGAAGCGGTGGAGTGCGCTATGAACCGATAGTTTCGGGTCGTGCGTGACAGCCTCCTAGCTTCATTTTATTTTATTGTGTGTGATTAAAATGAAGCGCATTCCCCAGGCCGGTCAGGAGGAGAAGCAGCCGTCCCGCCCGCAGCGCCCACGCTCCCGTTCAGGTCGAGCGAGGCCCCCTGCGGGTGCCGAGGCCGCCGCCAACCCCGGACCGTCAAGTACTGAGCGAATAACAACGCCCAGCTCGACTACAGCGAAGCACCAGGCTGCGCCAAGCTGTTCCGGCTTTGCGGAGCCAGCTTTGCCTCAGCCGAGTCGCAGCCGTTCTACGGAGAGGCGAAGCCTCACTCCATCTTATAAGACCAAGGAATCATCTTCATCCAGTGAAATTACATTCCAGGCCGTCGGGTCATTAGCGACACATCGCGCCACCGATGACACCATCCACCCGCCCGCCGCACTCCCCGCGTCGGAGACATCGCGGCGCGGCACCGAGTTGCAAGCCGTGCGTGTGACGTCAGCGGGCCACGCCTCCAACGACGCCACTCGCCCGTTCGCCCCGCCCACCGCGTCGGAAACATCGCAGCCATCGTCGCCTTGATATGGGAGGGCCATCGGCACAGCCACCTGGCGCCGTTCCATCGCCCGCCGCACCGACTGACATTAACATTAACATTGACGCCTCACTACCGGGACCCGCTGCCGCTCCCGTCGCCTCCGCTGACGACGGCGCCGCTTCAGCACCGGACGCACCCACTTATGCAAGGATGGTGACTGCGCCAACGGTCCAGGCGCAGCCCCCTAGAGCTCCCGCGGCCCCCAAGAGATCTGACTATCCACCGATAGTTATCGAGTGCCTCCCCAATTACGTACATCATTTGGGGAGGATCAGTCAGCTGTTGGGGCGGCCAGCCAATGCCAGGGCGTACGGTAAGGGTTACCGTATCACCCCCGAATCCGGCGACGAGTACCGGGTGGTCCAACGTTACCTTTCGGACCTGGAGAAGGAGGATCGCCGGGTCTCCTGGTTTTCGTACTCCCTTCCCGCGGAGCAGGATCTTAAGGTGGCGATTCGGGGGATACCGGTTACAACCGACCCCGAGGAGCTGGCCCAGGCGCTGCGAGACCGCGGGTACGAGCCTGACTATATCCGCCCGATTCGAGCCCGGAAGGGCCGACCCGGCTGCATTTTCCTTGCAGTGATGCGGCGTACTCCAGACATCACCCCTGCCATATATAGCATAACCGAGCTGTTATATATGACGGGGGTCACCATTGAAGCCTGGCGCGGGAAAAAGGGTCCCGCGCAATGCCATCGATGCCAGTCGTTCAGACACTCATCGGTTAATTGCCATCGGCGAATGGCGTGCGTCCGCTGCGCGGGGGAGCATCGCGCGGCTGACTGCACCAGACCGAGGGAAGTGCCGGCGACCTGCGCCAACTGCGGGGGGCCTCACCCCGCTTGCCACTCAACTTGCCCGGTGCGCAAGGAGGAGGAGCGGAACCGGCGCGCGGGCACGTTCGCCCGAACGGCGCCGCCTCGCCCCTCGTGCCAACGCCTCAACGAGCAAAGCCGAAACCAACATCCGCCCATGGGCGCGCCGCCTTCAGCCGCCCCCTTGACGTCTGCCGCCGCTCCTACGTTCGACGATGAGGGCTTCGTCACGGTGCGACGCCGCACGAGACGAGGCGGCCGCAGGCGGGGCCCCGCCGCGCCTTCACTTGCCGCGCAGGAGGCGGGCCGCGCTGCCGCACTTCATGCGGTTTCCACGGGCGTCGCCAACCGCGCCGCTGCCGCAGCCGCAGCCCCAGCGCCAGCACCAGCACCAGCACCACCTCCGCGCGCGCGCACCAGGTCCCGCGCGCGCCGACCCCAAATGGAGGAGGCACTGGCGGCCATCGCTAACATACTCCAGGCCGTGCAAGCCGGAGACGATCCAGCCCCGCTTTTTAGGAGAGCGGCATCGGCCTTCAAGGCCCCCACCCGAGGTCGCAGCCGCAGATGATGGGGGGGCCTTCGGCTCCTACATTGGAACGCGCGCGGCCTCGCGAATAAGGCCACCTACCTAAAACATCTTATGAATTCACAGGACATTGACGTCGCCCTAATTAATGAGACACACCTCTCCGAATCAGCCAGGCTGCGCATCCCGGGGTATGAAATCTACCGCCAGCACCACGTCGACGCCATCGGTCGCGCCTACCGTGGCCTAGCAGTCATGGTCAGGCGCCGCATACCACACCGACTGCTGCCCGACGTGGCGGTCACCGAGTGCTCTGCCCTGGGTGTGGAACTGCAGCTTGCGGGTCGTCCCTCAGGCTTTTTTGCAGTCTACGCCCCGCCCAACGATCGATACGCCTCCGCCGATGTCCGCGCGCTCCTTGCCGCCGCCCACCCGTGCGTCATAGCCGGTGACTGGACTGCGAAGCACCCGGCGTGGAATTCGCGGACTGCGAACTCGCGGGGCAGACGACTGCTCCACGACGCTGAGACACTGGACTTTTCAGTGTCCGGCCCGGACGTGCCGACCCATTACCCGGACATTACTCACCACCGAGCCGATACGCTGGACATCGTTGTCCACCAGGGAGTGACGTGCCAGATGACCCAGGACGTGATCGTCGACGAGTTCCTGTCCGATCACCTCCCTGTGGTCGTCACCCTGCTGGACACCGATCCTAGTTTAACGCCCATGACACCGCTTCGCCGTAGGTGCATTGACTGGGGGGTTTTCGAGCGAGCCCTCGACGACGCACCTCAGCCGCGTCCGCCCGAGACCCCCGCGTCAATTGACGAGCTTGCTACATCCCTCACTCTAACGTTCCAGAACGCACTACAAGCGGCCACCACGGAGCGCCCTCTGCCGGCGTCGTATCAGCAGTTGCCGCCGCGTTTACTGGCGCTCATTCGCCGCAAACGCGCCCTGCGAAGACGCTGGCAGCAAACCCGCTGTCCGCGCATGCGCGCAGAACTGCGCGCCCTTGCCGAGCGAGTAAAGACCGCGCTCGACGAACATAATAACGAGTCGTGGGAGCGCTGTCTCGACGAGGCCTCCACAGATTGGGTACGGCTGCACCGACTGTGCAGGCGCCTCAATGGCGCAGCCGACCCGATCTGCCCGCTGAGACACCCTGACGGCACGCTGCTCTACGACGCCGAGGGACGCGCCGAGCTGTTCGCAGACCATCTACGGCGGCAGTTCTCCCCTAACCCCGCGGCAGACCCAACACGCGCGTTAGCGGTCGAGAACGCCGTCGTCGAACAGCTGAGCGCCCCTCCGCCGGCTGAAGAAGAGGTGCTGTTCTTTTCGCCGAGCGCAGTCAAGCGGCATGCAGCGCGGCTCAAGCCCAGGAAGGCCCCCGGCCCGGATGGTATTACCAACGCAGCTCTGCGTCACCTGCCCCATCGTGCGGTGGTGACGCTCATGCGTCTATTTAACGCAATCCTCCGGACTGGACACTTCCCCGAGGCTTGGAAAGAAGCCAAAATCATGATGTTGCCCAAGAAGGGCAAAAATATCACGGACCCGGCGAGCTATCGCCCTATTTCATTACTGGCGACGCAATCCAAGCTGTTCGAGGCCATGTTGTTGCCGACTATTAGGCGACACTTCACACCTAGGCCCGAACAGTTTGGGTTCCGCACCGAACACTCAACCACCCTCCAGCTGTCGAGAGTACTGCACGACATCGCCGTCGCCCAAAACAAGAAGGAGGCGGTCGCTGCAGTATTCCTAGACATGGAAAAAGCGTTCGACCGAGTCTGGCACGCGGGTCTGCTGCATAGGCTCCTCGACTCCGACATCCCGCGGCGCGTGGTGGCGATCATCAGCTCCTTCCTCTCCGACCGGCGCTTCCACGTCTCCGTCGGGGGGGTGAAGTCGAGCTGCCGGCCGATCGCCGCGGGGGTCCCTCAAGGCAGCTGCCTATCTCCCATACTGTATTCTATTTATTCGAATGACGTTCCAGTTGCTGCGGGGTGCGCGGTGTCGCTGTTTGCGGACGACACCGCCTTCATCGCCTCCTCTCTCAACGCGCGCCACGCAGCCACTAAACTGCAGAGGTCGCTGGACGCCCTTCCAGCCTGGCTGGCAGAGCGGCGCCTCACCGCAAACGCCGCCAAGACTCAAGCCATCGTCTTCGGCTGGGGGCGTCTCCCGCCGCCGCTGCAATTCCAAGGGGTCGAGGTCCAGTGGCGCTCCCAAGCGACCTACTTGGGCATTACCCTGGACAGAGGCCTAACGATGCGCCCGCACATCGCTGCAGCCGCAGGCCGCGCAAAGGCGGTCGCCTCCAAACTGCGCCCTGTACTGCAGTCCGCACTTCCGCTAAGGCGTAAACTAGCACTGTACAAACTATACATTAGACCTCATCTCACGTACGCGGCGCCCGCGTGGTACGCTCTCGCGGCCGAGACGCATCGGCGTTGGTTGCGCGCCGTGCAGAGCACCACCCTGCGGCGCATCGTCGGCGCGCCGCGCTACGTGAGAAACTCCACGATCCAGCGAGATTTAAAAATAACAACCATAGACGATTTCATCGGCGAGCTGGCGAGGCGCATGTTCGAGCGTGCGGACGCCTCAGGCCACCAGCACCTCCAGCGCCTCGCCCCGCTCCACACGAGACCGCCAGATCACCGCCGAGCCTACCCGCGCGAACTCGTTCGCGCGGAACGAGACGAGCCTCACTCACAATAACGAATTTAAAGACGAAAGGACTGGACCCCGCCCGTTGGCGCCTCGGAGCGCGCTGAGGATTCAGCCGCAGGTCTGCCTCGCTGGGCCTCCCTCGGGTTACCGAGGGTCTCACCCGGTGTGGTATGGCCGCGCCCACGCGCGTCCGTTGTCGCCACGGGGGGGCGCCACCAGACCCACCGTACAAACATACAAAGCGCTGCGAGAGCGAAGACGCTCCGCAGCGCAAGTGAAGCTCAGGGCCGCTCCAGGCCCGCCACAGCGTCCGCCCCGCCGTTGAGCGGGGCGCGGAAAGGATACCCCCCGCAAGCCCATGGGCGTAACGGGGTACCCAGCGCCACCCTAGGGTGATTGCGCGGAAGAAGGCATCATGTTTATTTGCGTCCGTATGTCATAAGCGTCACTATCTGTCTCGCTCACATTTTATGGAATGTCTCTCTCCATCTTATTTAAACCACACTGTGGTCATTAGGAATGTTTTGGGTGCGCTTGAATCATTTGTTGTAATTTCAAAGAGATTGTTAAAAACAGACTTTGTTTAACAAAAAAAATTCTTATGGCCGATCTAAGAAATAATGGACTCAGTGTTATACCACTGTAGAATCCTTATTAAATGCGCTAACTTTTAAAGCTACTTGCCAAACTGGAGTAATACATTTTTTTTTCAGGACGATCAGTTGAAGTAGTGCGAAAATTAATTTTGAAAACTTGGTACGGTATAAAATGACATTTTCCTAAAAGTTTGAGTGATCAGCACAGAGTTTAGGATCATAGGTTACATAAAACACTATTCGGGATGACGTAAGAGGAAAAAAAATTGGCAAAAAGTAAATATTTGTAACAACAGGAATGAAAAAACTGTCACAAGGTGTGCATTTTCTGGAATAACAAAAAAATATCCATAACTTCAAAAATACATGACTTATTTTTTTTTTAATTTTTCTGATAACTGGTGTGACATTACCTATGAGAAAATTTCGACTTGACGTCGACTTTTGGGACATCCTGTATATGTCGTTGTATTATCTGTATTTTATAAATGTTAGCCGTAAGGACGCTCTAAGTAATCTTTCTGAACTCTGCAGTCTGTGCTTAACTCTAGTTCATCAAATCCGGTTTCCATAGTGTGAGACCACTTTAGTTTTTCCGTAGACGGACTATGGTATAGACCAGGCATCAGCGTACAACGTGTGAGATAGCGAATGATTGACATATGTCATATTTACAGTTTTTTTTATTTTTTCTTTGAAGATTGCTTATTTATTGACCAAAATACACATTCGAATGAATAATTCTTGAACAAAGTTACTGAGTCGTGACAAAATAAGCTACTTACCGATGAAAGGTTATGTTTGGTTATTTACGTTCACTATAGCTTTTACAGCCAATTATGCAACAATTCACCATGACTGACACTTTAAATACACCTCTTATAAGGATAAAGTCTTAAAATATGCGTTTGACTTGGGGTTCACAGATTTATCAGTAAGCGGTGAAAACTTGTTTAAACCAAACAACCACCAAGGGCTCGGTGGTAAACAAATAAAACCCGATACGCAAATAGAGACAGAAAAACTAATACTTTGTTTCGCTCGCACTTAAGTATTTCACGTTAATGCCTTCTCTCTTTAGTTATTATTGTCATTTTAGAAGCTCATCTAGTTCTATACTCTATCTACGAGTTTTTCAGACTTTAATGACAAACTGTCAAAAATTGCTTTTTTATTTGGCATTTGGCAGTTGCTTGATTGGCAATGGCAACTGGCAGTTGGCTTTTGCGGTTTGTCATGTGGAGTGTGAATACTCGATTGTGGAATTTAAGCATTATTAAAAGCTTTAATTTTAACATTTGAGCATGTTTTGGAGTTTTTGGTAAATAATACTATTTACTGTGTCTAGCAATTTAGTATTAGATTTATAACTATTCAACTTTTCAACTCGCAGTTTTTCTGATTTGGCTTGCATAGTGAGGTTATGTTAAACAATATAACATATTTCTTTTGTATAATAAAATGACTGAAAGCGAGACTTTCAACAATTGCCGGACAGTGGCGATACCGTGGCCGTTTTCCAAGGGAAAAGTAGAATGTGCTGGTGCCGCATTTTTACGTTATTATAATATCAAATGCCACGGTGAAGATACATTTTTAGAAGCGTCGACATCAAAAGATAAAACTGAAGAGGTGGTTTTTGAAGACAACGTAGAATATTTGCGAAGTTTAGACCCTAAAGAATGGAAAAAACAAGACCATTATGCTGTTCTCGGTATGAAAGACCTGCGTTTTAAAGCGTCTGACGATGACATTAAAAGAGCATATCGTCAAAAGGTTTTAAAACACCACCCTGACAAACGTAAAGCTCAAGGGGAGGAAGTAAGAAGTGACGATGATTACTTTACTTGCATAACAAAAGCATATGAAATTCTTGGCACCCCAAAAAATAGAAGATCATTTGACTCAGTTGATCCAACTTTTGACGATACTATTCCTACTGCTTCTGATGTCAAAAGGGATGGTTTTATTAAAACATTCTCTAAGTATTTTGAAATCAATGCAAGATGGTCAGAAAAAAAGAATGTACCATTATTAGGGGATGAAAACAGTTCACGGGAATTTGTGGAAAGGTTTTATGCCTTCTGGTATGAATTTGATTCTTGGCGTGAGTTTTCTTATATGGATGAGGAGGAAAAGGAAAAAGGTAGTGACAGAGAGGAAAGAAGGTGGATAGAAAAGCAGAATAAAGTAGCTCGCGCAAAACTAAAAAAAGAAGAAATGGCTAGAATTAGAAGTCTAGTGGATCTTGCATATGCTAATGATCCTAGGATTCAGAAATTTAAACAAGAAGATAAAGACAAGAAATTAGCAGCTAAGCGAGCTAGACAGGTAATTATGATGTTAATATTTCTTACTGCTGCTTTACTTACTGACTTTCCCACTCTTTATGAAAAGTTTATGTATGTATATAAAATAACCTGTATGAATATTTGATAATACACATATTTTATCAAAGATATATCAATTAACATACACATTAATTAAACCATTCTTTTTTCAGGATGCTGTTCAAGCAAAGAAGGCAGAAGAAGAAAGGCTTCTCAAGGAAGCCCAGCTTGCCAAACAAAAGGCTGAAGAAGCTGAGAGAGCCAAGATCGAAGCAGCAAGGGCAGAGAGAGAAATGCAAAAGAAAAATCTTAGGAAAGAAAAAAAGTCCCTGCGAGACTTATGTAAAACAAATAATTACTATGCTCAAAATGATGAGGAAACTGTTTCCCACATGGCTGCTGTAGAAAAGATTTGTGAACTCATGAAATTAATGGAATTACAGGACTTTATTAAAGAATTAGAAGGAAATGGTAGAAGTAGCTTTCTTAAGACAATGAAGGATACTGAAGATAAACTTGAAGCAGAACGCCATGCACTTTTTGAAAACAAAAAAGTTGAAGAACATAGAACAAAGAAAAGTGCAGCACTAAAAGCCCCTGTGGAGTGGTCTGTAGAAATGACACAGTTATTAATTAAAGCTGTAAATTTATTTCCAGCAGGGACAAATCAAAGATGGGAAGTTGTTGCTAACTTTTTAAATCAACATGGCACATTCACTGATGAAAGACGTTTTAATGCTAAAGAAGTTCTTAATAAGGCTAAAGATCTACAAAGTTCAGATTTTTCCAAAAGTAGTCTCAAAAAAGCAGCAAATGAAGAGGCATTTGATCAATTTGAAAAAGATAAAAAGAAAGTAACAAGTACTGTAGATGATAACAGCATATCCAAGAATGATACTTCTAAAGTTGTTAATGGAATCTCACCAAAAGTCAATGGTGATGTTAAACCTCCAAAAGAAGAAAAGTCATGGACAAAGACTGAACAGGAGTTATTGGAACAAGCAATCAAGACATTTCCGGCTAGCACTGCAGACAGATGGGATAAAATAGCTGATTGCATACCAAATAGGAGTAAAAAAGATTGTATGAAGAGATACAAAGAATTAGTAGAACTTGTAAAAGCAAAAAAACAGGCAGCCAATTTGGCAAAATAACATTAAATAATGTATTAGATCCTAAACAAATTAATAAATTGACATTATTTCAATGGCCTTCTCTTATTGTGAGTAAATATTGTAAAATCTTTGTTGCATACAAAACCATAGATAAGGAAATGATTGAAAGTGATAGGAAATTATTTTGAAATATTTATTGGATTCTATACTTAAAAATAGCTTAAATTTTAAAAATAATCTATCAAGTAAAACTTAAAATAATAATGATAACATCACTTTTACTTTCTAATATGTACCTTTGGGTAGTTAGCATAAAACAATTTATATTTCCATGTTTTTTTTATATTTCATAACAAGTTCAGACTATCCTTGGTAGAGCTTTAGTATGTTACTTTCATTTTTTTTAGCATAATACTAACTCTTCAGTTACCTTTAGCTTAAATGTTGGCTGCAGAATTGGTGGTAGCTTGAGGCATCAAGGGTAAAGAAATATTTTTTATGATGTGATAGAACTAGTTTAGTTCATATAAACATTCAAATGTTCTAATTGATTATAGAAAATATTATACTTACACATCCATGTTCCAATTTTAAATATGTTCCAGAAGCAAAAGCATGATAGACAAAGAATACCTACATATAATAATTGCTCAGTCCTAGGTCTAAAGCTGCTATCACATTCTTAAGAATCTTACATCATATTTTTGTAATTATTAATTATTTGCAGTGGATAATAAAATTATAGTCTATTGGTAATACAATGTGTTTTATTATAAAAAGTATATTCATATATAAAGGCATGACAAATCACACTGAAAGGCTTCATTTGGATTTTGTAATACATATTTAGATTAAAATCATCAAAATCTGTAATTTATCAGTACCAACTAATATTGATTTGAGATGCAAATATGGTACCCTACTCACTTGTATAATATTATGTTGATGCATGAGTAAGGGTAGCAATTACCTTCCATTAATGATGCAATGCTGATGTCAAAATTAGTTTTCCACTTTCGAACACTATTCTGTAACATAGCTTTACAAAAGACAAATGATTATTTCACCATTCAATTAGTTCAGTATCTAGCCACTCTGGCAAATTTTTTTATTACCCAACCAAGGAATCCAGATTAAAAACTAAAATTGTTTCACTTGTTTTTGGTTAACATTGGACCAATGGTTTATTCAAATTTGTAACATAATATGGTACTGCAATTTTTCAATAACATTATAGGACAATTAATTAACTTTTATAGTAGGCACTCATTTACTTGCATAGTTCTACTGCTGGAATTTGACTTTACCTTGGCCAACCAAATATACTTGTTGGGTTTTAAAATGTTAGTAAAACATACCTTTAATAATTATTGTATGTTGCCTTTTGTAACCAGTATCAATTAAGTTGCACCACATTTTACTATTATGTCAGTGTATCCATATTTTACAACTTGGCAGGAAGCTAACTCAATTTAGTGTCATTTTAAATTTGTTTCTGAGGTGACCTATAAACTAAGGACATATTAACTTGTTTGCATATATAGGAATACCTTAAACTGGGCTGTTTCAAACTTAATTTTACCAAACAATAAATTTTAAGAAATAAAATAACAATTTGTTTTAAATACTGTATTTAACACATTATACATAAGTGTTTGGTTCTGTTTCGTAAGGCACATTTAAGGCCATAAATTGCCATTTAAAGCTTATCATATTAATTAAAAAATTACTTTATAAACCTACAGTTAGATAAATTCGAGAGAGCTTAAATGGATACAAAGTTTGAATTATAAAAATTAAAGCACCTTTCTCAGGTAAATAAAAAAAATACTTAAAGTAACTTAACTCTTCTTTGTTAAAAAAAACTTTTTATTATTTCAGATTTCAAAAGAGATTGGACAAAAATATTGAATATTGCAATCAGTCTTTTACATTTACTTATTAGATTCACATGAAAGTCTTGATGATGTTATATTTAAATAGCTTATATTATAATTGAGCACTTATAGCAGTGAATATAAATTATTTTAACTTATGGTACTTAAAGATTTATTATACTCCTAAAATTTTTGTTAAAAATTATGTTCAATCAAAAATAGACTGGAACATTATAAGTAAAATTTGTTAGAAATAAATCAAACATTTGGAATGTACATTAAATTGAGTAAAAAGGTCCATTATGTCTTATAATAGATATGTCAATGGCTTGTCTAGCCATTAACTTTACTAGCTATTATAGGTTAGTGCGTGCGTAACCTTTACTGTCTCTAAAATGTTTAATAAATATATATGTTATAAATACTATGCTAAGGCACATTCTTGTAGGCGTATAATGGCTCATTGGTTTGCAGGTACTTACACAATACAACAACTGAATTTACAAGCCAGACTTGGTTATATTAAGTCTGAATAATGTAATCATAAGCTTATTAAATCAATAAATTGTTTCCATATCTGAAATATTATGAATTCCAGAAAAGGGAGATTTTTTATAAGCAATATTTTTATACAAATAAAAATCAACTTCCATCAAATAAACCAAATCCCAAAATGGTTTGATGAAAGGAAAGTTACAACTTATAACCGAATCAGGAAAATATTTGCTTCTATAAATATCCAATACAAAATCAACAATTCAATGAGATTGAATGAAAACAGTCTGCAAAATCACATATACATGATAGAAATGTACAAAAGGTATTATTGAATTTTACAACCACGACGTTTCTTGTGTAAATCAGCTTGCTTACTCTTTTTCTTTGCAAGACCCTCTGCAGTTATATCAGATATCACTGACAGCCTCTTAGATGGGTCACCTTTATCATAAGATAGTCGAGGTGGTGGTAAATTATCAGAAGAAAATGAAGAACTGTATAAGTTGTTATTTTCACTTACACTGTGCACTATTGATGTATTTACATCATGAGATTCAATATTATCTGTTGGGTAGTGAGAAGCTGGGCGTATACTAACTGGGTCAGGAAATCTTGGCTTCTTACTTGTGGATGGTGGAGGTGGCGGGTGCCTATGATGAAGTGGTGTATTTGAATTAGCTTTAGCCTCAAATGATCTTGAATGAGCATGTGATGCATTAATGTTTGAGCTAGAAGTCCCGGCTTCTTGTGCATAGTACTGTTTAGACAACTCATGAGTTTGTAGTGCACTGGCTTTTGACTGTATACACTCTTTTTCAAATGGCTCAACATAGTTCAGGTCAGAATCAACAGATTTGCATAGTCTTAAGCCATTTTGACGAATCATGTCTCTTGGATTACTGTAAGCATCACAGAGTGTAGTTTGTGATGGTTCAGGAGGAACATCTTGGGCTTGTCTTTGCTGCTTTTTCAGCAAAGCTTTTTGTCTAGCTTTTTCTTTTGCCCTTTGTAATTTTTTGTATTCCCTTTCTTGCAGCAAACGAGCTAGTTCACCATCTTGAGCCTCTACTGCACATCTCATATCAGCAAGGAGGGCTTCTTGACCATCCACTTCATGGCTCAACTGTCTGGCCAGTCGGGCATCATATTCCTCTTGTTCAATACGTCTCCGCATTTCTTCAAGTTCTGTAGGAGACAGACCAAGCTCATCAAGGTTTATATCTGAAATAGATGGAGCAACAATTTTTGAAGAACTCGGTTGAGTTATTCCAGTAGTTTGCCGTTCACGCCTCTGTTTTCGAATATTAATCTCCGCCATCTCTCGCGCGATCTCAGCATCTATTTCGGCTTGTCTACGACGCGATAACTCGCGCATTTTCACCTCATGTTCAATATCTTGTTGTTCACTGAGTGCTACAGGAAAGTCTTCTCGTATTTGCTGATTACGATACCTGTTCTCACAAAGATGCGATGAGATCTCACGATCCTGTAGACGGTGTGCCAATGCGCCATCAGCACGCACCAACCACTGCTCACGGAGGTCAGTTACATGCCCTACCTTGGGCATCGTATCGCGAGTTTGAAATCCAGACATAGAGTTTAAAGTTCACCGTATAATAACAAAAAATTGTTTTAATGAATTTTAATTAATGTATTGTCTTTCAACTCATAGTAAGTATATCAAATTGATGACGATACAATATATTATGCACCTTTCACAAGTAACTTTCTTCCCCGTCCATGAGAAAAAGTTATTGCGTACTATGCTTCACAGTAAGTACAATCAACAATGTGAACAATAGGATTGATAGTCTACATAATTAATTATTATAACTTGCACCTTGCTGTACGAATCTAGCTTCAAGTAACAACTTCCCCTCCACAACAAACTTAGGAATTTTAATTTTTGTTACAAAATGACATGAATGGACATGACAGGTGAATTCCTTCTAAGTAGGGATGTGAAAAAAAAATCGATTTTAATCGATTTTTTTAAAAGGAAAAATCGATTTTTACGCGATTTTTATATTTAAAATAATCGATTAATAATCGATTATTTTTATATTTGAAAATCAATCATAATCGATTTTTTATCTGCCACCTCCCGACATTATGTCTGGTCTTTTATAACCCTGACCTCGAACTATTAGGGATATTCGATACACAACGATGTTTACAATGCGATACATTGAATCCGATTCTTTGAAGATGTAATGATATACTCGATACATTGATGTTGTTTTGTAAAACATCAAAAGGATGATAAAAGCAGTTAATATTACAAAAACTCAAGTTTGAATGGAACACTATAATTTAAAAGTAAAATAAATTTATTCAGCAGCACAAGACTACATACAATTAAAAAGACAACAAAAACGACTGCAATGTGCTACTGAAAAGGAATACACTCAGCATTTATCAAAATCTATCAAAACGAGATTAAGTTAATTTCGATTTTGATTATTCTTAAACGTTAATTTGTGTTTATACTTTCTAAAGTTTATTTTTAATTTAAAAACCATGAAAATTAAAATATTTAGGGTGTTTATTTTGAAATTAATTCAAAAATTAGGAAAAAATCGATTAATAAAAAAAATCGATTATTTTTTTAAGAAAAATCGATTATTTATTAATCGATTATTCATGCTAAAAAAATAATCGATTAATAAAAAATCGATTTTTTATTCAGAATGTCACATCCCTACTTCTAAGGCTGTTTCAATTTGTTGGAGAAAATAAGGTATCTATGGAAGGAAAAAAATCGATTTTTATTCGATGACGATTCATGTCGTTGTCATCGTTAAATGGCAACACTCGTTAATTTAATCGATTTATTAAAGTAGGGTTTTGGGGGCCTCATAGCCTAGCGGTCTTATTAAGTGGCAGCTAGGTGAGGGGTACCGGGTTCGATTCCCGGTTCGAGGGCAAGTTTTAATTTAATTAAAATTTGTTCTCGGCCTTTGGGAGGGTTGTGCGGTACCGGGTGAGTGCTTAAACCGTACATAAAGGGCACTGTCGAATTTCTAAAAGACGAGCACGAATTATAAAAAGTCCTATACTTGACGCTGGCTAATGCACAAATCGTGCCAGAGCCATAAAAAAAAAAAAAAAAGTAGGGTTTTTCAAAATTAACGTTGTAGGTTACGTTTTTGAGTTAGGTTTTAATAGTATTTAGTGGACAACGATATAAGAGTACTTTAAATGAACGTATTTTCTTATGTTGCAATATTATATTTAAAATAAAATAAACTAAAGACATCAACATTTTGCTATAAATAAGAAATACATATATTCAAAATATGGTTGTATTTAACCATTTCTGGCAGCAATACCATTTTGAAGAAGAAAAGCACCAATTTTTTTAACAAATTACATATTCTTTAAATGAAATGGTCGAGAGCGTCGTGCGGACGAGCTTTGAGGGCACGCTTTAAACTGGTCGTCACCATAATGACCTGTATCTGTAAAGGTTATTAGGGTGGTTAGGTTTAATTTTGGACAAATGAGGTCGATTAAACAGTACACTACTATTTATCTTGCAAACTAGCGTTCTCATTATCTTTTTATAACCCGAGGATAGAGTCCATCGAACTAAATAATGATATATTATTTTTTTGCGAACTAGCTGTTTTGCGTGACTATAGAAAATTCGGTCTTATGATATTAATTTAAAGTGGTACTGGTAATGAAATTTTTTAGATAAAAGTATATACATTATTTTATTTATTTAAATTACCTATATTATCATAAAAATTCATATATACTACGTTCCGAAGTTATAGAGTTAATTTATAACTAACAAACAAACAATGCAATAATTTGATAACTAAGCTTATATAAAAATGTATATACATATATATATTATAATGCATGTTAGAATTACGAAACTAATTTCCACTGAAAACGTCGTTACAACGTAAATTCAATTTCTACACGCCGGCCGGCTGCATAGACTCCAAAATGATTGAATACATACATCATTAAATATAGAACTCTATATTGGTAATGTAAGAAATAACTCTATTAATAAAAGTTACTTATATCAAGTCATTCAACATGTAACAACTCGCCTATTCTTTTAGAAAACTCTTCGAGCCCTTTCTCATTTGCGGTACCATAAAAATATTCTTCAGACATTTTGTACATCCAACGAACCAGGTTAGGAAATCTACAAAATATATTCAATTATACTGTTTAGATTATTAATCAAGAAGGTATTTAACACATAAATTAAAAAAGTAACGTTACCTATTTTTATCGACCGGTACGAGAATGTTTAATGTACTTATTGTGGATGCTATAGAAATATCTGCAATTGAAAGCAAGGAACCCGTTATCCAGGGACGCGCTGCAAGGATCTCATCTAGATCTGAATAGGCAGTTTCGATTTCACAAATTTGATCTGGTAATACAAAACGACAGTTCTCGTATAGAATTGGATCCTAATATAGAAACAAAGAAAATTATTATAATTATATATTAATCAATTATGACTTAAACGATATTTGAACTAAATTTCTTTATTAAAATCTTGACAACAGTACGGTCGTTATAATCTTGGCGACAAGTTACAAATTACGTCATACAAAGATAGCATCGGAAAATAGTGAAACATTTCTATTAGAAAAATTAAAAAAAAATAGTTAGAAAGGAATTAACAAAAAATATTTTAATGTAAAAATTAATTTTAAATTTAAAATCTAAAAAGAAATCAGTGGCGCTACAACCTCTTTAGTTCTGGGCCTCAGATTTCTGGATCTGTTTCATGATCATTTTTCAATCTATAGGCAAGAAGGTCATCAGCCTCCAGTGCCTGACACACGCCGTTGTCTCTCGCTTTCCTCACGATGTTTTCCTTCACCATTCGAGCGAATGTTAAATTCGCACATAGTAAGAAAGTCTATTGGTGCACAGCTGGACCATCCGACCTAAGACCTCAGGGATGAGAGTCGCACGCTGAAGCCACTAGGCCAACATTGCTCAGTTAGAAGCTATTCACCGTTTTATGCTCTAATAAAAAAAATAAAAAAAACTAATTAAAAACGGTTTAATTCAGGTCTTACAGCAGCAGCTCGATATTTTGGTTGTAAGGTGCCACAATTGTACATCATAAACTGATCAATTATAGCTCGGCCTCCAGGATCTTTAGGTAACATCTTATCACAGTTGAAATATCGCGACGCAAGGTACATATTTATTGAATGACTGAAAAACAATAGAAACATATTTTAGAGACGGTCTTGTAGCAAATAAATTATCTAAGGTTCGGTCAAAACGGTCGCTTTGGGTCCGACCGAAGCGTTATACGTTTTCAATCACATACCTGCGATGTTGAGTCAGTGTCCAATATTTGTAGTTCAGCTTAGTTTTAAAGTGAAATATAAAAATAGTAAAAGCATCAGCCTTAGCTGATGACTGACGGCTGACGCTACTATACAATATATATCATAAATAATTAAAAGTATTTTGTCAAAATATAGGATACGTGAAATTCAATATTTAGAAACGACTATTCTGCTTGCTGAATTCGCACTTAGCAGGTATGTATATATATTAATAACTATAAAAATTAATAATTATAATAACCTTGCAATGTTTATGCGATTAATAAGAAACTGCTGAGAAGCCCAAACGTATTAAATGTAACGAATTTTACCTTAGGAGGAGTTTTATTTCAACGACAAATAAAATTAAAAATAAAAGCGTTCGTAATATAAGTCATTGTCTTTGGTTAACAATGGTTTTTAAATTATAATTGTTGTTCAGGTTTTATTTAAGTTCATCACACCATGTATACCTAATGCTATATCTATATATATATACTGTATATGTACACAACTAAATATTGTAGTTTTACTACATACAATATGATATTTTTTGTAAAAAACATTATTGTGACCAAACGGCTTAACAGATTTCTTAATTCAAATTTTGAAAATCGTTTAACATCGTTGAGCTCTATTGCGTGGTCTTTTTATCTATGAAACACATCTTTTCTCAAATATATGACAATTATAATTAAACCGTTGTTCTACACATTACCTACTGGTCCCAAACTAATACGATGATTTAAATATGATTTAACTTTTGCCACAGTGGAGTTAGTAATGCATTAGCATCAAGCGTTTTTATTTTATGCTTTTGATAAAGTACTTCTTCATTGTAATTGGACGTAAGTCGCAGCAGAAATACGTATTTATATCTCAAGATTAATATTTGCTAGGTAAATAAAGGTAAGTAAAGGTACTTTACCTGTCAATTAAAATCAAATTTCTGTCTTTAAATACAGGTAAAGTTTGAAAAGGATTCATCTGAAACCAAACGTATTTATTAAAAAATGTTTACTGGATTCATTTAAAATATATAAATTGCTTACATCAATAATTTCCTTTGATTTATGCTCAGCTTTGTCCATATCTACATCTACCTCTGTGACACTTATATCCATTGCATCTAAAGCCATCAACACGGCTCTGCAAGATGGACTGCGATCAGCCTTCCATAAAGTACAGTGCCTGATAATGGATGTAAGGAGTTAAGATTTTAATAATTAGCTTCTTCGGAATCGGTGGTTTTCATGTTCACTTATCTCTTCACTTAGTTCTTTTAATTAGATGTTCTAATGTTATGGGATTACAAATGGTGATACGAGCTCTAAGATGTTGACGCCCAGTCAAATCAAAAGGAACCCATCATCTTGTAAATAAATTTACAGACCCACAGAGGTGAACTAATTTTATTTACTTACTGTAGACTTGACAAAGACTTGCTTCCTACTTTACCCATTTTTAAAGCACATCAAAGATCTTTTAAACAATCATTATTTTATGATTTTAAAATAATTATTTAAATAAAAAATTGAACTCAATACATTAGAAACATACTCCAAAATTTGATCTGACAGAAGATTTTCTCTTCTTGAGTTGAATTACGACGAAGGAACGCCAAAGAGGTCAAATAATTTTATTTACCTACTTCAATGAACTTTTCATTAAATATTAATAGTTGGTGACTATAATATAAAGAGTACTTTTGCAGACAGAACGTTTTATACAAAATCGATTTTCATATGCTTTATTTATTTTGCAATTCAATTCTTGCTTGGGACCATGTAATGTTTATTCAGCGAAACAATGCTACGGTTCCATTCAGTAACCTGATGCTAGGTAGTTTAATAATACGCTTCTATAAAATGGTGTCGTTCATAACAAATAACATCAGTAAATACCATGCAAAGTTGCAGTATTTAAGACATTTGAATTGTAAAAATCATAATGTACGAATACTTAATACGTATTATGTAAGAAATGATTGTATAAAAATTAATTCGTTTTTGTGTTTGTAGAAATTATTCATGGAGAAAACACGAAGTATGCCCATTCTATATGTCGATGAGGCTTCTCCGCCTGCGCGATTTGTAATGATGACAGCATATTTATTAAATATTGAATTAGAAATACGGAAAATCAATTTATTTGCAGGAGAACATAAAGATATATCTTATGCAAAAGTAAGTTGTTACTGTTGTTTTTATATCACTCGTATAATATATATTCTTTGTAAGGTTATTTTTGTAATATATTCTTTATTCTTTTAATATTATTTTTTTCTAGATAAATAATCTACAAAAAGTACCAACGTTAATCGTGGACGATAACGCAATTCTCGACAGCCATGCTGCAGCCATATATTTATGCCAGCAAGTAACAAGTCAGGAGCTGTATCCAAAAGATAATATTTTTTCACAAGCAAAGGTTAACGAATTACTTTTTTTTAACTCTGGTACACTGTTTCGATTGGACAGTGAAATATTGGTGAGTACCTATAGTAAATAGACTTTAAATAAGACTTAAGATGAATTACGAAATCTAGCTCACAAAATAGCTTGAATGAATATTTTTTTTAGTCCAGTTATTTCGCTGGAAAGTGGCCTGTAGCGAAGTCCAAAATTGAGGAATGGTATAACGCTCTTGATTATATAGAATCAAAGTTAAATGCAAATACGTGGTTAACTTGTGATAAGGTATGTAAAAAGAATAAATAGTGATTATATTTTATTCTGAGGTTCTGTCAAATTAATTGTTTTTATTTTTTTCGCTTCTCCAGCAACTATGATTGGTCTTATCTAAGTTTAGCAAACGTATTCAAAGAAAGTTCTTTCCGCCGCTCCGTTCGACACTACAACGCTCACTGAAAGCAGAGGCGCTTTAGCGATCGTCAGCGCTGACCACTGTGCGCGCTGATAGCTAACGCTTCCTAGAAGTTCATATATCTCGACCATCAGCGCCAACGGTGCGCGTGCGGTCGGCGCGAGACTAAATTCAGCCTTACACAGTTTGACTAATGAAGCCGCATAACTATAAATTATCATATGCTTTTCAGATGTACCTATGTGATCTCTGTGTTATGCAGACAATATCTTCGATGCTTGAAATACTACCACTTTTAGATCACCACAAAAAAATTAAGTCTTGGTTAAACGAATTTGAGAAATTACAATGTATTGATATAAATAAACGTGGATTGGCGAGACTTAAATATTACATTGAGTTGTATAAACCAACAAACATTATTGTACCCACTTAAGAACAATATTTAAATGTGTGTGGTTTTAATTTGTAATCTATTGTCAAAATTAAATAACTTATGCGGTAAAGTATTAAAATGTACGTATCTATGATTTACATTAGTGGCTTCAAAACAAGCCTGATCGTACCTATAGAAAGATAAATATTTGTATAATAATGTTGATGTTTTACAGTACCAACAGTATAAAATTAAAAGTTGTTTTGAGTGGCAATCTCTGCTTAGGAAAATTTAGTTAAAAATATATTTTCAGTGAGTACCTAAAAGAGGTGTTTATAGTCCTTTTCATGAAAGAAGTCCCCCAGACGCAGCGCTGTAATCGCATGACGTAATGTTGCCCTTTATGAGTTAAAAATTTACCTATTTTACATTTAGCATATTTATTTAATCAAATAATACAATTTTCTGCATACTTCTATGAAACAATATTTCTATTATGTAAAAAGTATATTTTTATTTACTTATATAAGCGGTGTTTTACCTACTTACAGGGATAAGATGAGAAAATAGGGCAAAGAAAAGCAAAACAATTTTTTATTCAGAGTTTTATTGAATAATTTTAGATCAGCGGCCATAGGAACATCATATGAAGAGTGGATGGAAAGAGTATCAGATTCTGTTTCAGTATCACTAGCCGTAGATATAATTGTTCTTTTTTATATTGATACTCTTCCCCGGGGTGACAATTTATTTCAAAGTACTTGCCGCTATTATACCTTCATTTGTAATTCTTGTTACAACAATTATTACCTGCAATTAAATAATTAACAATTAAAAATAATAGTAACTTTTTGTTTATAATGTAACTATGTAATATATTTTTTAATTTCAGTTACCTAGTTTCATTCGTTATGTATTTGTTCAATTTTGTCGCAAAAATGAATTTATATCATAAAAGTCCCATCAATACAGCAAAAAAAAAAATATTATGTGGCAACTCTTAAAAGTACCTGTTATGGCATTGCCAATGGACTTTGTATCCGGCTAATAAATAAATTAAAAAAAAAAAAAAAAAACCTGTTATGGCGGCGAACATTGTTTAGTGGCAGTGTTCACAACCGTACGATAATTATCGTACATGTGCGATAATCTCATAACTACCTACGATGTACGATGGTACACGACTATCGTACGCAGATTGTACGATAATTTCCATTCTGATAAAAAATTTGATGATTACACAGATAGCCCAATAACAATTACAGTTTTTAGTGTCAGTTCCATCTATTGGCTTATTTTTCTGTTAGGAACATATGCTGCCACAAGGCGACTACAGCGGATGAACAAAGCGTTAATGTACAAACACAAAAACGCATCAGAATGCACAGCCAAAAAATTCACGATTTGTATGGTGACGCTGATTCGGAAGTCTTCGATAGCATTTTAATACCTAACGAATTTAGGTAGGTAACGAAGTGATAAAAATAATATACGATGTTTACGGACAATCTATCGCTTAGAGCGAACACCATATTGTTAAACGAGAAAATATTGCGTATTTTTGTTCCTCTTTGACGGAAGAGATTAAAAGTTGTATATAAAACGTTAAGTTTCATTAATATTTGCGTATTCTGTTCTCGCAAATATATTCAGTTAAACTTTTAAAAATATGCTTGTTTTCATGTGTCTCTATCCTTTAACATTATTTTGTTCTTTATAAATTTGAAATGTTGGCGCCTTAATCACACTCGAAGTGGACGAGGGCCCAGCTCGAGTCTGTGCCATTCGAACATTTAAATTTAATTATTATTATTTTTTTCAATTTGAAAAACACAAGTTTACAAGATTTAAACTATAAATCGTTTGCAACATTTTATTTTCACGTTTCATATGATTTTTTAAAGTATTTTTAGCCATTTTCCTGACTGTACGATAATTTATCGTATATGGATCACACATACGATAATTTTACGGCCCTGGTACGATAACTGCCTGGCTTCAGGTTGTGAACACTGGTTAGTGGTATTAAAACACCTTGATTCTTTTGTTCCGCTTCACAGAACTCTTTCATTTTCAATATCATTTCTCGAGCTGAACTTTTTACAACTTTTGGCATTGTAAACAATCTTTAAAATGCACTAAGCTAGTTAAAAACTCACAAAAATCTACCACAACATACGAACTTGATAACATTGACGAACGACAACATGGCCGACCTGTCAAATTTAGTTCCAAAAATCACCGCGGGACTTCTTTCATGAAAATGACTATACCTATCTTTTGTGGTATAATTAATTTCATATTTGTAAATGTGATACCACGCTAACACTATAAGTTTTGGCGTTTTATTTCTTACCAAAAAATTCGAAGAATATGTTTGCATGAGCTAAGATTATAATGGTATATTATAGTAAAGTACGACAATATGCTATCTTGTGTCGGTTATATCATATATTATGACGATGTTTCATTCAGCAAACATAATCGAAGCATCGAATATGAAATAATTGCCATCACTAAAAACTGCAAGACGATGTGCGATCACTACTAATTTAAAGGAACTGTCAACACTCAATTCTTTAGTCCATGGAGTCTATTGATTGGTCGACAGGGAGATGTAAAAAATGGCTTCCTTGCCTTCTCCTACTCAGGTAGAATTTATTCAAATAAAATTATTAGTTGTGTGATATTGTTATATTTATGTGCGTGAAAATTTATTTGATACGCGTGTCTACTATTTGATTAGATTGAATATACTTAGAGTTTAATCATACTAAAAATTTGCGGTATCGAAGTGTCGCGAACCCTTGACAGATTACGCTCAAGTTAGATCTGAAAATTAATCGGTTAACCGTATCAGTATATATTTATTGTAATAATTAAGTGAAGTGGCTGGCGGTGATATAATATATTAAGGAAGAATGAGTTTATTAAATAGAATCTCCAAATTACTTAAGACTATAAGCTTACTATAAATGTCACGATTTGTGTAGATATGTCACACCCATTAGTCCTTTGAATCTAATAAGATTTTGAATTTTACTCTACATTATGTTGACTAAACCATTCCAGGTGGCAGGGACCCACAGTTCTATATATGAGGCCTATTACCACCAAGTAAGTATCTAATCTTAGATTTTATGGACTTGCTATTTATTTTTATTTAAAGTTTGATTTGTAACATTCTGAATATCTTATTCATTATAGGATTATTGTGAACATATTGATATGTTTCTTATGAAATTAAGTCATCCACAAATTCCACACTTATTTTAATAATAAAATACACTTAAAAGAGCCTGTTTTTATTATATATATTTGATTTAACATTATTTAGCTTTAATATAAGTCTGTCCATAATTCTAATTGTGACTTCTTACATCTATAACTAAAGTATTGATAATAGGTAGACCCTAATGGCACTGGGGCAATACAAGCACTTGATGCAGCTAGATTCCTCAAGAAGTCACGACTCAGCGATGTGGTACTTAGCAAGATTTGGGATCTCTCTGATCCTAATGGCAAAGGATATTTGGATAAAGTGAGTCTTCTTTCACTCTAATTTCTATTTAAGCTGGTTTAGTTGAGTAACATATTGACAGATTTTTTAAAATATTTATTAGTATGAGCTCAATCTTGGTAATTTCAATCATTACTTATGAATAATATCTCTATTACAAAGCTTAAACAAGGTTTTAATGTATTTTAAATTATTTTTGCTTATGTTTGTTGACTTCTAAAACATATCTTATCAGTACTGAATCTGGCAAATATGTTTATCTCAGTATTTGTGTTAGATATAATTCAGGTTTATACTTGAAGGTTATTTTAATTTTTCTATTGTAGTTAATACTATGGATTCTTATTCACATTGGTGCATTCACAATGCTGTATTAGTTTTTCTGAATAGTCCAACTTGAAACAATAATTTATTTTTACTGAGCCTAAAACCCTGTAATGCTATTATGCAATAAAACCTCTGCTAATATTGATCTACTAAAGAACTTGGATTCAAGAAATGTTTTAAAATTATAATGAAATTCTAACTTAATTAAATCAAGAATTAACTTAATGCATTTTGATTTTTGAATTATGTTATGCTGATTAAACTGGTTAAGTAGTTAGTAGATATTGAGATGTGTATAAATAAACAAAGTTAATGGGATTGGTTTCTATTACCCAAATTATTAAATTTAAATTAAATTTGTGGGAGCTGTTTAGTTGGTATAAAATTAAAAGGGAGAAGATTTTGCCCTTCAGGAAAAATTAAACAAGTAAAATACTTTAGTACCCAGACGTTTTTGTCGCCAAATATAAGTTGGCCTAGGCCCAATTATAATATTAATGAGGTTATTCCATTGAACAAAAATCCATACATTTTTGTCATCGTGTAGATAACATTATTATTAACAATTGTATTAAAAGTGGCGAGTTTCCCGATCTAATGAAACATAGTAAAGTTATTCCATTATTTAAAGCAGGTAGTATGTCCGACCCCAGTAACTTTAGATCAATTTCCGTACTACCTACTTGTAGTAAAATATTTGAAAAAATTATATTAAATCAACTGGTAAGTCAGTTTAACGTAAACAAATTATTACATAATAATCAGTTCGGTTTTACCAAGGGTCGCTCGACAGCCGATGCCGGTGTTGAGTTATATAGATATATAGTTAAGGCTTGGGAGGAATCGCATGACGCTTTAGGTGTTTTCTGCGACTTATCCAAAGCATTTGATTGTGTCCAACACGAGACCTTAATCGGGAAACTCCGCCACTATGGCATCAAGAATACCGCACTGAATCTTCTGACTTCCTATTTACACGGAAGAACTCAGAAGGTTGAAGTGAATGGTAAGAGGTCCTCTGGGTCGGCAGTAGATATGGGGGTACCACAGGGCTCAATTCTTGGCCCTTTCCTCTTTCTTGTTTATATAAATGATCTACCTTTCATGGTAGAGAGAAAACATCAGATAGTTTTGTTTGCTGATGACACGTCCTTGATTTTTAAAATCAAACGACAAATAACAAATTTTGACGATGTGAACAATGCTCTGTCTTCGATTGTCCATTGGTTTAGTATGAATAACCTTCTACTTAATGCAAAAAAGACAAAATGCATTAAATTTTGTGCAAAAAATGCAAGGGTTATGGATACTAGACCAATTATAAACGGTGAGGAATTGAATCTGGATGATACAACTGTATTTCTCGGAATCACCATTCAAAACTTCAGTGGTCCCCTCATATTAACGGATTGGCGAAGAGACTTAGTTCTGCAGCCTACGCGGTTAAAAAAATTCGCTCACTAACTGATGTCGATACAGCTAGACTTGTTTATTTTAGTTACTTTCATAGCTTAATGACTTATGGCTTATTATTATGGGGTCATGCTGCTGATGTCGAAACTATTTTCATCCTGCAGAAGAGGGCTATTCGTGCAATCTATAATTTAAAATGTAGGGAATCTCTTAGAGATAAATTCAAGGAAATTAATATACTTACCTTTCTCTCGCAATATATTTATGAAAATATTATGTATGTATACAAAAATAGTGATAAGTTTACTAGAATAGAACATACGCACAATGTTAATACACGGAACAAACGCAGGCTGCAATTTCCCCGTACTAGACTATCTAAAGTTAGTAATTCTTTTTTGGGGAAAGGGATACTCTTCTTTAATAAAATCCCAGAGGCTTTTTTATCTCTGCCTTTCAATAAATTTAAGAAATGTATTACAGAAAAGCTCTGTCTTCTTTGCCGATGAGTAGGGATGCCTACAAATTCAAATTCAATGACGTGGAATAAGTTATACATGTATCTTATGTTCCATAATAAACATATTTTATTTTAGATGAGATATTGAACTGTGAGATATTGAACTAAACCTTCAATATCATCTTCAGTAAGTTATGTGAAGATAAGATTGAAGTCCTCAAAAGATAAGCAACATGTTCAATATGAATAGAAAAAGTAAATAAAATTAAGAGATGAAAAAAAAGTTAATTTCATTTTGATGTTCGATTTTAATTGTTAGTGGATTACACTACCTTATATTTATCATATTTATCTAGCTATCTCTACCTCTAATAATAACTGAAATATATATATGTATATTGTATATACTACAAAAAAAACAATTCTAGATATCAAAGGCAAATTATAGTATCCAGAGAGCATTCCTAGTAGTCTAGTCATTATAGTGTAAGTTCTCAGTTATTGGCAACATTTAGTTTGTCCCAACTTAATTTTCAAAATCAAAATATTTGAATGTATACTTTAAATTAATTCTTATTAAAGTTCATTGTACCTTTAGCTTTAAGTAGACCTTAATAACCAGGTGTCCAATCAAATGAATATTTTTGAAACCGGAATGAAATCAGTAATTTTTGCGTTTATTCGTTATGAACATAAAATTAAAAAATTAAAGTATTTCCTCTTTATAATGTAACATGTGGGTGGGTGTTAATGATAGTAATAATTACTATGCAATTGAAGCGATGTGCCTGTTAGACTGCTACACACTTTTGATATGTTATCTACAAGCGACTCAATTGTGTCGATTTTAAATTAATTTAAGTTTTTTTTAATGTTAATTTGTGTTGTAACCGATAGTCTTTTAATTTACCCTTAACATTCGAAGGAATACTTGGATTGCATTGCTGTAAGTAAATATAATGCGGATTGCCGACGAATTGTAGGATTTCTCCGATCGTTTGAGATTAATGTGGTTATTACAACATGGCTTTTATTACGTACTTTAATACGTAGACGTTTACTATAGTAAAAATACACGACTACCGTATATAAAGTAGATATAGACATATGTATAAAAAAAAACAGTGGCGCTACAACCTGTTTAGGTCTTAGCCTCAGATTTCTGAATCTGTTTCATGATCATTTTTAAATCTGATAGGCAAGTAGGTGATCAGCCTCCAGTACCTGACACACGCCGTCGAAGGTCAAAGACATGTCGGTTTCCTCACGATGTTTTTCCTTCACCGTTCAAGCAAATGTTAAATGCGCACATAGAAAGTCCATTGGTGCACAGCCGGGGATCGATCCTAGGACCTCAGGTATGAGAGTCGCACGCTGATGCCACTAGGCCAACACTGCTCAACATAATATGTATACACAATCCAAATAACTTTTATAGATCTTATTAGATTTACCATTAAACCAACGGATTTAAAAAATCTTGGCCCTGTGGCATATTTTGAAAGATAAAACTAATTCTCTTCGTAAAATTTGTTCGTAGAAAACTGTAACGATTTAATATGAAAGACCTCGTTCGTATTAAGGTGTGACGTTAAGATATGTTTGTTTACACATCATTTGAATATAAAAAATAGTATACATTTCAGTATCTAAAATCTTTTGGTAGTAGTGATCGACGCTCTATGTGGAACGACAAAAAATGCCTCCAAAGAAATTGAAATTACGTGCTAAACGCCACGATGAAAACTTGGTTCGTTTTTTAAAAGTTTTTGTAACCTTTTATATTCAAGGTCGTATTAAGTAACACATCAAGGTAATAGTATCAAGGACTGTAAGGTGTCATAGGGTCGGCTGATATAGCTTTTTTAGGCATTACCTTATTCATATGACGATCGCTGACTCGCCTTAGGTTTTAAGCCACTTCACGCATTCGTGAAGTCTGCTATTGGATAAAGTTAGAACTGAATACTACAAGGCCTTAGGGAATATGTAGTATGACAGTGAAGTTAACACCAATTACAGAGGGAACAGCTTTATGGTTAGGGCGGCGAGTAAGTTTAACTTGTGATATTGACCTATTCGCCTCAAGTGTGGTGTCGGGCAAGGAGAGCTATGACATCTGAGCTCCTCAGTGGAATAAATAGTGAATCATAAGTTTTTATAAGTGTATAAGTTATACTAAACCGTTAAGTGTTACTTAACTAATTTTTACTTAGTTTATTACTTTCTTTGATATATATTTGTATAGTTGAATAAAATAATTTTATTGTTACCAATCCAGTTAATATTATTAGTACTTAACTATTTGTAAAGATTTATTGAATGGCGTACAAAGAACATTGTATTTAGCGAGTAAGTTAGTAATAACACTAATAAGCTGTAAATCTTTCTCAATAAATTAAAAAAAATGACATACATTTATTGTATTTAAATAATTTTCAGGCAGGGTTATTCGTAGCGTTGAAGCTGGTTGCGCTGGCGCAGGCAGGGAAAGATATAAATATGAGCAACATACACTCAGAGGCACCGCCACCTAAAGTTGTAAGTATAACTTGATATAGTCTGGCTAATGAAAGAAGATAATTGAATTATTTGAAAACTTTCGGATGGCAACACAGAATGTCATTGAATTTCTTAGGTTAGTATGATTTATTGTCTTGATACTTCATGCAATTACTCATTTTTATTTCTATTATATATTTGTCCGAATAGTTAACTAAACTTTGTTTTATTTGATATAATATTTCGTTTCTTTTGCAGGATTTGATTATTCCGAATAAAGTTGTGTTTTCTAATAAATATAATTTTAGTTTTCCATGCAATGCTAGTCATTTTAAGTATCAATAGTAAAAGACTAAATACGTATAGTATTTAATTTCATAGAAATCAATGAAAAAAATAGTAAAATAAAATCAAGTAATTTTAATCCACAAAATATATCAAACTTTTAGGGATACCATACTAAATTTTTTTTAATTTGCCGCGTTTTTTCGTTATCTTCTTTCATTAACCAGACTCTATATCCTGAGTGTTGAAAGCTGTTACAGCTATTTGTATTTCTTATGAAGATATTTTTTGTTTATTATAATAATTCCTTCAGGGTGAGCTTCCTAAAGTCCCACCACCGAGTGTTAGTCCAATGCCAGCGATGCCGCTGAGCGATTGGAGCATAAAGCCAGCAGAGAGAGAGAAATACAGTCAGCTATTTGACTCGCTACAGCCCAATAATGGATTTATTGCTGGTAATAAGGTAAGGTACTTTCAGTATAGAAAATGTTTTGATCCTAAGTGTAGGTAATTTTGAATTACCGTATTACCGTAAGCTGCTTTTTGACACAGGTGAAGGGAGTGTTGATGGAATCGAAGCTTCCCTTGGACACTTTAGGCAAGATATGGGATCTCGCTGACCAGGATAAGGATGGGATGCTGGATAGGCATGAGTTTATTGTGGTAAGTTACATTAATTTTTCAATTCGAATTTTCGACAGACTATACGGCTTTAAATTAGCCGAATAGATATAGATAGAGACTGGAACAATGCTACTACTGCAAGAATTAACACTTGTAAAACATGTCACAAGATTAAGAAACTTAGCGCTAAGTATGACTTCCGGTACTAATACGTTTTTGACAAATGGGAGTTATTGATATTGACATTTCAAATACTTAAAATATCAATCATAGTTTATCGCTTGGCATTTGCACTATAGAATTGAACAAAAAAAATATTTACATGAGATATAACATCCTGCAGGCGATGCACCTAGTCTACAAGGCGCTCGAGAAGCACGCGGTCCCCACTACTCTGCCCCCTGAACTCCGCGCTCGGCCACCTCGGCCTCCATCACGCCCCCTTCACGACCCCCTCCCGGCCCCCATCGAGGCCTCCCTCGCCACAGCCCAGGGCGCCCCCTCGGCCACAGCCCCCTACCCAGAATACAGACCTGTTCGATGGACTGCTCGACTTGTCTAGTGTGAGTATGAAATGTTTATTTATTTTATTATAAAGAATTGGCTCTCTTCTAACGTTTTGTCCCTTTCTGTCAAATTGTGTTTACGCTGTGATGAAAGGAGACAAATGAGAACTTTTCTTGAAACAGTGCAATTCTCAGTATTATTTTATAATACAGTTTGAAATCATCTCTATACCATATTAAAAACATATTTCTTTTCTTCAGTATTAACGGTATTTAATAGTATTTATCTCTAGTTATTCAGTAATGTAAAGCGAAATAATCAGTGACATATACTTTACTCTGATTTTTCGTTACGTAGATTGAGAAAAATTTGCTCTTAAGGATTTCGGAACTGTGAGTACTGGATATGTCTTAGTATAACTAAGTAATTCAAGTCGATATTATATATTATAATTCTCGTTTTTTTAAGCAGACAAACTCCCTCCGGTTTATTTTGTAACGAGGGTCACTTGATGTTAAGCGATAATGCTACTTTGCCAGAAGGCTCGCAAGTGCGTTGCCAGCTTTTTAAACCTAAGTAATAACGGCAATCGCTTATTTTCAATTTTTAATTTCCATATTATTATTTAATAACTCAGCCGCCGTCATCGACTCCGGCGTCCTCTCAGTGGATATCGTCAAGTGATCGCGTGAAGTACGACACGCAGTTCACGTCATTGGACACGGACCGCGACGGATTCGTGTCCGGAGCTGAGATCCGACACGTACTGCTCGAGACTGGATTGCCGCAAACCACTCTTGCGCATATTTGGTAATGTTCTAGCTAAGTTTATCTTTAAAAATGTACCACGGAATAGTTGTAATCTTGTTATTTATGAATAAAGTTATATTTTTATTATTTACTTCATAAATCGATACATAGGATAAAATAAAATAAAAATATATCTGAATATATAAAATAAATCAGTGGCTTTTGATTTCTATATCTGTATCATGATCATTTGTCAATCTAATAGGCAAGTAGCTGATCAGCCTCCTATGTCTGACACACGCCGTCGACTTTTTGTAAGACATGTCGGTTTTCTCACGATGTTTTCCTTCACCGTACTAGCGAATTTCAAATGAGCACATAGCAAGTAATTCCTTTGGTGCACAGCCGGCTATCGAACCTACGATCTCAGAGATGAGAGTCGCATGCTGAAGCCACTTGGCCAACACTACAACACTTATTGAAATCTGTCAAATTAAATTAGTTTTTATTTATATAAGAGCAATATTGGAACAAAAATCTGGGCGTCTTCCCTTACTTGTGTTGGTTTTTGAAAAAAAATCCGTTGGCTTCGCTAATGATCGACTCCCGACTTGCTATCGGATCCCAAAGTAATGAAAAAATAAATAAATAATTTGATATTTCTGGCTCCAAAGGCGTGATTGAACCCTACGAGATTTATCAAAATAATATACTAAGTATTGTACACATTGAAAAGGTCTACAGAAAACTCCCCGATGGTATATGTCTACCTCTTATGGATATCCCACAATAACATTTTTTGTCATTTACTTTTTACGACAAATAATGGCTAATTTTTGAAGTGATTTTAACCAATGCAGCATTAATCCTTATACAATTAAATACCTTAACTCCCTCTCATAAAACTGAGTTCTATCACTCCTCCTTCACCGTGCAAAGTATCCTGCTATGGAATTCCTTACCTATTCATATCAGACGAGCTCAGACTTTAAATTTATTTAAAAATCTCCTTTTTGGTCATCTTTTTTCTGCCTCGTGATTAGCTACTACTTTTATATATTAATTGTAAGTTAATTAACCTTTAGCTGAGCCTTACATGTCTGTTTATACATACTATTATATATACCTTTTCTTTAGATTTTATTTTATTTAATTTTAGTTATAGTTGCATGTTATTTTTAGTATCTTTTTGTAAATTAATTATGCATCTCTTGTACTTTACCCTCTGTAGGTGTTTCTTTTTTTCTATTGATCAATTTTAGGGTTGCCTGGAAGAAATCGCTTGTTAGCGATAAGGCCGCCCGTTGCCTAATTACTTATGTGACCTACTTACTTTTTGTTTTTGAAGTTGTACTTCTTTAGGCGCGTTATGAAAAATTGATGAGAGTGAAATTTTACGATTGCGCGCGCACCTATGACACAAAATTGGCAGTGTGATATAGCGTGCGCGAGCGAGATGGGAATAAGACAAACTACAAGTAAAGAAATAGAATATGCGTGAAGCTAACTTCACGCATATTCTAGCTTAGCAGCTTAACAAGAATTTTGAATGACCATGACAATTGACATCTGACAATGACATTTACCTTTTAAACAAATATAGGAGTTTTAATTATTGTTTAAAATTAATAATTATATACCTAGTTATTTTCATTATACAAAATATTTGTGAAATAATATAAAATATTTGTGAAAAAACTGTGCTAACCTTCCTGAGTGCTTCAATACAATTGAGGTTAACTATCCGTATGTATTATCGAGTATTATTGTTGATTAAAACTGAAACATGAACCATTATTCATTGCTTTTGTTTATTGCGTTTGTTACAGCAACTTTTTAGAAATATTCTACGACCCTATATATCAATAATTGAGAACAAAGATTTAAGCACGAATACTAATAAGGAGAAAATGAAGGCTTGGAGCGATATAACAGAGAAGTAAACATTTTAATAAGTACCTGCATCTCAAAAAAATGACCACATTATTTAATCAAAACATCAGATTTAATCTAGCAAATATAAGGACAAGAGACAAAAAACAATTGATGAATCAGTGGAAGTGCACTAAATTGAATACAAAAAAGAGTTGTCATCTTATCGCCGTGAAACATCAAAAACTGGAGGTGGAACAAAGCCACCATCACCTTCTCGAGACACAATGGTTTGAAGTAGATTTCAATGAATTTGATTGTGATGGTGTCGAGGTAGGAATGTTAATTATAAATATGATGTATGGTGATGTTCAAGGTTCAACCTTTCAAGCATAGGCATATGCTTACAACATTACTTTATTCCCCTACAGGGTAGTTAGAGATATTGTAATACCTCAAAACATCCATGTTGCACTTGTAGTACCGAAACTCTGTCCTGCCAGAAGTGAGCCCATTCCCACTTATAATGGACAGTGGGTATAATACACCTTAATACCTGAGTGCGAACCACTCACCATGATACTTAAATTAATAGATGTTATTTATATATTTCAGGTTATTACAAATAAAATCATTTTGGAAACAATTGATATCCCAAAAGCAAATAAAGCCAACAATGACAAGGTAATAAATCAGTTTTGACATAACTTGAATACTAAAAAAGCCAAACAAAGGTGTGCACAACAGTGACAACATAACTTAACAATTTCATTATTTTGTAGGATTAAAGAAAGGTTAAAGAAAATCATGTCGAACTGAACAACAAGAATCCCCAAACAACTCCAAAGAAACCTACAAGGAAGACACCGGTATTATATTTAAATTATCTCTATCTCTAAATAGAATAAAAGAATTGCTATCCAGGTCTGTAGCATGTGCTACAAATTATATTATTAACACATTTATATAATTATATTAATATAAATGTGTTAAAAAATTTATAATATGAATTATACAAAAATTTAAGTTTTGCATGGACAGAGCTTAAATTAATTTTCTCTTATTTGTTGCAGAAAGCAAGTAGTTTTGGAGAAGCCTCGTAGATGCACAACCAAGTAATGATTAATTTAAAATTACAAACCGAAATTCTGATGAAGACATTAGAGTCACTTAAAAATAAATAGTATAATGAAATAAAAATGTTTTAAAGATAAATAGTGTTTTATTTGTTTAATGTAAGAGAATAATAATAAATATTTATTTAATTAATTTTTCAAATGTAAACTGAACTTTATTGACTTTAATGACTCCTTTTCCAGTCTTTGATTATTTAATTGTAATTAATTATTTGCATGCAATCAAAAACTATTTTTAATAATGCCAAAGAAGTATAACTTCTTACGCGCGTACATAAGTACACGCACCTTTTTTTTTTTCTTCTATATGTATAATTATGTTTATTATGGCAATAAAGTATAAATAAATTAAATACATTGTTGATTTAAAATAGATCTATATGGCCCTTTACAGCATATGATTTAAATGAATATTTTCGAAGATATTACAAATTAAAAATACCCGGGGCGGGTCGCTAGTTTTGTGTAAATCCAGATCTCTAACTATGAACTCTATTTCCAGGGCTCTATGCGACACATCGAGCTCGGGCAAGCTGTCCCGGGCACAGTTTGCGGCGGCGATGTGTCTGGTGCAACGCTCGTTGCAGGGAACACCGCCTCCCGCAGTGTTGCCGCCCGATTTGATTCCCGCTGCTACTATGGCTCCACCTGTTCCTGCTATACAGGTATACAAATACGCTTAGAAGTAAACTATGCTATGCAGTGGCGTAACAATAGGGTGGCAGGGCTGGCAATATGCCACGGGCCCCTGACCCAAGAGGGCCCCTGCCCAAGAGATATTCTGTTCTATGGATGAATGTGAAGTCTCCAATACGCATTGGGCTATCGTGGGGACTACAGACCATTCCCTTTCGCCTAAGAGAGGAGGCCTATGGCCATAAGTGGGACATATACAACGTGCAATTGAGTACGCTAAAAATATCGAAGTTTTTTAAAATTAAACTGAGTACGTTTTTTACGGATATTGCCCCATCAAAAAAATTTGCCAGATGGTATAGTTACGCCACTGATGCTATGTATATTTACAATAATAAAAAATAGGGGTTGAGTGTAGAAGGGGGAAAATTAAGGGTTGTATGTACATATTTTTATATGCTTATCATAAAAAAATAAAAATAAAAATTTTTATCTAAAAAATAAAAAAATTAGGGTGGACACCGCTTATCACTTAGGGGTTTGAATTATAGATAGTAGCCGATTCTCAGTCTTACTGAATATGAATAAAAAAATTCATAAGAATCGGTCGAGCCGTTTCTGAGGAGTATGGGAACGAACATTGTGACACGAGAATTTTATATAAATTAACAAAACTATCGGTTAATGTTATATATATGTTAATATTATTATATGTTAATGTTATTTAGAATTAAAAATATAAAATGGTTTAACATTAAATAGGAATAAAAATTGTATACACACGGCCATATTTTGTGAGACCACTCCTTATATGGAAATTGTATTCGTTTTTACAACAAGCTCCCAAGCGAAATTAGAGAATTATCACTAAATAAATTCAAAGCCCTCGTTAAACGAAAATTAATCAACAAAGCTTTTTATAAATTTGAGGACTACTTAAATGATCCTAATCCTTGGGATTGAATTGCTCCAGTTCAAACAATTTGTATGACAATACTTGGCGATTAAAAAGAGTGGCGGAAAGTTTCTTGCCAGTTCTTCTTACCCGCTCTACGCCCTTGACTTGCGAACTGGTAGTAAATGTAAATTTACGATTAATTTAACTTGACGATTCAAAAGTGTACTTGGTTACCTACTTGAATAAAGATATTTTGAGTTTGAGTTTATATCTTGATATTTAATAAAACACTATTTTGACCGGATTGAAGTTATGTATTATTATAAATTTACAACTATTTAACATAATTTTAAATTTATAATAATACATAACTTCAATCCGGTCAAAATAGTGTTTTATTAAATGAATAAAAGTTATGTTAATCAAAGACAATACTATCTTGATATTTTTCGTGATAAAGGCATTTTATGCACAGTATTTTTATGAGAGATGTGAAAGCGATGCAAAGCGCCTTATATGCCATTTTTAATATGGTTTGAAGAAAACAAAAGTTTAAATTATTACATTGTATGTTGTTATCATTATATGTTTTTATTTATTGTTACCTGTGGGTCCACGCCCATTATGAGTTCATGTCGAATAAAACGTTACAATCATGTTAGGTATCGTTTTAAGAAAACATGCCGAAAATGTTTGAATAATTTAAATTAAATGCTATTGATATTAAATTGTTGAATTAGTTCTATAATTAGATTTGTAATTTATTTCTATGTCTCCTCTCTAGGGTCAAACATGTTTGGCGGATAATAAAAATAGTCTTTCCTCCTTAACAATTTCTTTTTCGGTCGTATGTCTATGGATTAGTTTTTTTTATTTACGCCAATATTATATGTCACCGTATAATTGTAATCTATCTCGCGAGATTGTGAACTGTCGAAAGATTGTGAACCTCAACGTACTGCTTACAATTTAACGTAATCTTAAAATTGTTATTGTCCGAAGGCTGTCCCTGATTGGTCGGCTTTATAGTAGACCGTTCTATGTCCATAGAGTTAGGAATGAAACGCGGGTATCAGTCAAATAAACAGAATGCACTTCAAGAATTGTGACATCAAGTATTTATTATATTATATATATATAATAAGTAATTATACATAAAGAGAATGCCTAGATATATTGTAGACGTTTAAATAGACTATTAAACGACTTAAATAGACTTTTCAGCGACAGCGATAAATACAAAGTTTTTAGAAATTTTAATTTTCTAATGGTTCTCCATAGTGGTATAAAATGCGATATTCACGTGTTCGATCAAAAATTCGTACTAGGTGGCAGTGTATATAACCAAGGTTATCTAAGGTCGGTGAACGGTGTCGAATTGAAATTGATTATAATTATTACCTTTATAATTACATACTTATTTGTTGGGGATTGTTGTTTTATAATGTATTCAATAGTTTTATAGTGGGCTTTAGTATAATAATTTCGTATATACAATATATATAATGGTGAGCTTATATACTTCTTTGATTATTTTTAAAATTTGTCTAATGAATCAATGTGTCCAAAGAAATTTAAACTAACAAAAGTATCACTGAATATTTGAACATTATGAAAGCTTTCGGCCATATTTTGTTCCATTTTTGAAGTTATACTTTTTTTTGGCGCGATGGAGAAAAATGATGAGAGTGAATTTATACGATGCGCGCGCACACCGACACCTAAATTCTACATCGTAAAGTTAGTTCCAGGTGGCAAGAAAATAGATAATAACTATGTTCAACCGTGTCACCGTGACCACGCACGCTGTAAAGCACGCGAAACGTCGGATAAATTTAAAATTATGTTAAATAGTTGTAAATTTATAATAATACATAACTTCAATCCGGTCAAAATAGTGTTTTATTAAACTATGTTCAAGTTGTATGTTCTAGTATTTTTATATTTAGAACACCGAAACACGTGTAACAGTACAATTAAACGGTGTGAATAAATATTATTTTGGTGTTTTTATTAAATCAATTTCATATACGACGGTGATAGTATTTACTAATAATAATTTATTATTTATTTTTTCCATACGCCAAAGAAGTATAACTTCTAACGCGTGTACATAAGAACACACACTCTTTTTTATTTATTAAAGTGAAACTTTTATTACATCGTCTCAAACTTTTTCGTCTGTGTGTTGCATGTCGCGTGACGGTCGGCCGCGGAGTAGGGATAAAGTGAAAGGCGCTCGTCATAGCAGCCAAGGCATTGGCCTTTGGCGGCGCCTATAGTTCGCAGCAGCTGACCGTGTAGTGTATAGACTATTATTTAATATGTGTATATAATCTAAATAATTGTTATTAATATGTGGTTTCATAAAACCACACAATCCAAGTTGCAGGACTCCACGAATATCTGAATAATATTGAAAGCCATTTAATTTTTCATTATTCTAACCTACATGTTTAAAATTTTCCAGCCGATCCCTGAACCAGTGTCCCTTGGCCCGCAGCCGACGCCAGAAATGGACGCCATAGCTCGTGACGTAGACTCATTAGCGAGAGAAAGACTTTCCCTCGAAGCGGAAGTCGCAAATAAGCAGAAAGAGCTGACGGTTAAAACTGGCGAGGCGGATAGCTTACAGGTATGTTACCTCTGTGTGACGTCACTCAACTAAACGTCTAACTGCTGTGCATAATATTACACTAATAATAAGTAAATCCTTATATTTTGTTAAGGTTATAATCTGTAAGCAGTAGATCACAACTTAATAGAAATATTTACAGAAAAAAAATATCTGTCCAGGTTAGGGAGCGTTCAAGTATTACGTCACGCAATTTTCGGAGATTATTGACCCCCCCCATGTAATGCGCCGTAACGTTTTTCTTTACGCAAGTATAGGAAAACATTTCGTGACCACGTAGTGGCTCTTTATACCTAAAAGGTACCATTATGTGGTGTAAAGTACTGGAAAGTCGAAAATAATATTAACAAAACGCGTAATTCAATCCCCGCCCCGCATCGTAACGTTTTACAAAAGGACCCTCCAAAATTCGTTACGATTTCATTCTTTTTTCCAGTTTGACCTAGATGTAAACGATTTTCAGTTTCATTTTGATTTTCAGAGTGAATTGGACACTTTAACAGCTACTCTGAAACAGTTGGAAAACCAAAAAGGTGAAGCCCAGAAAAGGCTGAACGATTTAAAGTCACAGGTATTTTTTACTTATTATAATTATTAATATTTAAAGGCAGACCTAACATAAAATAAAATATATTTAAAATTGTGGAATTGAGAACCTAATCGGGGTTGCAGCTAAAATATAAAAAATAAAAATGAACCCGTTTAGTAAAGTTAACAAATGAATAATTATCTTTTTTGTAAATCTAAGTAATTAAAATTCTCAAATATTAGTTTATTATTGCATAGTTTTGTTATGTTTGACTAAATTCATTTAATTGTAAGAGTCCTGACAAATTAAGTTTTAATTTAATTTCGAGAAAAAAATAGGAAGGTTTCTTACACTACCTAAACATCTTTCTAATGTGTTAACTTAAGATGTCAAATCATTCAATAAATAATTGATATTTTTGTTAGAAGAAACCATTTATTTTTTGTACAAGCTTAATTACCTATTTACCATCCTAGGTGGAAAAACTACGAAGTCAAGTGTCAGCGCAAGAGGCGGCAGCAGCGGAGACGGAGGCCGAAGTGGCGGCGAGGCGTGCTGCTGCCAACACCCTCAAGGAGAAAGAGAGGAGCCTTCAAGATGAGACGGCGCAAGCGCAGGCCGAAGCCGAGAAGCTCAGCGCTCAGCTGACCAGTTCGGTGCTCGCTGTCAGCCAGGTTAAGATTATATCATATTGAAAAAAAAAAAAGATTTTGACTTTCTGAAAAGATGGGAGCTTGTAGTTTATTGTTTATTAGAATGCCAAATCATAAAATGACTGCTTCACGACTGATTTAAGAGCGACCGCCGATGCGAAAACCGTTGTGTGAGTTCGAAAAGTGAGTTACAGAATCGCAGGGCAGGAGTAATAGTCCTCTCTCTCTCTTTCTAATTCTTCGCGATTTTAACGGATTATCCGGAGCTGAATATATTTGGTTGTGGGCTAAAACATTGATAAGTGCCCATATCGAACCTAATCCGATGATTTGCTGATAATTTTTATTTACATTTAGACATGAGGCATACGACATCCGTATCTCAGAGTCCATAAGTTACATTCACTTAACCCGAGAAAGATAACCATATTTTGCTATACACTAAAGATAACCATACGTCATTTTGACGTATAAATGTTTGAGTGCGCACATGCTGGAATTTGTATATCATATGCTTATGAATGTGATTGTCAGCTTTAATATATGCAATTAACTTAATAATAAATAAAAAAAACATAAGTGTATACACTATACATATATTTTAATTAGCTAAATCTTAAATAAACTAAACACAGCTCTTTTAACACTAAAAAACTAAAACACGATGGAGTCTCATCATCAGCCTTATAATTTAAGAAATAAACTTTTTAAACTTATTATAAAATGATCAACCTTAACTAATATTTTTTATTGATATATAAGGCCAACCCTTCAATGCACTTAGGGCAGGTGCTCGACTTATGCTCTCCAGTAGGTATAATGACGAAAGTATTGCACTTATCTAAAAAACACGACTGTCACCTCCACCGCAAGCTACTTGGGTCCAATGAGTTGACAGGAACGGCCAGTGCCATGGCGCGTATATAGAAACAAATAATATAGATTTTTTTAAATCGACTACGTACGATTCGACGTTATCTTTCTAGGGTTAAGTAACACTTGGACTTGTCTACCCAAAATTTATGGAATTGAGCGAGACTTAGCTGCGAATCTGGCGCCAACAAATGGACCAATTTTTAACCAATATGATACGGTTAAAAATTACAGATTAAGAAGTTTAAAATTTAAACTATACATAACTAGGTAGACAGTCAAGGTCTCATTATAAAAAATAAAATCAGTGGTACTACAACTTTTTTAGGTCTGGGCCTCAGATTTCTGTATCTGTTTCATGATCATTTGTTAATCTAATATGTAAATAGGTGATCAGCCTCCTGACCTACGCCGTCGATTTTTTGGGGTCTAAGGCAAGCCGGTTTCCTCACGATGTTTTCCTTCACCGTTCGGGCGAATGTTAAATGCGCACATAGAAAATCCATTGGTGCATAGCCGGGATCGAACCTCCGACCCAAGGGATGAGAGTCACACGCTGAAGCCACTGGGCCAACATGGCTCATTATAATAAAACATAGATTAATTAGTGCATATAATATAACCTACAATAGTTTAAAAAAATAACCGCAAAAATATTGAAATTATGTTTTTAATTTACGTTGATATAAAAGAATTCACATCACATATCTAAACAATAGTACACTCCTTTTTTAAGTCGGGTAAATATATAGCCTGTAACGTGAACATGTTTCCTGTATATTGACAAATATATTCCAGGCGAATTTAAAACTGAATCACCTGGAGGAGCATCATAGGGCATTAACAGCTGCAATAGAGGCGATCGACGCCGGCGCAGGTGTAAGCGTGCTCAACCTGCAACCGCAGTTCTCGAAGCAGCATCTGCAACAGATGGTGCGAGGGTCGGAAGACGAGGTACTTTTCAAATTTTCAAATTATATAAAATTTAAAATTTTTTTTTCAATAACAAAGAAATGGGTAATAGTTTTTTGGTTAGATTACTGGACTTGTTGATAGCACCATTTTGGTAATTTGCTATTTAATATAATTTTTTCATATTATGTGTAAATATTTAAAATTTTACAACGTAATTTGTATATCTGGGATCTATTAGATGGTTCAGTCTTGTACTGATGACTGAGTATTTATACTGATTTGAGCAAGAGCAAACTCACATCGTCAGGTCTGACTGTCTGCTTGTCTGCTCGTGGGCAACTCTGTCAAGTACTTGCTTGTTTTCGTAATTTAAAGTAGGTATTCAAATTCAAATTTATTTTGGTCCTGTAACTATTATCTGCTACTGACAATTAAAGATATAAAAAAACCTAATAATTTGGACTTTGCTCGTAAAAACACTAGAATTTAAAGAAAAAACTTTTTGACCGGATTAAAGTTATGTATTATTATAAATTTACGATTATTTAACATAATTTTAAATTTATCCGACGTTTCACCGTCAGTCACCGTGACCACGCACGCTGTAAAGCACGCGCATAATAATACATAACTTTAATCCGGTCAAAAAGTTTTTTCTTTAAATGTGTAAAGGTTAAAATATGACATATAGTATGTTTTTGACTTTGAAGTTTGACAACGGATTACATTTTCGAAGTCAAACTTCTTTATCGGCGTTAAAATATGACATATAGTATGTTTTTGACTTTGAAGTTTGACAACGGATTACATTTTCGACTTGAAATTTGCTAATCGCAATTTGCAGCAATTAATTTGTAAATTGTATGCTAGGCAGTGTATCAAAATTTACTGTGTTTAAAGAAATAGTTTCTAATAAGGTCATAAAGAAGTTTCACTTCCTACGTGTGTACACCTAGTACACGCACACATTTTTTTTCTTCTAAATAACTGTCTAATGCGAATTCTGTTTTTAAGTATATTTTTAGTCTTAAAAATCAAATAATAAGTAAAATATTAAATTTTTCAGGATGAAGAATTCTCGAAGGCAGACTTCAGTACAATGAACGGCTCTGCCGGTTTCACTTCTGACCCCTTCAAGGACGACGCCTTCTCGTCTAATCTTCCTTCTAACGATCCATTTGCGCCTTCGAATAATAAATCGGCGCAGGTAAGTAATAATTATTAATAAACATACTCTACATTATGCATAAAGGAAGCTAAATTAATCCAGTTTTTCAATATAAAAACTAGTGGCGCACATTCAGATTTCGTTTGTTTTGTGCAAATAGATAACACTGCCACTTTACAAAGAGCGGTTAAGCTGTCACCCGAATGAACTTGTTCGCCAACTCACCATTAGACAGTATGTGAGTCGACTAAAACGTCACCATATTCTAGAGCTAGAAGACCGGCAGTAGCTCTAGACAGAAAATGAGTAGATGCTTCCAATGGGAAGTAACTCCACATGACAGCACCACAGAACAAATTCGCTCATAGCCTTGGGGCTGATTGCAAATAACCGCAGTAAAAAAAAAAAAGAACACTACCCATGTCTTCAACGCACTTTTCTATTAGGTCAGCGACTAAATAAGCATTTTATAAAACCTAACAAAATGTTCATTACCAAGTACCGAAGGAAACTTATGATGCTAAACTTATACCTATATGTAGCGGTTGTTTGACTTAATCTTAATTCATGCGTAGTCTCCCAAAGGAGTGAATTCTTCCTCATAATCTTTCCACTTGGGTCTTGGCTACTTATCCCGCCCTCTGTTTACATGTAATGTCAGACCCCATAATTGCCAATGGACCCGAATTCCAGTTTTAATCTAAAATCTCTATAGACATTAGACATATGTATTAATCTTTATTACTGTCAATTGTCATTACTACCTTACATCAGATGAACACTGTGTATTTAAAAAAAACATCAGTTTGACCTGTGTTTGGGATGTTGTTGGAATTCAATTATTTAGGCTTTTGCTAAATTTGTCCACAATTGTCTCGGAAAATAAAGGTATCGACGATTTAAATATATCTGATATTCCACCTCAAGCAACAGTCCAAATTCATTAAAATTGGTTTAATAGTTTTTGAGCTATAGGCATCCAAGGCAGTTTCTTTTTCAATTGATAGCTGTTTGAATTCCGTTAATTTTTTAAATATTTTCTTCAGGATGGATTCGCTAGTGATCCGTTTGGCGGCTCTGCTGATCCTTTCGCAGGCGATTCCTTTGCGAGCAATGACACGAACAAGCAAAATGATGTGAGTGCAGTTATTATTTTGCGTAATGGGCTATCGAGAGTATTAAAAAAGTGTTGTTTGTATGAAACATGGCTTTAAAAGCGTTATGGTTATATAAACGCTATTTTGTACGTCAGTCACGTGACAAATAAGGTAACAGATAAGGGAGTGTTCAAGTATTACGTCACGCAATTATTGGAGATTATTACTACACATTATTACTATTACACTAATTTACATATTATGTACTTATATTTAATGACGTTTTTATTTAAGATTCTCTGTGTTATTCTCAGATCTTTTTTAGCACGGATTATGTGGAAGAGATCTTTTTAATTTTAAGGTTCACTAGTTGAACTAGTTGAGATTTACCATAGTGTTAATTGTTTTTTGTGTGAAAAATGTGCCAAAATAATGTATTATTATTATAAATTGATTACAGGGTGCATGGGAATCTGATCCCTTCGCAGTGTTGCACGCTCCGACGCGAAGTTCAAATGTTAGCAATACCAGCAACACTAGCAACCCAAGCAACGCTAGCAACACTGCTAAACGGCACAAGACTCCGCCCCCGCGGCCGGCACCCCCTCGCCCCATGCCCCCGCACAAGGTATGTCAAAATTATTCGTATAGGATTATGTTAATTGTGAATTGATTAGAATTGCGCTTGGATCTTTATGGAGTTAATACAATAGCAACTAAAGTAATTAAAAAACACTTTAAGTGATTTAAAAGTTTTCTTTATGGAAAGGCCTAATAGCCCATTATTTAATAATAATAATGTAGCTTTATTTAATTCATTAAAATACAAATACGTACAGTACCAGGCCATTTATAAGTCGCATCGTGCTTTAGAAAGAGATACTCGCTTTGTAAGCGTCATCTCTGTCACACGAAACACTAACAGTCCGGTAGCTATTAGGAGACAGAGACAGCGCTATACGAAGCCGAAGCTTGAGTTTGTCTAATGAAAAAAGATAACGAAAAAGCGCGGCAAATTAAAAAAAAATTTGTATAGTATCCCTAAAAGTTTGATATATTTTGTGGATTAAACTTACTTGATACTTGATTTTATTTTATTATTTTTTACATTAATTGTAACTGTATTTCTATGAAATTAAATACTATACGTATTTAGTCTTTTACTATTGATACTTAAAATATGCTATTGAACTAGCATTGCATGGAAAACTAAAACTATATTTATTATAAAACACAACTTTATTCGGAATTATCAAATCCTGCGAAAGAAACGAAATATTCTATAAAATAAAACAAAGTTTAGGCTATTATACCTGTTAACTATTCGGAAAAAATATATAATAGAAATAAAAATGAGTAATTGCATGAAGTATCAAGACAATAAATCATACTAACCTAAGAAATTCAATGACATTCTGTGTTGCCATCAGAAAGTTTATAAATAATTCAATTATCTTCTTTCATTAGTCAGACTCTAGCCGAGTATCTCTTTCTAAAGCACGATGCGACTTATAAATGGCCGGGTACTGTATACCACACAAGACATTAACAGTAAATAAGGAATAAAAAGGGTGCGTGTACTTATGTACGCGCGTAAGAAGTTATACTTCTTGGGCATTATTAAAAATAGTTTTTGATTGTATGCAAATAATTAATTACAATTAAATAATCAAAGACTGGAATTATAGTCAATAAAGTTCAGTTTACATTTGAAAAATTAAATAAATAAATATTTATTATTATTCTCTTACATTAAGTGTAACATAAATTCTATTATTATTCGAATGTTGTTTTTAAATTATGTCCAATGCCGTAGCATCTTCCGTGGGCAACTTCATTCTGTTAATTTTGTGTCACGGTGCGCGTGCATCGTAGAATTTCACTTTCATCAATTTTTCATAACGCGCCTAAAGAAGTATAACTTCAAAAGTAATAGCCTCCAGGGCATCCCACAATTTTCAAATTATTCCTATTTATTTATTTTAACACATTTTAAAACATACAAATAGATATTCTAAATATATCTAAAGTAAATTTAAAAAAATTTGATGACAATGATCCAAGGGCATAATTAGTTCGTTTTATTTAATTAAATTTTATTTTCAGATATTAATTTGCATATCAGACTAGTGTCGAATGATTTAGCTAATTTTATTTCTATATTTTACGCTGCAGAGAAAGTAAAATTAAATGTATGTAAGCTTTGACCGAGTTTTTGCACGACTTTGTTAAGGAGAATGGCATTTTGTGAAGTGCTTTCTTTGAATATAGCAACGGAATAGCATTTTGCGTTTACCAGTTTTCATATCTATCTTTTTATGTTAGTCTCATACAATATATTAGGGTCTGTGCGGAACGAAAAACGAGGCAGTCATACGAACTAATATTTTTTATATGCAACATAAAAAATAAAAGTTTATGTATACTAGATCACAATTACTGTAGCTATAATGACGTAACAGTGTTGTCAACATGACAACAAAAACGACGGTTTTCTTTTCGCACAGACTAAGAGATGCGAACATACTGGGTGTAAGTATTTTATCCAAAGAAAAATACATCACAATGTTGTTAATTTTAACTATGATCTTAAACTCTAACTCGGGCACTGGTTATGAGAGTATTTGCTTACTTTAACTATAATAACCTTTGAAAAGAAAGAAAATAATAGTACGAGATCCGGCTGCAGGATTAGTGCGCTCATAGGTTATTTGCTAAAAACCAAATTTCTATGTATATTTATAATTAGGAGAATGTATATCTACCAAGGTGCCTATCAAAATTTGGCCGCTAGTGTTATTAATTATTTCGATTTGATTTTTGGGAAAACATTTCGTTCACTAAACAATAAAATATCGTCTACATGACGACAATTTACATAAAGATTTTAAAAAAAAAACCTAGGCACCTTGGTACATTCTCCTAATTATAAATACAATTAAAATTTGGTTTTCAGCAAATAACCGATGAGCGCACTAATCCTGCAGCCGGATCTTAGACCATAAGTGTTATTTTTGGTAAGGTTGTACAAAAAAAATACAATTTTGTTTTTAAATTCATGTTTGTTTATGCCCGGTATATTTTGAAAGCTTTCTTTTTTTCATTAACAAAAACCACTAATATACAAAATAATGTTATTCCGTTTGTATTTCGGTCATTTGAGGATACTTCGATAATTTTACTTTCTCTGTAAATGCCATTCTCGTAATAGTGTGCACACATGTCGAAATCGCATGTTATGAAAGTTGAAAACACAATTTTGTTTTGTAGACTTTTTGTTTCAAACGTTTTGCTTTACAGCTTTGTTGGGACAAGCATTTGTTTGCGTTACATTATGTTCATGCATGTTCGTACCTAGCTTGCTTTATTTGTCTTGTCTTGCCAGTTTTGTATTTTATGTATTTAATAATATTTTCTATATATAAATGACATATCTTCTTTAATATTTCTGTACATTGAGACATCGTCATTTCTGTTTTTTGACTTAGGGAGCGTTAGTTACGTAACGAATTTGGGGGGGGTCCTTTTGTAAAACGTTACGATGCGGGGCGGGGATTGAATTACGTGTTATTTTTAATATTATTTTCGACTTTCCAGTTTTTTACACCACATAATGGTAACTTATAGGTTTAGAGTCACTGGGTGGTCACAAAACGTTTTACTATTGGGCACAGAGAAACGTTACGGCGCGTTACATGGGGTAATAATCTCCAAACATTCCGTGACTTAATACTTGAACGCTTCCTTATAGCATTGAATTGTATGTCAATGCTCCTAGAGTTGAGACGTATTTTGTAAGAGGTGTTTAGATTAAAGCCGATGTCTCGATGTACGCAATTTGTGCGTCACGCCATTTGTACACTTGTCCACTAACATACGCTAACCACGGCTCGTGTGCTTGTCCCCACATTGCAGCGCTAAGCGGACGGACGACGGCGACATGTGCGTACACACCTTCCCTCTCCTTCACACACCTATCACCTCTCTCACTCACACTTTGTTGCGCCCAGACCGAACGCAAACCTATCGACTTCACCGAGGACCCCTTCAAAGACTACCGTTACGAAGATCCGTTTAACATCGAAGACCCCTTCGCCGACGTCAACGACAAAAAAGCCGATCCGTTCGGCCGCCCGACTTCTGTCGCGGGTTTCGAGAAAGACGACTTCTTCTCTGCCTCTTCGAATTTAAACGGAACCTTCTCGAAGCCGGAGCGAATTAGCGGACGAGTATCGGCGCCTCCCGTCGCCTACGACCCGTTTTCGAAGCCCACCACTAATAATGACTCCTGGGCGGCCTGGCCGAACGATAGCTGGGCGGCCGACGATGCCTGGTCTAAACCGGCCCCTCCCAAACCGGATGCTTGGTCTTCATCCTCCACAAATCTGAATTCAAAATCTGATAACTGGGAAAATAATACCGATAATTGGTCGAACAAAACTGATAATAGGTCGAATAAAACCGATAATTGGTCGAACAAAACCGATAATAGGTCGAACAAAACGGACAATTGGTCAAACAAAACCGATAATAGGTCGAACAAAACCGACAATTGGTCAAACAAAACCGATGATTGGTCCGCTAAAACAGATGACTGGGCGACCGATTGGGGGACTGATAAAAACAAAAATCTAAACGAAACGTGGCCATCAAACACCTTACCGAGTAAGAAAGAGAAGTCCCCCAAGCCAGTGAAATACGCAAAGTCTCTCGTCCATACGATTGGTGGGATCGGCCGGACGAAGCAGAAAGATAAGAAGAAGTCGAACGAGGCTAAAAGTGTAGATAACCTTCCTACCGAAGAGCAGCAATGGGCGTGGGCGGCCGCCGAATCCAAGCGCCTGGAGAGCGAGGTAGAAGCCAGGAGGCGGCAGGAAGACGCGGAATTGCAGTTGGCCCTGGCCATATCCAGACAAGAGAAGTGACCTCGAAGGGGGCCCTCGAAGTGGCCTCGATTTCGGTAGCTGCAGCTCGGTGAAGGGCCGAGGTCCGTTCCGTCGAGCGGTCGGTTGTGCAACGATTTGGACTTATCTTGCCTTAGATTGGGACCCTTACGAATAAAACGTTGGAAATATATCCAAGATGCATTCCACAGTATTTGGCTTTAGTTGTAGGATCCACTAGTCATATTGTTTATTGTCTCGGGCGTTTAATGTAAGTAATATTCTTTAGGCCTAATTCTGTTGTAGCCTTTAAGTCCGTGTTGTAGCTAGAATATAAAGATATTTTTCAACTATTATTAGTTACGTGCGTAGTTTTCATGTAAAAATTATTTATTGATTAGATGGATTGTATCCAACAGATTGTATTTTGTTTAAATCGTCCTTTGGATATTATGAACCTATTGACGAGAAACAAAATGAAGTTGTGTCCATATTAGACACATTTATTAAATTATAATTGTTTTGTATATAATGAATATTGTATAAATTGCGTCTTTATTGACATGGTACTTTGTCTAATTAATTTTATAATAGGAATCCCAGTTACGTCATTCGGGTAAAAAGTTAATGCGCTTGTTACAAAAACATTAGCAAAAACGTTTTGAGTGGTATCGTATAAGTAATCCTTTTCTGGGAGATAAGGGTCCTTTAATATACCGTAATTTGATTTATTTTGAGGCTGGGGTATACGAATTTTGTTTATCTGATTTATTAATGTATACGTATTTAATTTCGGATTATTATAAGATAATGAATGATTGCGGTAATATATTTAGATTTTTCTTAAATAAAAAGGGCCAGGTGCGTTATTTTTTTCATCTCAGCTTCGTGAAAAACATTGGAACCGATTAATTATTGGATTTTAATTTTGGTATATTAGCTTATCAGAGTTCCAAATAAATACGTCTTGGAATATTTGTATGAGAAATTAAGTTGGGCGTAAGGATTTTGAAACAAATGTTTGACGGAGACGTATTTTATGACCTGATGTCTTGTTTATGTATATCTCCTATTAGTATTAAACGCTAATCAGATATATAGTAAGACAATAAATTTCTTTCCGAGTTTTATGTATAAACCAGAAATCAATAGAGCTTAAAGAAATGGTAGAAGTTTTAGTTAACAACATGGCAGATGATTGTCCCTTTCTAAAAAGATACGAGTAAACGAGATATCATCATTCATAGCTATTGGTTCGATATATCTTTAAATATTAATACGCAAAATATATACAAATATCGCATAGATGAGCGGTTGTTAATGTCGAGTCTCCCAATATAATCGTTAATCTCGCTAAATGTAAACTGTGGATAAGAGTTGATGCGTTCACTTTGTTAATGTTGTATTTTCATACCAGAATGGTAGTCGCTGAACAAGTTCTAGGCGTCTTCCTCGAATGTGTAGTGCTAAGGGTATTCAAAGATTAGCGAAGATGACTCCGGTATACCCCTTAATACAGAAAATGTTGATACCAAATATTTGAAGTGCGTAAAGTAAAATGCCTAGAAATCGTTCGGCTACAGCTTAGCAATGTAGATCACGCTTATGTGCGCACGAGCCGTAAGCCGTCTGGTACAATAACTATTTTAGTACTGCACGCTTGCCGGGACACGACTAACACGGGAACATCGGGCACGTGTCCCCGCAAGCCTAGTTGTTAGGATAATTGTAAACTTTGTAACTATTGAATACCGTGTTTATGGGTACTATTCTAATATTGTTATCTCTTTCTTAGGCTGTTGTTTGAATTCGGACCGCGTGGATGTATTATTTAGAATTGCAGGTATTATGTTATCAAGACAATTTATGTTCAGATCCACGTGGCCCGATCGATCCTTGTCTGTTATAATCTTTCAATAATAGCAATTAATATATTATTTCTCGACGTTGAAGTGTATATGTGTATCAAAAGCTATATATAATATAGATATAATTATTATAATAAAGGTAGCGCTGAGGTGTCCATGCATTACATTTTTATTTGTTTTCTTTTGTTCCTTTTTTTGACATCCTTTTATAGTTTAATCAATTTTAAATGTGATGTTCGGATAGTGAAATAATGCGCGGGTCCTATCTTTTTGATCACCTCCTAATACTCTTCTATAGCAGGATGTATACAATTCAAAATTAATGAAAGCCTTAAGAACCTAAACCCACCAATTTATTTAAGATTTCTAATCCGCTTTGAGAAGCATTTTTATCTTTTTTTCCGCTCTCCTTAGCCGTTAAATCTTAATTTTTATTCATTAATATAAATGCATTTTTGTAAAATTTTCCGACAAATTTAAATATTCCGCATTTTTTGTTTATAGCCATTATATTTCTTGATTCAAATGAATACTTGATTCTTTAATATTTTTAAGCAACGAAATATTTTGATGTTTGAAAATTGTGTATGAATTATATTTAGTGAAATCTATTAGGCGTGCTGTATACTCTGTTCGTACCTTATCACGAGAATTTAGCTTTAAAAATGTATGTTGTAAAAGGTAGCTAATAAAATGTCCACTCATTTACAACTAAAATTAGCTGTTTCATAATTGTTCCATAATGCATAGAATTTCCGAAAGTAACATTTCAAAACAATTTTAGACTGACTGAATAGCCTCAATATATTTATATAAAACATATCTCCCAAATGGACATTCAATGTTTAGACATAACAATATAATCAAAAGTAATATCTAAAAATTCGTCAAAATTGGTTCATTTAACGAAATAGTTGGTATTTATAATTAGTTGATGTAAAATGCCTTCTTGTAATAGGTTGAATTTTAAGTACAATCATTTTCATATCATGTAATATTGTGATTGTGTTTCGTAGTTTAGATGCTAGAAATTATATTGCATTAATAAATATTTATCGCGCTAGTTTTGTTCATATTAAAGTTTAAAATTGTTAACAGTTGCAGAAAGTTTTTTTGGCTTGTCAAAGTTGTTTTTGAGCTCAGTAATTACGTAATTAATGGCCAATCTTAATGTTTTCATAACCATCGCATTAAGTTTATTGATACTTATTTCTTTTATTCCGCTTTATAGGCCAAATATAAACTATTGAGATTGGCATTATTTATTATTGTTATATTAAACAAAACCTTACGAACTTCATATTAAATACATATTGGCTATTAACTATTTGCAGGTAAATAAATACGTCAGCTAATACGTCAAGTTAAAAGTTCATGACCTATTGGGTTGTTGACCTCTAATTACAGTTGAGGTCATCAACCCTAAAGGTTAATTTTTAAATTTTAATACTTTGTGTAATTTGTACGACGCTTTGTAGTTGATATGGGTTTTGTTAATATAATAAATGGCAAAGCATTCTACGGCAAATGCAAATTCATCAGTTTATATGAGCTATATTTTATCTCTTTCGTAAAAATACATTTATTTATCACCTAATATAAAAAGTAGATGAAATGTTAAAGATATTGTGACTGTAATTATTAGAGTAGAAGTTTATAATACAGTTTATATTGTATGCAATTCAATTATTCTAAGAATGTACCCCGATGTTAAGAAATTTAAATGATTAACGCTAGATGAAACATTTTGTAAGCGAATTGTTTCCCGAGACGCCGGGAGACTTTTTTTTCTATAATTTTATCTATTTGTAAACGTTTTTTTCTGTATTTTTGAATATGCAATTTTTTATGCCGGTAATATTTTTGGTAATAAATCATTGCATTGTATGGCGAAACGGCACTTTTATGGCTGCGTACTAGCTGGGTAATATACATTAACGACTGCGATCAAGTTTGTTAAGACCTAAATTTTTAAATGTATTGCCAGCTTTAAGAGGGAACGCGTCTACATGCGACATTGTTTATACTGTTTATAATTATTTGTATACATTTTTATATATCTATTTACGCCCGAACCCAATAACCTATCTCAATCCACCATCTGAGATAGTAATCTTAATCCAAATGTTGTAAATAGCCATCGGTCGATACAAGCTATCTATGGGAAGTCGTATCGGTGTCTGTGGATAGACCTTTGTATAAAAATGACAGTTGACGAAAGCTCGATTTCAACAGTTTATTATTTTAACAGATTTTAACTTACACCAGTTTTTTAAATAATTTAAAAAACTGTTATGTTTTAAACATACACATGTATATTTTAATGTTATTTGTACGGTTTTATTTACTTTATTTGGTTTACATTGATTATCAAATATGAGTAAAAACTCGGTTAAATGGAACGACAAAGAGCATTTTATCCGTCGTCAAAAATGTTTCGTCTTCGTAGGGTTTGGTTATTGGGATGCAGATAGAAGATCGATCGACTGTCACGGTCTGACAGATTGTTGATTGATTATTGGGTTCGGGCGTAAATGTGGACGACAAAAACGATCTTGCTGTATTGCCAGTACGTGTATGTCTAGCTCGCGTTTCTTCTTAATTCGCGGTATCGATATAACATCAGGACGACCAAATTGTTTGTGAGTAGTCGTAGATGCACTGTATGCTTGTTAATTTTGTTACATAATATGCTCAATGTAATGCGTAAGACTGGATACTCGCTGTGACCTTCCAAAATGCAAACCCAGAAATATAATTTTCATAATAATAATAATTTATTTGCAAGAATATGGTACAAAAAAGTTACGGTGGTACATACAATAATGGCGTGCAAATTTGTCTTAAAATGAATTTTACATAGAAGTTATATATTATATATATTGAGTCATATCAATTAGTCAATTCTTATATTATTTTTAGTGATAAAATATCACATTATTAAAATATATTATTACGTTATCGAATTAATAATTATTAGAATGTTTCACGCAAATAATTATATGTAGATTTTTTTGGGAAGGAATGGGAAGATTTGAATTTACTATCAGTTACCAAATCAAGGGCGTAGAGGGCGCTGCCGAGCCGGCAAGAAACTCCCCAACTCTTATTAATCGTCAAGTTTTTTGTTTACAAGGAAAGTGTAAATGCAACCCTTAAACTGTGCTGTACTTGACATATTGAAACATTTTATAATAAAAAAGTAACAAACGCTTAGCATCAACCGGTCAGGATCTATTTTGTAGGTATATTCATAGGTTAGTGAGTAACTAATCATCTAATAAAAAACTTACCTTACCCGCTTACTTAACGAAGACGTCTTGGTGATCCAAAAAAAAATACAAAGAAGTGAAGGTTCTTTATAAAACTAAGTCTGAAACCAGCGAGTAGCCAGTTTTATGCATCAAAGTTATTTCTTACTCACCGCGAATCACCCTAGCCTTTTCTTTTAACGCCGTACCCGGCGGTAAAAGGTTAAGTCGACTTTAAATAATAATTATCATCATTGTACTCTGTTGGCTTTTGCGGTAAAATCTTACTATTTATTCATGTTAATCACCTAATTTATATTATGTAAAAAATTCTCAAATTGACGCGAATCTATTCATGCCTCGTAACGAAGGATTAAATATAATATTATTTTACTTCGGAGCAGTATGAGTGAGAAATAACTTCGATAAATCAAGGACTTAGAAGACATGATCAGTATTAGGTGGTGCGGTCAGTTACTAGATGGATTCGAGCACACACCGGCGGCATGGCACTGTACCTATAATATATTTGTGAAAATAATTCCTTACAAAATAAAGGAAGCATACTATATAGTTTTTGTTTTAATGAATTACCCTTAAACTTCCGAAAGTTCTCTACTGGATTATTGATACTGTATACATAATCTATACACATAATAAATCAGTACCGTCCTTAAATTTAATAGAAATATCTAAGATTCGAATAATGGATTTAATCGTGGTCAAAAATATGACAGCTAAGACTATCATTATGGCTTAGTTTGATGTCCGGTTAAATAATGACTGGAATTTAAAGACTCAATATAATTAGGAGATCGTCAAACTCATTTTTTTAAATCCTATGTAAATACACACCTGTAAATTAAAAATTATAGCAAGAATTTTTATATAATAATGTATCGATGTTTGATTGTTAATACAACTACACTATACACTATAGATTTAGGTAAAAAAACGTGTATAAAGACTTAAACAGAGCTTAAATTGTATTTATGTAATAAAAACAATAATTTAAAAATCCAATTTCAAATAAATGCTTTTGATGAAACGCTGGAAGGATCATGTCGATATGACGTAGTTTTTGAGGAATTTGTGGACGCTTCTAAAATAATCTAATTAACATTTAAGTAGCGTTCTCTTAAGAATAGTCAAAGAAATTTTTATATAATACTACACATGTGATCATAAACATTCGCCATATTGTCTGTCAATGGTTTCCGACGCTGTTTAAATACATATTCTGATTTGTGTAACTTCGCAACGCTTATTTCGGTTTATCGGTACCGATTAGTTAAACAAGGTTCAACCTTAAACTAATATCTGAATTTACACAAGCATAACTATTAAGGAATTTGTTTAAATTATGTAAACAATTAACGTACGTGAGTATTAACAAATAGTATAGAACCACAAATATTTGTATTCAGTGCTAGGTGAATAAAATGAAATTGTTTTATGTTCCACAACTGACTGTCGAATAGTTGATTAACTCGATTGATACTTTAATGTTGAGTTAATCACGTAAATGTTGTTTAAAGTATATTAATTGATGATCATATATAACACTAAGTATCTCATAGTTTTTGCGCAGTACATATTTGTTTCCACGCAAATAAATATCTTATAATATAAAGGTTTAAAATGGTTATTTATTTATTTAAAAAAAGGTTTGCCAACGGGCTAAAAATAAAAGCTTACATCTAAAACACACAAAAATAAAAACTGATAGTAAAACTTTTGACAGGTAAACACAGCGTACTTAATACTATTTCTAACTAACATATCGTTACAAACTATAAATATGTGATCTAGAAAGTGAGTTATAATAGTAGTAGTAATAATATTGCAAAATTTCGTGATCAATCAATTGACTCCTTTGGATGAATGAATTTTATTCGTCGTGCAAGTAGTATACTGCAGCGGAATTAATTAATTTATAAACTGTTACAAGCCGATATTTCACTATTCACTTTTTTATTCAAATTACGCCTAATTTAATAAAATCTTCAATAACACCGTTAATTCTCTCAGAGTACCGTTCATTGGGGATAACGGCAAAATCCTTTTGTTCCAATTTATCATCCACCTTTGGGGCATCTTTAGGGTCCACTGTTATTATGAGCAGACACAATATTGCTGATAGAAGGCCATATGATGATGCCTAAAACAAACAGTAATAATTATATCTTACTTTAAAATGTATTATTATCAAGTCCGTGGGTAATTTTGTGTAACCAGAGGAAAGAAAGGCTTGCATTCATTGCTAACGAAGTGAATTTTTGTAATAATTATCAATTATTATCAATGTAATTATGAAAATGAATAGCGATTGTGTGTATTACGCTCATAAATTGGTGTGAAGTAATTTAAAATGAAATTACCTCTATTATTTACCTAAGTAGGTACCTACCTATTTATACACGTTCACTACAAAAATTCGTCAAACTTTTGAACTGATTTGGATGAAACAGGTCTGTTCCTGCTGAAACTCTTTTCAATAAAAATAACTATCTCGTTAAGAGGTTAAGTATCCGAAAATTTTTGAAATTTTCATAAACTGAAATTTACGCGCTTCAATCGTACTTAATCCAATCCAATTCCAAAAATATTTTTATTGCATTATATTGTCTAGTTTTCATTTTTTTAGTTTGTTTAAAATAGATAATAAATCTGCAATAATCATCATGAAAAAAAAATTCAAACTAGACAATATTATGTAAATATATTTCCCATCATTTTCATATTAATCAATTGTTATGGCTATTTATCAAAAATATTAAAATTATATTTTAATGACTTACAGAATTAACTGATACTTATTTGGCTACCTGATGTTGCAGTCTTGGGTGAACCGGTTTATACCTGGGCATAAACCGGTTGGTTTATGCCCAGGTATAAAACCTTATAAACCAGTTGTGTGGGCAGGGCACCAGGCAAGGCACAAAGCCTCAGTCAGTTTAAAAGTATTCTTCGTAGTGAATAGACGAGTTAGAATATAATACTTTCATTTTAAACTGTGCTCTTACATAAAAGCTTCAGAAAGTTAATTTAATGCCGTGAAGGTGAAATTGTAGTTGCTAATTGTATAGCAAAAACTTTAATTGATTCAAGATGTCAAATATATTGTGGGTTATGTCATGAAAATGAATATCTGTGCGTTAAGGTACTGTTTTAAACACAGAAACAAAAAGACAGAATCAAACAGCATATCTGGGATTAGTCCAAGGTGTATAAATTAAGCAGTCAAAGCGGTTGAAATGAAAATGCATCGTTTTTGGCGTACTTTGTCTCAAGTATCGATACTATTAACGAAAGTCGCCATCTTGAAAGTCTTTTTGATAGTATTGCGGCCAAAATATTAATTGTAACATGAAATTGTTATGAATCCGAGGTCATGTTATTTGGTCGTAGGTTCTCAGTCTCACTCGCTTGTTTTCCTTCGGACAATTACTTCAAGCCTTATTATTGTTCATTCATAATATGGTTTATGTGACTATCGCCGGGCTTTGGCAGCTTTAGCTTTTATTCGCTCATAAAGTCTGTCTCTTCGAAATTTTTTAAACTGTTTTATTGTTAAAATTATTTTCATATAGGTATGAATATGCATATTATCTGGTCTAACTCGCATTATTTCCAGTACACAATGCACAACGCGTTTATCGTTTTAGATCAGGTTATGTCTGATGAAACTTCCACCTAAGCTTTGTTGATTAATAGGCGAGTTTTCTTTCACGCCATTTACACGTCTTTGCTTCTTTCATTTTATCCCAGCGTTGATTTATACAAATTTTGCGAAATTCTTCACAATAAGGTACATAATTGTTGACAACATAGATACACGAATTTCTCTTGTGTAGATTAAACCGCTTCTTTCTTCCCATTCTATCTGTTGCTTCTGTCTTACGGCTGCAGTAACAGTTAGTAAGTTATTTGTTAAAAGTTCGTCAACTACGTACGTACTTCCAAAAGATAATATATCAAGAGGTTGGGTTCTTTCTCATTACTGTAACCCTTATTGTCCGTCCATGTAGCCTGATAGTGTAGGTGTTTGAAGTCCTTTTTGTCGGATCAATGTCTACAATTCGGATCAATTTTTACGCTGTATAACTGCTATGCCTTGTTTTGTATGCTTTCCCCAAGCTGGTTAAACTAAATTTCCGTATTTCCCGGTCGCACGATCGCACGCAGTACTCAATAATACAGCGACTGTTTCCTTCGCGGCTCCAGTAAGACAAGGGCGCAATTTTGCCATGTTTTTTTTGTTTAAAGCCATAAGCAACTTAAAGTATTCTCAGTTTTAGCTGGGGAAATAACGTTGAATCAATGACTCCATGAACTCAGTTGATGTCATGTGTCGCAACAGTAGGTTACTAGGATTTTTGATGATCATTTGAACGGTGCACGGTTTGTTCAGTTTTAAGTCGTATTTCGAGAGAAAGTTTCGTATTAGGGATGAAGTTGTGAATAATGCTTTTTTGTGGCCTGCAATACGTCGATGTGGATCACTTTGTGCAGCGGAGACAGTGAATTGAAGTTTTTGCAAGTCTAGGGATGAAAAACTTCTTTTATCTAAGTGCTAACTAATATTAGGCGCCGCAGGTTACACCCACTTTACGTTTCTAAGCAACATCTGTCTTTCTAAGTTATGATGCCCGTCATCCATTACACATTATAACCTTTATTTTGAATATACTGTCCATACCATACAGTTGATTAAGAATAAATACGTTATTTAATAAACTATGATTTAACTTACCTGCTCAAGTTCATATTCGAAATCCTTCCTAGAATAGATCTCATTGGGGTCCAGATTAAGCATCGTTAAAGTACGGCTCAGCTCGGAATAGTAATGATCTAAACATCGTTGATATTGGGTATTCCGGAATTCTTGGTCTGTCCCAGTGAAGATGAAGTAGACCAGATCGCTAACAAGGTTTCCGTGACGAATTGTTTGGAAGTCTATGGGTATCACTTTAGTAGTCTTTCCATCCTAAAAAGGATTTATAAAAAAGTTATAATGTTATAGTTGTGGCCGCAGCTTAAAGTTATTTAATGTGTTGGGAACGTTTTGCTTACATTTTTAGCAATTGTTGTTTTAATTACAATCGTAATTTTAATCTCATTAGGGATAATTAAATACTGTTTAAACTATACCTTTAATATACAAATAATAAAATCTACAACCTTTTTAGGTCTGGGCCTTAGATTTCTCTATCTGTTTTATGATCATTTGTAAATCTAATAGGCATGTATGATGATCAGCCACCTGTTCCTGATGCACGTCGTCAACTTTTTGTGTCTAAGTTTTAGACTTTTTAGTCAACTTTAATTTAATAAAATCACTTATGTCATGGTAAAAAATGGTTTATTTTACTTACTTGAACTTTATGAAGCAGGTTGCTGGGACGATAATCAGCATGAGTTAAAACACGGCTTCTCATTGGTTTCAGAACACCCATAAAGTACTCAACGCTCGTCACTCCATCTAGAAATGTTTTCAATCGTTCTTTATTTTCTGCCTTCGTAACCTGAAGCACTTTAGTTATTGCACTCTCTAAATATTCCTTTAAACCATCTATGTTTTCTTGTATTTTCATTATCTCTCCGTCCTTTTTGAATTCATCTGGATACTCAATTGCGTATGCCATCGAAAGACCATGTAATTTAGCAAGAGCAGTAAGCGAAAGCGACGCATATTCCCAGTCCATAGTCTGAAATCTATCGTACATGTCAAAACCTTCGGCAAGTAAATTGTCAAACACCAAAATCTCGTTCGAACATTCCAAATTGTACCCGTATAGCTTCGGCAGGACTAATTTGTGATCATCGGGCACATGATGTTTCGTTTCGATATCATTGTATAATTTGAATATTTTCGTGTAAAACTGAACTTCTGTTTTGTAGATACAAACAGGAGCTAATGTTCTCAACTTTTCACCAATTGCAGCAACTTTAACAAATAAGTTTAATTCTTTGTCACTTGCAGAAATTTCTGCTAAATAAAGATTGCTGGAAAAGTTAGCACCATCAGTGGAAAGGAGATTTGTTGATATCTTATAATTATTAAACTGTTCTTCTTTAGCAATTTTATCAAGAATTTCGAAAACTTCCTGTCCAGCCATTATCAATCCGCAATTATAAATTTATTAACAAAGCTGTTTATGTTAATGCCGTCTACATATTATAGCTGCCCGAGTACGCAATGTGATAAACATGTCTTACATATCTATAGTTAAGACCCACTTAGATACGATAAAGTTTCATGCGATTGCATTATTATTATTTTATCATCTAATTCTAATAGTTCAATAAAATAATGCATTATACGATAAAATGTTTAATTGAATTGGTCAGAAGATAGATTCACAATAATAATTAATTAAATACAACCAAAATAATACTGATTCGCTCAATAAAATGCTAAAACATAACTACAAAATTCCATATTTGATAAAATCTTCAACGAGTTCGTTGACTCTTTTCTTGTATTCCTCACTGGGAGCCATGTTAAAACTCTCGAAATCTGAATCTGGTGTCATGGTGGGCGCATTCTCAGTGTCCACAGTGACCAGTAATAATAACATAAAACTTATGATCAGTCCGTATGGTAGCACCTGGAAATTTATTTAAATGAATTATATAGGTATACGAAATTTATCCAAAAGTCAATAAACATAAAATTAAAAGAAAATAGCACGTCAATAATTAATAATTTAAACCAAATTAACTACTTCTACTAAGGTGATGGGGGCAAAGTGCGCCATACTTTTTTCATAGTTGACTTTGGTGCAATATTACTTGTGCTTAAGTTCACGAGTGACACGAAATCATGGTACCATAAGGATCTGTGATGTTTTGCAACAACAACTAATGTCGTGTCATTAGAATCTGACGGCAAATTAATGAATTTTAGCATAAAATCTGAAAACAGTCTGACCCGGCGCACTTTGCCGACAAATCGGGGAAGTGCGCCTTGTATTAATAAAACGCAATAATAAAGCATCAGAATAAAAACAGCCCTATATTATTTTAAGAAAACAAGCAACAAAACGCATGCCATTTTTTATTTTTTCATAGCCACATTCTAGAAGAATCTATGTATTTAAAACCAAATTTCGGCTAAATGCGCCATACAATCTTAAGTCAGAGGCTATGAACCTTTTTTCTAAATATTGATAATCGAATGTGAAGTATATTTTTCTTTAATTTACGATGGGAATACCATGGTTTGGAACTACTTATTTGGTATCAGTATTATAAAGGGACTGAAATAAGAAGTTAGTCATTGAAATTAGTTATTAAGTGTAATATTTATTATAAATTCTTAACAAAACTAGGTAACGAAAAGAAAATCAATGAGAAACATCTTCTAAAATATATTAGTTGTAATTATTCAAAAACATTAATCAAGCAAGGCTTGTTACCCTTACAACTTAATAACTAAAGTGAAGGAGATCGACTTTCCAGAGGATGATGTAGTCCGAGTCGATGGAAATCCCCTAAGACCTATGACTTTGGTTTTTTGTGGATCACTGCAGTAACTGGTTTCATCCAAATTGTAAATTCTCTCAGGCTTGTCCTGAAGCCCTAAGTCGGCAATCACTCTGTCTAGAATATCAAAAAATTCTTGAATGACAAATGGGTCTGCGGCATTCTTACGAGCAACCTCTACAGCCTGCGGTTTTTTAATTGATAACTTATAATGCTTTTTGACGCTTGAAAACCAATCTTTGCCGGGAGTACCATCGTTGAAAGGTGTTTTTAGATCGTTCTGCTTGACATATCCCTTAACAATATCTAGAAACTCTGTACGAGTCAGGCCGAAGCCATTTTTTTCAATTATATGCAAATATTCTGCCATCATTTTTTCTGTCTCATATTGAAATACTGGTGGTCTGCCTAGACTTAATGATTTTTGGCCCCTTCGACCTGTGACGTGGTCCATAATAGTTTTTCTTGGCATAGCAAAGGTTGATGCGGCTGCATACCCAGACATTCTATCCGATCGAACAGCTTCGACTGCTTCATTCAAAGCCTCTCTGGACCATGAGGACCGTCAGTTTTTCTTTCATAGTGCCCCATCTTAAACAAAAATCATAAATAATAAAATAATAATGATTTAATAATTATGACTTTTACTAGTCTATTGTAGACACATTTTAAAATGTTTGTAACCTCTGGATTGCGGCGAAGTGCGCCATATAATAAGTTAGTATGGCGCGCTTCCCCAACTATATAAATTTGAGGTTTAAATATTTAACTTGCAAGAAATATATAAATTTTACTAGATAGGAGTGAAATAAAGTCAGAATCTAAAAGCAAAATATTTAAATTGTGCACTTACCTCACTCGAATATCGGTAAAAACTCGATTTCTAGAGATTTACGACGATGATCACGCCATAGTCATCTCTCCTCACCACTTTGAATATCAGTGAAAATAAAATGGCTCGTGTCTCAAACTCACATGACTAGAGCTATATATGAGTTTCACCAAGAACTATGATTTAGTTTGTAGCATCGATATAAGGTGTCACTACTAGTATTAAATCGGTAGTTTTCGAGATATTTGTGGTAGGTGCACTTGCCCGGTAGGCGCACTTTGCCACCGTCACCTTATTCTTGTTTTATTTTAATGAATGTCCTTGTTTCTTCAAAAACTTACTCGGATCATGGATGTGACTTCGTTTGTGTGGTACAGTTTGCTATTGAAAATATAGCTGGCACAGCACTTTCTTACTTAATGCTAATTTCGAATATTTATTTATTACTACTGACTATACGATTTTCTTTCAATTGCATTCAGTGAATTTATAATTTCTACATATTAATTAAATAAGAAACCTCTTTGTAGTCGTAATCAAAGTCTTCCCTTGAATACACTTCGTCAGGGTTGATGTGAAATAATTTCAACGAAGCAGTCAGCTCAGTATAATAGTGATCAATAGTCTTCTCCAAGTACTCGCTCCTGAATGCTTGATCTGTTCCATTGAATATTAGGTAGACCAAGTCCAAGATAGGATTAGTGCAGTGCAGCGTCTGATAATCTATAATGATCACTTTGTAGGTGCCGTCCTTGAAAAACAAAAAAATACGTCATTTTTAAACCATATTATTGACCACCTGAAACTTACTCCATTATTTTAAATACCTCATTAATTTTATGCATTATATTACTAGCACGAAAATCTCCATGTCCCAAGACCATGCGCCTATGTGGTTTTGTTAGGTAATTCATCTTTTCAACAGTCATTGTTTCCTTGAGAAATAGTTGGACGCGATCTTTAAACTCTTCCCGCAAAGATAACATAACCTTTTTTAACATTCCCTCTATTACCCCCGATAAAGAGTCCATATTATTTTTCATTTTTAGCTTAGCTGTTTTTTCTTCAAATTCGTCTGGATTTTCAATGGAGAAAGCAATGGACAGTGCGTGTAGTTTTGCAAGTTGTCTAACAGCTTCTTTTGCATAATTAAAGTCAAATGTCTTGAATCGATCGAACATTTCATAGCCACTAGCGGTTAAATCTTCCATCACTAGGGTTTCGTGCAGATATTCATCGCTAAATCCATAAAATTTTGGAGTTACGAATCTTTCCTGTTCTGGGACACCATGTTTTTCCTCAATCTCTCTATATATTTTTATTAATTCGTTGTAAAAGCAGATTTCTGATTCGAAAATTTGGAAAGGTGACATAGCACGCACTTTTTCACCTACACACGCAACTTTATTGAATAGTTTTATGTCATCCTTATCGTTTTCAGAAATTGTTGCAAGAAAAAGCACACAGGAGTAATTAGCCCCTCCCGTTGTAATTGGTTTTACATTGAGCTTGTAATTGACATAGCCTCGTTCTTTCGCAATTTTATGGAGTATAGTGTGAAGAGTAACCTTTTGGTCTGCCATTGTTTGAGCCTGCAATCAATAATATTTGCTTTATATACTGGAGAAAATCCCGTTGTAAAATGTTATTAATACCATGCCCATGGATTGGTCTAGATTATTCTTATCTTTATTATTTGAGTTTCGGTTGCGATATGAAAACCGATACAGACAGTATCAGCGATAAAATTGCATGAATAATAGTAATGATTGTGATGTTAGTAAACAAATAATTATATGCTATACACCTCTAAATGATGTGATCCTATTTAAATAAAGTATGTAAAAGCTGGGGCGGCAAATAATAAATGGCTCAAATTTAAACCCTCATGCCCGAGATAGTTTTTCGCCGAGCTTAGCCTTAGCCGGGTCTACGTCTGGTCGTCTGTTTTGTATGGGACACCATGACGCCAATTACACGACGCCGGGCTTAGCTTTGGCGAAAAAGCGTCTCGTGGGCATGAGCTCTTAGTGTCTGTCCTCCAACTTCGATTTGGTTTAGAGACTCTTGTGGCTGTGGGCAGTGGGGTTCAAGAGGCGCTAATTAAAGAATTAAATTGGCGCCTGGTAGATAGTACCGGTGACCCCAAAGTGCTTTCCTCACTCAACGAATAAGTATCGCAATACAGCGAGGAAATGCTGCCAGGGTTAAATAATAATATATTGCCACAGGGTCCAAACTTTTTAAATTCGTTTTGATTTTTAATTATTTTTGTTATTACTATGTAGGTTAAGAAAATTATAAATATTTATTATATTTGTTTGTTATGATTACTAATAAAGGTAAAGAAACTTTACTTAATTTTTTTTACCTTCTTCTATTATCCTACTAAATTAGTATGCAGAACTTATTGTAATATTTATTCTTATAACTCTTAAACAATAAACATGAAGTATTAGAAAATCCTGACTAGTTAAAATTTTTGATTCCATTTTTAAATTTGTCGGAAAGCTTTATATTGTTGACAACATTTTGGTATCAATAAATAATATTTTTATTTGTTGTTGTTTTTTTTCTTTTTTGACAATTCACACCAATTGACCTAGTCCCATGCTAAGCTGGTGAAGCTTGTGTTATGGGTACTAGGCAACGGATATACATACATATTATAGATAGATAGATATATAAATACATATTTAAACACCCAAGACCTAAGCACAACACCAAATGCTCATCACATCGATGTTCGTCTCAGCCGGGGATCGAACCCGGGACCCATGGATTCGCAGTCAGGGGTAC